GGCCTTTTTGTGCGAAACCAACTCGAAGAGAACGGCGGTCGCACTGACCCCATCGTAGGTCTTGATCATCGTGCCGTAGTCCTCCAGTAGTTCCTGGAAGAACTCGACCTGCAGAGGCAACTTGACGAAGGCCCCACTGAACGACTTGCGACCACCATACGTGGCGATGGGATTCTGGATGCTGTTCAACTGCTCATAGGGCATCATTTTCGCCGTGTTGATGGTAGGTCCAAGTTTAAGAATGGGGTCGAATTGCCGCTCGGCCTCGTCCTGGGGCCCATTGTAGAAGATGGCCGCCACGATGCTCACCCGGCCAGGGGGCATGGCACCGCAGAAACCAAAAAAGATGCCCATATCCCCTTTGTTGGTGTCGTCTTCGAAGTGGTTGACAAACTCAATGATCTGGGGCAGGCACTGCGCCGGCCAGCTCAGCAGGCCAGCATACACTTCATTTGTCTGGTCATAGGCTTGGAAGATAAACTCGGTGGTGACTCCAAAGTTTTGACCAGCACCACGAATGGCCCAGAACAGGTCCGGATTCTCTGTCTCGGAGGTCTTCAGAATGCGACCATCCGCCACCACGACAGTGGCCCCCAGCAAATTGTCAATGGTCAACCCATAGCGGCCTGTCAACCAACCATAACCTCCTCCCAAAGTAAGCCCACCAACCCCCGTATGGTTGACGGTGCCGCCAACCGTGGCCAGCTTGTAGGGAGCCGCCGCGCGGTCGATATCCTCCCACACGGTGCCTCCCTGGGCCGTGATGGTTTTGCGTTCGGGATCGACCACGACGCGGCGCATTTTGGTCATGCTGATGACGATCCCCCCTTCCGTTGCGGAGGCGCCGCTGGTAGAATGACCGCCATTATGAACCACCATGGGGATCTGGTGGTTACTTGCAAAGACTACGGCCGCCGAGACCTCCTCAGCAGTAGTGGGAAGAACTACAGCACCCTATAAGAATTGACAGTCAGCATAATCCCACTAAAGCGTTTCTTCCCCAAGGACCACTTACAGCTTTCTTTTCGCATGTGTCACTCCAGCGCCTGATTCCTTCGGCGTATCCGGGTTCGCCCTCGATGAGAACGTCAGCATCAGTCCCCGCCAGCAATTGGCGCAGTTTAATGACTTCCGAGGGAGTGATCGAGTGCATTATGGCAAAATATTGGTCTAGTCAACGGAGAGATGAGCTTAGCCTCGTTGCTATCAGGCTGCCGTGTGGTAGTTGATATTGGTTTGCGAGAATGGGTTAGAAGAGGAATCAGAGGAGAAGCAATTGGGCCAAGTTCTTTCTTCTACGGGATTCAGCGCGGAGTGCGGGGCGAATATACTCTATAACCCCGGTGTCTGATCTCGGGCAGTGAGGAGACGATCTTCAAGCACTCAGCCCATGTCTCCATTGTTCCAGTGTTGTTCTTCATCCCAAGACACCCTTGCTTTGGGTGCCTTTGATTTTTCGCCTCTCTCATTGTTGCAGCTGTGCAGCATCTCGGATACTGCATGGCGTTCACTGAATCAGGGTTGGATCTACTAAGGAGGACTCTAACCCCCGTGAAACAACATTACTAGCAACACGATGTCGAACGTAGAGCGTGTGACCAATGATTGGTTCACAGGTCAATGTAGCATTCTTCGATAATAGCAGGCAACTTTCTGTGAAGATTTGAAGAACAGTGCCAAAGTGGTATCGAGCATGAAAATAGCCTGGGGAAGCCCTGCATCGAAGGAAGACCACTAAAGACTCGTGCGGCTGCAAATGGTCCCCACAGGCAAGTTTCGATAAAGTTTGTTAGCCACGGAACTTCTGACCGCCCACTCGAGCTTTCTACCGCTTGCCCACTCCGGAAACATGAAGCTATACACATGACTTAAAGAGTAACCATCAATGCTTTCCCCGGAGGACTTCAATAACAGACCAAGCCTGACTCTGATGTTTCAACGTAGATAGAAATCCAAGTGAGTTCATTGGTTCCGCGTACGATGCTTTCAACAACCAGTACTAGAGTAGTCATGTGATTTCAGGCGAACTTGAGAGGGCGGTGCGGGTGCAAGGGCTGGAAGGCGCAGGGCGTCATCAGAACTATGAATCTAGCAGGGTAAGCGCTTCTGGCCGAGCTGGCGCAGGTGTAGAAGCATCAGATGAGAGCTAAATCTAGATATTGGCGATTCCCTGGTAGTTGGCTTGGTGCAGCAGCAAATTCAGCCAAGAAGGTGATCTGCCATCTCTGTCGGGCCGAGTGAGCATTTCGAGCTGCGAGGAGGTAGGTTGTCGATCTCCAGCGGCACCTACTTCAGGTCAACGGGACTTTCTTCTGCACCTGCTTCAAGGGAATGTGCATATGTAGGGGCTCTCTTTGTCTTTTCCCTCTAAGGCTATAAGCCAGGTTGGAAGATACCCACCGCTACCATCATGCGCGGTACTGGCTGCCAGCCCTGTGAGCCCAAATTGCGGTGGGAATTCCTGCAGCCAGTACCATCGTCGAACGATATGGATGGGCGACCTGTATGGTCTTCCCCGCACCAGGCTTTCAATATTCCCCCTCCGGAATACAGAAACCGGGAGGATTTGCTCCTTCCAGCCAAACTTTGCAGATCCTCGGTCTCGAACTTCCTGTCTTGGGGAGTGTCCTGACTCCGCGGGCATTTCCTGCGGCGCAATCGGCTCACCTCAGACCAAGCGGGGGCCCACAGGACTTTTATGTCTTGGGTAGGAACCAGATGAGCAATCCTGGACATAGATTGTCCACCTCTTGCCTCTAACCTCGCTTTCATCTCAGAATCCGTCTAACTGCTGATTACCAGTGATGGAGAGCATGATTGATGCTATACAGGCCCGCTTGGCCGCCGACGAGCAATTGCTCGCGCAGCCTATAGTCGTGGCAGGAGCCCTCTTATTCTTACTGGTGGTCTTCCAGTTGCGCCGAGCTGGAGGCTCGAAGGCCTTCCCATCACCCAGACTGGGATATCCTTTAGTTGGCGACGCATTAGCCTTTCTGAATCGCCCTGTCGCCTTCGTGCAAGATGCGACACGCAAGTGTGGCCCCATTTTTCATGTCAAGATACTGTTTGCGAACATTGTCTATTTGAGAGGTACCCAGCTCAACCGCATGTACGTGGATGTCAAGGAAGACATTTGGTCGTTTGGTGGCGGTATTGTAGGCATTATTCTCCTCCCATCCTTCTTCTACTGTAAAGAGATGAATACCCTTCTGACCTTCCACAGGGCATATTCTTGAAGAAAATTGCTATCCCTGGGTATTTTGACCATTTCCGCAATCTGGTGGGCTCTCTGAATCGTGGTATCAATCGCAAGGTGACACTGGATCGTTACACCGAGCTTGCAGGCGAAGAGGCGGATAAGGCGCTGCTGAAATGGAGCCAGCAATCAGACATCAAAGTCTTCGAAGAGGCATCTAAGTATGTGCATCGGGTGATTGTGCGGACTCTCATGGGACAAGACTTCTACGATGAACACGTAGACGAGCTCTACGATCTTGTGCACCGGATGGAGGACGAGATCGGTCACCCACTGAATCTGTTACTGCCGGACTGGTTTCCTCACCCGCCAGCACGACGGCTGGGCAAGGCCAGAGATCGTTTCGCTGAGATCTTCGCCCAACAGATGGAGATCCGCCGCCAGAACCCAGAAAAATGGAAGGGTTCGCTGGACTATATCACCTATACACTGGAAGATCCGCGAACGGCCCATCTGCAAGAATACTATCCGTCGCACCATACAGTGCTCATGTTTGCCGCCCACACGAGCACTGTGGCCAGTATAGCCTGGACTGCTCTGGAGGTCTGTTTGCTCAATGCCTGCTATTAAAATCTCTTCCAGCCTATAAGTATCACCAAGCTGACAGTATTCGCAGCTGATCCGGAACCCAGAGTACGTGGAGGCCATCCGACAGTCTTTTCAAAGTAACGAGGACGTTCACCAGTCTCCTGTGCTACTGGCGTGCGTCAAGGAGAGTGGTCGTCACTACTCGGGTGTGCACATGTGGCGTACGACCCATCGCCCTGTGCAGCTGGAGGATGGCTATATGGTTCCCGAGAACTGGGTAGTGTGTACCTCGCCCTATCTCACCCACCATGACCCCGAGATCTATGAGCAGCCGCAGCAGTGGCTGCCGGAGCGCTGGCTGCACCCAACGGCGCGCCTGCAGAACCTTAACAACGCCACCGATGCGGCATTCCTGCAATTTGGCGCGGGCTCCCATCGGTGCCCTGGGGAGAATATGGCTGGCATAATCGCGCGTGAACTGGTGTCGCGTCTGGTCAAGAACTACGATTTCCAATGGGGAAGCCAGGGGCCGGCCAAAATCGATGTCTCTCGTATGGACTTTAGCAAAGTCGGCAGTCCTTGGCTTCAAGGCGATGCGCGCATTCGCCTCACGCCTCGGAAATCTGCGTCCATGTGAACGAGTTGGCATTGTGTAGGAGGGGAAGGAGAAAGCGGCAGATTGGATGCTAGGGTGACACGTGCTTCATTTTAGTAATTTCTTTACCTAGTTCAGTAATCGATTCCATCTAGTTCCTGTCGAAGTACTCATCCCTACGTTCAAAATATCTTGTAATGCCCCTGCACTTGTACTCGACGCTGGTGCTGGCGCTGGTGCTGCTAGACCAGAACAGAATGAAGAACAGAGCACTTCTCATTGACACAATTGTTATAGTAAGGGATGACAATAGGAAAGACCCTCACTATACTCATGTTAGTATAGCAGAGGGTTTAGAGCTTGTTCTGATGAAAGAATGTCAAGCAAACCTTGGTTAGGCCGTGATGGCCACCGCTAGTTTGGAGTCTGTTTAGCCGTATCTTCGGTTGTCCTTTTCGAGTCGACAGATGCAAGGCACAAGAGTTGAAGGACATAGATTTACCCTTTCTGGGTGTTACAGTGCGGATCACCATTGTTTACCATATCCTGCAAAGAGTGGCAGAACTAGGCCTGCATGCAAACAAGAAAGATAAGGAACTCGAAAGACACTCGAAAAAGGGTCGTCTCTGGGCGCTGCGGCCATCTGCACCTGTTTTGCCGCCGCATTGCAAATTCCACAAGGACTGGAAACAATACAAACCTGCTAATCTTGTAAGGGCATTGTGTGTGATACTTAAGAAGTACCAGCAGATTGCGATGAACGAAACCCAGACTCCATCTTCACCAACAGTCCAATCAAGCGGTTGTTAATCTTCTTTCCTTGGCTTATCATCTGGGCTCTCTCACCACCAATTTCTCAGTCCCTTCTCTTTGCTTCGCCGTATTTCCTCGATTATCTTTCTATCCCCTTTGGCTTTCTATCTGTCTCCCATTAGGACGTCATCGCACAATGGCTCCTAAGGCCGATGTCCAGGTCCTAATCGTCGGCGGCGGCATTGCCGGGTTGACGCTGGCGAACATCTGTAAGAAAACCGGGCTCAGCTACAAGGTGTTCGAGCGTACTGCCGAGGTAACCCCCGTGGGTGCAGGCATCTCGCTGGCCCCGAATGCTCTCCGGTTGCTCGACCAACTCGGCTTCATGGACATTATTCGAAAGGAAGGCCAGCCGCTGCGAAAGATCCAAGTCTATCGCAACACTACCCGATGGAGTCTACTTGACTTTGAATGGCTCGAGCCAACATATGGCTATTCAATGTACTCGATGCCCCGGCACAGCATGCACCGCGCCTTGTACCACCGAGCAGATGCGGAGCACGTCATCCTGGGAGCTGAGGTTGTTGGCATTGAAGATGAGCCCAACTCTCCGACGGTCAAGGTTCGTCTGGCCGATGGCCGCGAGTTCAGCGGTGAGGTGCTCGTGGGCGCTGATGGCATTCGGTCGATCGTACGGCGGCTCCTTGCCGACAAGCAAGGGCTGGCAGGCGTCAACACCATCCGGTTTACCGGGCGCACCCACATGACAGGCATCTCTTATCCGCTGGAGCATCTCGGACCTAACGATCTCGGAGTGGCAACCTGGGTCTTCTACGATGACTGCATTCTCACCTCTTGGCCGTGTACCGAAAATCGCCAATGGTTTGTCGGGGTCAAGGTCCGCCACTCCCTTACTTCCTCCCCCTCCCCCCCACCTCCTCTTACACCTACCCCTGTCTCAGCTGTCACCAGTGGACTCGAGACTAATGGATTCTAATTGTCGGATTAGTCTTCCGAAGCCAAGACCACCACACGATCCACTTGGAAAGGTGCCACTAAGGAAATGATCAACGAAAGCTACGGACATCGCTTCCATCCGTTTGGCAAGAATCATACCGTACGCGATGGCATGTCTCACTTGCTTCTTTGCTTCCCCCTCCTTTTTCCCACCCACACTTTCCCCTTTCACATTCTCCTAGTGGGCTGACTGACTGACTGACTCACTCTCATCTGCAGTGGTCGATGTGGCGGAACGCGTGACGGCGAGTGATGTGTTTGAGGAAACCGCCTTCCCGAAGATGGCGCATGGCCGTGTGGCCCTGGTGGGAGACTGTAAGGAGCCAATCTGATCCTCGAAATATAAAGAAAAAATAAATAATATGAATGGATCGGAGACTAACTTGACATTGTCTTGCTCAGCGGCGCATTCCATGACATCCTTCATTGGTCAGGTAAAAACCTATTTCTCTGAGACAATCCTTTCCGCCAAGGGGAGGGGGGAAGAGAAACACGGCTAATCAGACTTTTCCGCAGGGTGCTTGCCAGGCAATTGAGGACGTGGGAGAATTAGCGAACCTGCTGCACACCTACTTTGCCGGCCAGTCGGGGGATCCGCAGGTGCTGCAGGACTTGCTGCAGGAATTCCGCAAAATCCGAGAGCCACGGGCACGCAACCTCGTGTACTATTCCAGCATATTCGCACAGGTGCATACAGGACGCCTCCCGTACGGACTGGGGCCACTGGCACGCCGGATTGCCTTCACCTATGCCCCTGTGTGGTGCTGGAAATGGGCTTGCAATCCACTGTACGGGTACCAGCCGCGCGTCCACGCGTTGGATCTGTTGTCCCGGTAGGATTATATATTATCTTTTCCTCTTCAACTTCAATAGAAAGCATTATAAGGCAATTTGACATCGATCTTGATAATTTATTCGTGGTACGTAGTAGAATCATGTATTGTTCTCTTCTTCATTCATTCCAATTACCATTCCATCCATTATCATAGTTTGTTTTTATTGTTTTTGTTGCTAGCTGGGTAATATATCCATACTCACCTATTTGTGGGAGGTCGAAGCAAGGGGGATGCAAGGGAGGCAAGCCTACTGGAAGGACTCTATGGTTGACACCTGACACGGCAGTTCATGCTGAACCGGACTTGATGACGTGAGCACCTAATAGACTAAGAAAGAGACCTGTGAGAGATGAAGAGTAATGGTTTCTTAAAGCAAGGGGGATGCAAGGGAGGCAAGCCTACTGGAAGGACTCTATGGTTGACACCTGACACGGCAGTTCATGCTGAACCGGACTTGATGACGTGAGCACCTAATAGACTAAGAAAGAGACCTGTGAGAGACATAACGGTTTTTTGAAGCAAGGGGGATGCAAGGGAGGCAAGCCTACTGGAAGGGCTCTATGGTTCACACCTGGCATGGCAGTATATTCTGAACCGGACTTGATGACGTGAGCACCTAGTAGATTGAGAAAGAGACCTGTGAGAGATGAAGAGTAACGGTTTGGACCAAAAGCATAGTCTGCCATTTGCTTAAGCCTGTCTGCGCAACCAAAGGTACCCACCGGCTATAGAGACTGATAGGTAGTACTCTTTATAGTGTAAAATCACATGTGTGGAATGCAGGTTATGTTTTCTTTATTGGTACAGTACTTACCAGGCCGAATTGATAGATATCTGAAATTCATTTTCCGGAGTGTCGTGCAGTGGTAATTTGATATAATAATGGTGTGAAGAATTGAAGATATCAATATTATTCTGGTCTGTGGGGGAAGGAGAAAAGAATGCTAAGATCCAGATTATAGATCATTAGTACTTCTCTTGACAGGACTAGACTTGCCTTGCTGTAAGAACCCCAAAATATTTATATACCGATACTCAGAAATCTATGATCCGATTGCCTTGTCGACTGATCGAGAAAGCAATATAATTCTTTGTATCAAGTCTTTAGGAAGCATTTAACGATCCTTCAAAGGTCTGCGAGAGGCTCTGATACATGTCATTGCTAAGTGAACGCTGGGTTTGTGTGAAGCGCAACCATCCTTTCTTGTCAGATAGCCTTCTTGAATGTAGTATTCTCGATTCAACCAATATCCATGGACACTTCAAGCGTGCAGAACGAAACAGTTGCAGTTTTATCTTTGGAATGTTAGTTCTGCATAGCAGTAAATAAATCTGTGCAGAATATTTTTGACTAAAAGAAACTCGAAGGCTATATCTTTTATTAAAGGGGTCCCATTAGAGAAGAATACATGTTGCCGACTGCCCAAAAGTCCTGCTACGACTGCGACGACGTCTACGGAGAACAACAGCATATCAGATTCGTTCAGGATGGCTCTCCATAGGACGATGACCCTAGCGCATGCCCCAGCACTAAAACACATGATGCAATGACGATCAGCATGGATAAAGGGGTCATTATATCTTTACTCCATGTAGTGTTTTCATTCGGTCTGAAAGACGAAGCAAGAATAAATATTACATGGATTTCTGAATAGAAATTCTATTATTATCATGAATGTTCTGGGGACGTGACGCGTTGTGTAACTGGAATGATTCACCACAAAGGCTATTCTTCTGGGGCAATTCGGCTAAGTTGCAAACCGACTGCGACTTCGCAATGCAGGTCCAAACCAGTAGAGCACCAGCACTCCCACAATGCAGCCCACTGTCAGACCAGCCAGCAGGGTCGTGCCCCGTGCCACTCCCAATCGAGCATACAGCGGGCCAGACCACAGGATGGCCGCAAAGGCCAGACTGGCGCGCGCCAGATCGTTGATGGCAAACAGACTAGCGCTGTACTTCGGATACGCTACGGACAGGTAGCTGAAAATACACTGCAGCACCAACGTCATGCCGGATACCTCGATCACCAAGCCGATGGTGGGTACAATCCAATGAATACTAGCCCGCGAGGTCCAAGCGAACAGAAAGAGTCCCACGGGGATAAACACACTGCCCACGATAGCGGGGATGAGCCGGTGCTCGGGATGGGGAAATTGACCACGCCGGAAGGCCTTGTTCAGCGAGATATGCACAAAGGCATAGTAAAAGGGGAGTGTTAGCAGCGTGCCAATCACGCAGCCGAGGAAGATTAGCCCCAGCTCGCCCAGGCTCATGTGATAGATGTCCAGGTATACCAGCGGCAGCACCTCGAAGTAGGAGTAGAAGATGGCGTACACTAGCCCAATGTAGACTGTCGTGAAGAGCACGGACGGGTCTAGTGCGTTAACTTTCCATGGAATAACTAGTGCATCGTAGGCAACCTGCATGGGGCTGGCGTTCTGCGACTCAATCTCCGATCGCGACCGGATGGCCGTGTTGCCCGTTAGCTGGCGCAACCGCTTGGCTCGCAAGTGTAAGATGGCAGGAGCAGATGTTTCCGGGAGAAAGAGCTGGTTTTGGCAAGAAAAGGGAAAAGGCGACGATGGTCAGCACAAGACATGTCCGTTAATGCCAACTATGGCCATCAATCGCCACGAGGGAAGTAGTGAGTACATACCAGGGCCACGAAGCACAACGCGGCTGCCCATAGGATCTCCCACATGGACCAGTGCCAGCCCTTTACGGGAACACTGAATCCCGAAATTGTCGGCGCAATGGCAGGACCAGCAATGGAGCATGCTCCCCAAATATATAGACCATAGGGGAGGTTCGGGATGGAGGTCACATCTGCCAGAGATGCACCTCCTGTGGCCAGTCCGGGAGAGCCAAAAAAGCCTTGCAAGTATCGCAGGACCAGGAACCCTGGCACGTTGTTGACTAGGGCTGTGGGGATTGCGAGAATGAGAAAGACGGTGACAGAGATCACATACGGTGGGTTGCGACCAACGGAGGGTACTTCGGACATGGGACTCCAGATCATCGGCCCCATGCCGTAGCCCAGCACATATAGTGCCAGCCCCAGGGCGCTGATGGTCTGCGTCACCCCGAATACAGTCTCGAATTCGCCCTCGGCCGAAGAGAAGATGGCAGCGGCCATGAAGACCAGAAAGGTGAACAGATTTACTTCGACATATACCAACAACTTGGCCGCGAACGACCAGTTGTGCGGATTGTCTGGGTCATCCGGGGAGTACCAGTCCACCACAATGGTCCCCTCTGGCGTCACCTCGGGATCAATCCACGACGATGATGACTGCCCCGATGATTCGGGCGGTGTTGGGAAGGCTTCCCCTTGGATCCCATCAACTTCCTTGCACGCCTCGTCGGGGGGTAGCGCATGGCTAAATAACGTACTTCCATCCGCATCGGAGGTGTTCTTCTTCTCTTGTGATGGCTGGACTGGCCCGGCGTTGACTGCCTGCCGGTATGGCGTAGGCAAAGTGAAGTCGGAGCTGAGTTCGCGGGGCTTGAATAGACTGCCACCGGATACGAGGTAGGCGATCCTGCCAAAGGCCGAGTTGGCGAACAGGTGTGTCATAGCCGCTGCAGTATCAGTGCTTAGGCAGAACAAGTGAAGCACAAAAGCCCACAAGGAGGGCCTGACCCCAGTATGTACTTCACGGGCAAATAAGGGAGAGACTGAGAGAAAAAGGGAGGAAAGGGGCGTGCAGTCAAGCTTGAGCAGCTTCAGAACGCTTTCCGTGCCATTCCTCCTCTCTCTCCCCTTCAGCCCTAGAAGGAATGCAAGGGGGAAGGCGTTTCCGTGGCCGCAAAACCAGATTCTCTTGCGAGGAATGCCAGTAATGATCGTCAATGTTCCATGGTTGCATGTCCGGACAGGATGGAACCGAGATGCCACCGTGTCTCCCGATTGGCGTTTCCACTCCCCCTTCCTCAATAAACGGATGAGCTCATGGCGATGCAAAGCCCTACTACACGCAGGCAAGCCAAGCACCGGAAATAGCAGCCCTCCCCCAAAAGCTGGGATGGGAGAGAGAGATAAGCATTCGTATCTCCATATCCCTGCCGGCCGATTGATTTTGTTTGTATAGGCAACATTTGACTGCGACAGCAAGTCTGAAAGCATGACTTCTCTTCCTCCAGCCCAATGCTGCATTGCTGGCCATCTGCACAGTGGTACCCCCAAGGGAGAATTAAAGAAAATAGATGACAGTAAGGCGCTTCCCTGCTCCATCCTGACTTCCTCAAGGTCTCATCCTAATGTACATATCTCCTGCAATAGTCCTCACCTACGTGTCTTACCCTCCCGACAAATCAACTCACAATGCCATCCTGTTTCTCTCCGACATCTTCGGTCCCAAACTGGTCAATTCCCAGCTGATTGCCGACCAATTTGCCGCGAATGGCTACTTCGTGGTCCTGCCGGATCTTTTCCATGGCGATCCGGTCCCCGTCGAGCGCGAGGAGAATTTCGACGTCATGGCTTGGCTGAAGAACCACCTCCCGCCAGTGACAGACCCGATAATTGACAGCACCCTTCGCTACATGCGCCAGGAACTCTGTTGTCAGCGCATTGGAGGGGTTGGGTACTGCTATGGGGGCAAATATGTCGCTCGTTACCTCAAGCCCGGGCTGTTGGACGTAGGCTATATGGCCCATCCCACCCATGTAGAGGTGGATGAGTTGAAAGGTATTCAGGGGCCATTGAGCATTTCTGCCGCGTGTGAGTTCCAACAACGAGTATGGAGCGGAAAGAATAGGGACTGACTTAACATAGCGTCGGATTACCTCTTCCCCACCGAGAAACGTCGCGAGACCGAAGACATCTTGTCCGAGCTGGGCCATCCTTACGAGATAACAGTATACTCGCATGTCGAGCATGGATACGCTGTTCGCTGCAACATGGACATTAAGCAGCAGAGAGTGGCAAAGGAGAAGAGTTTCGCCCAGGCAGCTGGTTGGTTTGATGCTTATTTAAAGGAGTAAGCACGATGCCTGGAACGGAAGGATAAGAGAACAACGTATATCTGTATCTATTCTTCTAAAACAAGCATGTCCGATGAATTTACTACCAGATAAGATACAAGTGCGCTGCATACCTATGTACATGTTGAAAAGAGTATCTCCCGGTCGATGTCTTTCTTTAGGCTGACGCCAAAAGATCGTTTGGGATATACAAGGGCATAGTGTCCTCCCATCGACTCTGCGTCAGCACTGTCCAATTCGACCCATCCGCCTCCATCTGCATGATGAAAGGGTACGGTTGCTGATTGTTGTCGTAGATGGTCGCTTCATCCTGGAAGCCAAACAAGCCCGTCGCCCAGGCAATCTTGCCCTCGTGGGTCCAGACGGCGTGGGCATCGTTGCACGCCAGCGTTGTCAGCTGCTTCACATCACTGCCGTCAACGGCCATGGTCATGACATCGTAGTTGTCATCCAACGGTCCAGAGATGGGCCAGCTGGTGCGACGGGTGAAGACAATACGGTTGGAGCCATCGGGGGCGAACATGGGGGTGTTATCCCAGGAAGAGCTGAGAGCCACCACTTCACCCGTCGTCAAATCCATGCGGCGTAGACCCAGAGGAAGGGGATCCTCACTGGCGCTGTAGGCAAACTCACGCCAGACCAGCCAGCGGCCATCGGGCGAGATGGTGGGGAAGCCGGCGTTGGTGCTGCCGTTGGTCATGGATCGCGCCCACGAGCCGTTGGCGGCCACCAGGTACACCCAGCCAGGGTTGGAATAGCGATACTCGAACCAGTCACCCAGGCCGACGGCCAGAACTTCGCCATCGCCGCGCCACGAGCCCTGGAAGGTGCCGTTGGTGTTGGAGCTGTTGACGCGGGCGGGGAAGCGAGAGCCATCGAAGATGTCATTCGAGCCGGTGCCGTCGGCATTCATGGTCACCAGCGAGGAGTTCACCGTCTGCTGTGAGGTGTAGACCACCTTGCCCTGTGCGGACATTTGCGGGAACACGTCGGTGAAGCGGTACTCCCAGTCCTTGCTCCAGCTGTACAGCGGCTTGTTTACGGGCCGGACAGGGTCCCACTCAACGTGCTCGTAGACCATGTGGCGGCCATCGGGGGACCAAGCGGGCGAGCGATGATAGCCCACCAGCGAGGCGTTGCGGTAGGCGGCACTCACGCTACCTTCGGGCTGTGCGGCCGTGTAGTTGATCGAACCCGGGTAGGTGGCATTGGTGAGCAGGCTCTTGACCAGGTAACCGATGGTCTGGTTGTTCACATACTGAGGGAACAGTTTAATGCCGCCAGAGTCGCCCGACGCATGCTCCTGCCGGTCACTTCCCGTGGCAAAGTCAACGGACACGATGGCAGTGTTGACATCGTAGAAGGCGGATTCGGCCACACGCGCATAGTAGGTCAGCTCCATGGGGAGTTCATAGAAGACGATACGGTTGCCATCAGGCGAGAATTTGGGCGAGCCCTGACAGTAACCTGTGCGGTTGGACACACGACGGAAGCCGGTGCCGTCCGGACGGATGGCGTAGATGGACAGTTCCTGTGTGTGCTCCCAGCCGCTGATGTTGTTATGCCCGCGCCACGGAGTGTTGCGATCCGATGTGAAGACCAGCCACTCGCCATCAGGCGACCACGCAGGCCGGAAGTGGCCATCGGGGAGGGTGTAATCACCTGCGACCTCGGTGGAGTTGGTGACATTCCACAATGCACCAGTCTCCAGATTCTGGATCCAGATGTTACTCTTGTAGTTGCCGAGGGTGCCAGCAAAGGCCACCAGACTGCCATTGGGAGAGATGGCTCCGGCATCCTCCACGGCAGGGCTTGTGGCAATGGGCTGTAAGTCGGTGCCATCGGGACGGACACGGTACAGATCCGACTGACCATCTCCGGCACGCTCGCTGGTGAAGACGATCCATTCGCCGTCTGGAGACCACTGCGCATGGTAGTCAAAGGTGCTCTCATTGCCCAGCAGTCGCCGGGGATTAGAGCCATCCGCATTGGCGACATAAAGCTCCGAGATGCCCGGTGCAATGCGATTCATCAGCATCGCCCCCTTCTTCCCGGCAACAGTCGTGCCACGGGCTGCCAGGGGTGAGGGCTGCTCATCCGAGCGCGCCATATTGGCGTATGGACATGATGCTGCTGTGGCCAGCCCGCTCAGGAGAGGAAAGAAAAGAAGAGAGGAAAGACGCATATTGATGCGGTGCCAACTTGGCGGCTGCGAACTCAGTGATGCAGGAACCACAACATCCGGAGAATTTTGCAGTTGGGCATGGCCCTACTTAAGCTTCACGCTGTTGTGGAGCGTCTCGTTGCGAGAGAATTGATCGATAGGCTCTGGTGCTTGTTCGGAAGAAGACCTCGGGCTTCGCAATAGCCTTCCCAATGAGGCAGGGAATGTCGCTCATGGTTTTGACGAAGTTGGGCTCCCGTTATTGGCCTTCGGCTACACATGCCGATCACTCCACGGCCCAGACGGGATGGACATGCTTAGCAGCACCGCTTGGAGCCTTGGACATCCCCTTCCACGCCTCAGCTTTGAGGGATTAGCATTGCCTACTCCACCCAGGGCAGACCCCGGTTGAATCCTGCGATCCTGCCAAGGAATATTGCGAGGTGAAGTCCGCATCATCGCCGGAGATAGATTGGGAGAAGAGGGATGGCACCTATAGAAACCTCTATACGTATTCAGGCGAAGACATCACTCACAGGGTACCGCTGTGGTTTTGGACTTTACGTGCTGTCAGTTGATATCAAAACATACGACCCTGAGTGGAAGGGAAAGGTCCGACGTGGAAGTATCGCTTCCTCCCTGAAGTATTTCACGCCAACACGAGTGAAGCTTCATCTGTCATGCTTATGGCTGGTCTCCGAAAGGATTAGGCTTGGCACACATGACGCCACGACTATACTGTCTCCGGCCTAACCGCCGCCGAGACTCATTATCTGTATAGTATCTCCGACATCTTTCGGAAGCCTGGTTCGGGGATTGTTGGCCGGCGGTCTTGGCAGCAAACTAATCTCTCCGCGAGTCTCCGCATGTTTTCGTTTGGCTTTGGAGAGAGAGGTCTGTGAGTTCTGGAGAGTGGACCGTTTCCTGGCTCATTTTGTGGTTTTCTTTCAAAGCCTGGGGTCGTTCTTTCGCTCCTACAGAGTTGCAGCTGTTTTTAAAACCATGGGGTGGGGGGAGTCTTGGATGGGAGGATTCAAATGATGGATTGAAAATCGGACGCAGTGCTATCTGTTGGATGACTCGTTCCACAGGGCCCCGACGAGTCCAAAGCGCCACACCGTAATCCTGAGGACGAAGAAGAGAGTCGGGCTGCCGAACCAGGGACCAGGAAATGGTCCCCGCTTAATCTTGCTAATTCTAGTGGGGAGTGGAATCAATCTTGGAAGAAAGATTGGCTTGAGACTGTTCGGACCGCTCCCGTTCGGCCCTCGCTTCACCCTGAAGGGCGGTGCTGAGGAATTTCAAATTGCAGCACAACAAGGGAACTGGCATCTGACCAGTCTGCATTAGTGAGAATGTTGAGAAAGAGAGACTGAAGATGAACGAGAAGCCCTCATCTTTCTTTCGCGGACTTAATCCGATCCCCTCCAAAACGCAGTCAGTCTGACTCTCTTCAAGTCATGATCATCGGTTCTCCCCACTCCAACTCCACCCGATCCGCGCCGAATGAGATGTAGGGAAATTGCACGCTTGCACGCACGCAAATTAAAACACGAGCTGATCGCTTCCCGATAAGCCTGGGGAGGTGGAGAATTTTTGAGGAAGGGAGAAAAATCAGCTTCTTTGCCAAGCCACTCCTCTCTTCCTTGGGTTTGGAGATTCGAGCAGTTATTAATTCCGAAGGACTCAATAATTTCGCCTGGCTCTTATGGATGCTGCTATACCGAGGCATGTCCCCCTGATTATACGATACGATATGATTTGTGAATCTAGTCTTTAGGCTGAACTCATCCACTTCTCATCTTTGCGGAGAGAGCACATTGCGTCAGTCTTCATAACATCCCAAGTATACTGTTTAGTTTCAAAACTTGTTGCGCTTTTTTTTTTTTTTTTTTTTTTTTTTTTTTCCTCGTCGCCATCATAATCACCGTAGCCGTCTTCTTTGTTATTCTTGTACTATTTCTTCAGGTTATATTCTTTCTTATCTTCTTTTCTTTTCTTTTCTTGTTCTTCCACTCTAGAATGAAAAGGTGGGACAGGAAAATATATATATATATATATATGTGTGTGTGTGTGTGAATGAACAAGAACATGATATGCTATTCGAGGAAGCCAGGAGCTACTTGAGCACCTCAGATGAAGCACTGGGCAGCCTTCTCTCAAAAGATGTAGTACCTTTGAGTTAAAAAAAGGCTATATTAGTATTCTTCTGGTATGACATGAAGGATAGGAGTTGCACTCTACAGATACCTGACATGGTGTATCACAGTATCACAGTGCCTTGCAGAATCAGGCTAACAGAAAGGGATGAGAATCCCTCAGTGTCCTGCATCACATTAGGTCCTTATACTCGGTATCTCGAGAATCCCTGATACCTGAAATGCCCGCACCTTGAGAAAAAGGATGCCGTCTGGGCCAAGATATATAGCCAATATGCCGCTACAGCAGCTGATGCAGTGGCTGCCACATCGTGAACTGTCTTTATGAGTTGTCCCTTTCCATAATGTGCAGGTCAGAATGCTCAGTGGATTTAGTACCCATGTACTATCCCTAGCATTTGTGCCATTCATAGCGGTACTGGCTTCGATGAAGCGATAGAGCGATTGGTTCCGCTCGGGTCACCAGCAGCGTCCGCGAAGATAAGCGTTGCGCTAGACTACCTCATAGTAAAAGGGAGTAGTATTCAGAATATGAGAAAAAAAGAGGGGCGAGAGAGAGCAGTAAAAGTAGGTATAAAACTGCACCATGGCAGAGCAAAGGCAATAAAATACTAGGGACTTAACATAGAGCAGCCCACAAGTGACTCGGAGCAATTGCCGAGCTTGAGTCATGTCTACGTTAATAAATCATTTAAGGCTCGCGAACAAGATTCCTCCACATTCTTAGCCATCCAGCCAGGGCTTCTGAGTTCACTCTCGGCGATATGGTGTTATAGCCATGAAGATCGGACGCAATAATCACGTATATGAGCCTCTCCTTTGTATTAAGTCTTCTACAGGGAGCGCAAAAGGAGGTAATGGACCCGACGTTAATAGCATCTGATGTCGTAGAAGAGATCTGGCAGCGCCTGTTGAAGAATGCACGGGATAGCAACGTTTCAGCGTTGCCGAAAGGAATGCGCCGACCAATGTGCGACAAAGCCATCAGGATCCTCTAAACTTAGAAGACTGGACAGATGGGGAGAAGCAAGCTGACAGGCTGAACAGGAAAAAAGATCGACGCGCTTTCTCCGAGATCTTATCTTCCCCGCATTTCTCTCATGCCCCCCGGATTTTCATCTGCATTCATTCTCACTCCCTCTTTGCCCAACCCTCCTTTCCACTGAGATAACCCAGCGTGGGGGATGAAGCTTAACCACATTATTCCTCGGCTATTAACAAGAGGATGTGTATGACTATCAACCATTATTATGACGCCATTTCCGGCAGAAACTAAGAAGCCCTGACTGCTCTCCCCAACAGCTATCGGATGTAACGTAACCATAGAGTTGCCACCCTCGTCATCAATTCTAAGCCCTAGGGCAAGTGCATGCACCAAATGCAGCCTTGTTGAATGAAGCATCAACCCCCACGCTGGTACCCCACCCCCGCGCTGTTGACTTGGGGTGAGGCGTCTGCGTCTTATAAGAGTATGCGCACCCCCCTCACCCTGATTCAGTCTGGCCAATATATCTATACTGAGCCCACAATGACTGACTTAATTGCAAGGAAGCCCTACTTTGGGCTTGTCGGAGGATGGCTCACCTTTTGGATTACGGTACAAGATCAGCGTATGCAAAGAGCTAGTGCCCAGAACTGACTGTCTAGGTTGCTTGTGCTACGGATATGACCCTGTTCGGGTATGACCAAGGGGTCTTTAGTACGTCTTCTCGGCAATGACTTCCCAGATCCCATAATCTGATGCGTGGCAGGTGGCGTGGTTGTTACCCAGAACTTTCTCGAGGTCCACGATTTGGTCGGGCCGTCAAAGACTTCCACTCTGTCGACCGTCACAGCCATCTACGACGTCGGCTGCTTTCTCGGGGCCCTCTGCGCCTTTGCCATCTCGGAACAACTCGGTCGGAAAAAGTCGATTTTGATCGGAACAGCCATTATGGCGGTGGGCACCATTCTGCAGGCGAGCTCGTACCATCTCGCTCAGATGTTTGTTGGCCGAACCATCCTAGGGTCAGAGAGAACATACATGTGGTATGGCGTTCGCTGACAGCTGCAGAATTGGAAACGGCATCAACACCTCCACAGCACCCATTTGGCAGACCGAGACTGCTCAGGTCTCCTGGCGAGGCCGACTGGTCATTTTGGAGATGGCCTTGAATGTTGGAGGCTTCATGCTCGTCAACTGGATCAACTACGGGCTTTCGTTCCACGGCGGAGCTCTGGCCTGGAGACTTCCGATTGCCCTCCAGTTTTTCTTCATCTTCGTTCTCGCTGCCACGGTTCCTTGGCTGCCCGAGTCTCCGCGGTATGTGCGCACCACAGAGACCTTTTCATGTTAGTTCACTGACATGACCAGATGGTTGCTATGCCACGGCCGCACGGACGAGGCTTTACACGTCATTTCGAGCATTGAGGCTAAGCCAAAAGATGATCCCTATGTGGCAACGCAGCATCGCGAGATCGTCTATAGTATCCAGTATGAGCGAGAAAATGCGGTACCCTGGCGGGATCTGTTGACTGGCCGGTCTACCAACGATACCAAAACCTTGCGACGGTTGCTGCTGGGGGCCGGCTCCCAGGCGCTGCAGCAGTTTCAGGGTATGATAGTTGTTGTTATACAATGTTTTCGAATGGTCGACCTAACTGCACCTAGGGATCAACATCATGTCGTACTATCTGCCGCTAGTGCTCATCAACTCGGTCGGCCTTTCCAACAGCATGTCGCGACTGCTCAGCGCATGCAATGCGACGGTGTATTTCGTGTTTGCCAGCGTGGCTGTCACGATGGTTGAGCGATTTGGCCGACGTGGTCTCATGCTGCTCTCCACCTTCGGGCAGTTCGTCTGCTTCTTGGTGATCACCATTCTGCTCCGCTTTGCCGAAATAGACACACGATACGCGACTGCTTCGGTCGCGTTTTTCTTCCTCTATTATATCGCGTTCGGCATTGGAATGTTGGGGGTGCCCTGGCTGTATCCGACCGAGATTAACTCGCTGCCCATGCGGACGAAGGGTGCAGCCGTGTCGACAGCGACAAACTGGTAGGTGTAGCTTGCAGTTGGTGCGGATTATTTACGGCGGCTGAGCATGCGATAGGATCACCAATTTTGCCATTGTTGAAATCACACCAATTGGCATCCAGCAGATTGGCTGGCGGTTCTGGATCGTCTGGACAGTCACCAACGCGGCCTCTCTGCCCATCTTCTACTTCTTCTACCCCGAGACTGGTGAGTCGATCATATCTCCCTCTTAATCACCCTTCACTTACTCGGTGCAGCAAATCGGACTCTGGAAGATCTGGACGACTACTATCGCTCGAACCCACCGTTGGTGGTTACGCGGGATCCAGACGCAGTGTCCACGCAGCGTCCCTGGCGATACCGGCAGCGCGAGGAGGCAGAGTACGAGCGACAGAAGAATGCCCAAGCAGGTCCAGATGCGTCAAAGGATAGCAGCGCGGCCTCGGTGAGCCACGTGGAGTGAGACACCTTGTTTGGATGACTGGGAGGGAGACAGAAGGGATGGAGGAAGGGATCGTCGACGCGATGAATGGGGGACGGAGATTATCGATCGTAAATAGTTGGCGCTAGATGGTGCTCGATCAGTAGAGGTTTCCGCATGACAGTATAGTAATAAATGTTGATATGTTAATCGCCGTCATCCTGTGGGTCTCCCATTCTATTTCTGTATCCAAAAAGGGCGCCGGTTGTCAATAGCTTCATCGGGCTCTGTGCTCTCTCCCTGTGCACGCTCTGACGAACTGTTGGACGGGAGACCGAAGAGATGAGGCCTCCACGTGGTGTTTATTATAGTAATCAAGATCTTCCTTCCATCAACTCCTGATGATAGATTATACACTAAATTTAAACTGTCCTCCGGATGAACCGGAGTGCCGGGCTTGGGGTTGGCGACGAGTGTTTGGTAGCGAGGGCCGCTAGCATCGATCTCGCCCGCATTGGCACCACCATCCTCCCATCGCATTGGTTCCAGCCCCAAAACACCGAGTCAGTGCCAATCTCGCATACAGTTCTGGTGGGCCTGCCCAGAGCCATGGCCTTCCTAACCTGTGCAGCTGAGGTGCGACCGAGAGTCAGGGACGCTGCCCCTAGGCGCAAACAGCTCCACTGGTTCGCTACGACTCTTCAACCATCATGGCTTTCCTTGTGAACATCAACAGCCGGACCCGCGTGGCTGAAACAGCAGCTTTTTCCAGCTTTTATTCAGTCGGGCCCACGGGCCAAATGCCCACCGCAATGAAAAGTCGCGACATTCCCTCAGTGCACCGCAACACTTTGACTTCTTCCCCGTCCCCGAGTTGCATCCACCAAACATCTTGCGTGGTTCAGGATGAGTGAGTCGCTGCCCTTGGTGGGCCGCAGCCTCGCCATCTTCGTCGTTGCGACGGTGATGATGGGGATAGGCACGGTTGCAGTTGCTTTGCGCACGTTTGTCCGTGTACACTTGGTGCGGGCATTCGGATGGGACGACGCGCTGATGATTGTTGCTTTGGTACGGTCGCCTTGACAGGTGTTATGTATGATGCTGGAGGAACCGAAAGATAATTAACTTTTTGACAGGTGCTCTTCATCTTCCTTAATGTCTGCTGCATGATTGGAGCAAAAACCGGAGTGGGTCACAAGATGGTGGACTTCACCAGTGTTAAGACAATAGAGAAAGCCATGCTGGTAAGAGAAATCCGTCTCCTTCACTTGTCTGCATGCAATCTCTTATGCTAAGGTGGAGAACTGTAGTGGTGGTGGCTGGGCCAGATGTTATATCTCTGGGCCTCCGCTGTCGCCAAAGTGTCCATCGCGCTCGCTTTGCTGCGATTGACAGTACGCCAAGCGCATCGTATCATTCTGTGGATCATCATCGGAGTTGTCACAGCCATCGGCTTGATGTTTTGGCTGGTCTTGCTCTTCGACTGCCACCCTGTCTCATACTTCTGGTTGCGTCTGGAACCCACTCATTCGGGAACCTGCCTGTCGATCGGGACCCTGCTAGCCATTGCTTACTTGTACAGCGCCATCACCATCTTCTGCGACCTCACTTTGGGCATTTTGCCCGTGTTTTTGATCTGGCGACTGCAGATGAACGGTCGCACTAAGGTCGCACTGGGCGTGATTCTCAGCCTCGGAGCCATGTATGTGTCTGTTCGTTGAGATGCTCTAGTCGTGACGTCCTAACCCAGTTCCAGTGCGAGTGTTGCTGTCATCATTCGACTTCCCTTTCTTCATCACTATGGCGACACCGATTTCCTCTGTAAGTGACCGCCCCACGCCTCCTGGCATAATGCTTATTTTCTCACGCGACGCAGATTCCACATACCAAATCGCTATTTGGTCCATCATTGAGACCGGACTTGGCATTACGGCTGGCAGCCTCGTCACTTTACGCGCTCTATGCCGCTGGTTCCTCGAAAACACCAGCAGCCAAGATCGTCGGGTTCCGGGCAAACAGGCCAGCGATGGCCCCTACGCACTCTCCAGCTGGACGGGAGAGGCCTCGAAGAAGAGCATGCGCGATCCCCGATATTGGCGTCCTGATCTCGTTCCCGGCCAGATGGATCATCTGACCGTCACCACGGTTTCCTCGCCGATGGCTGGGAGCCCACGGAGTGACGCCAATAGCAGCCAGGAGATACTGAACCCGGAGGGGGAAGCCTGGTATCATGGAAACCAGGTCGGCATCCACCAGACGTTTAAGCTATCTGCGGGAGAGTAACTTGATCGGGTACCGGCTTGCATCATTTGTTTCAATACCCATCCCCGATTTAATATAACATCTCTTCTATATCGTGTTAGACGCCCAGCTCCGTTGCGCTGACAGAAGGAACAGCCCCTCAGGCTAATATTAGGGAAGCAATATCTATAAATCTCGAGAATCGTGAGAGAGTCATGATCATAACAACCTCAGCGCAGCATGCTAACGCATCGAGCAATCAATACAAGGAGTAAGAAAGAAGAACCACAGCGCTCATCAGATCCCCAGACTGGCACAACTGAACGCCGGGGAAACCGATCCCGAGTAATCCGTGATGATGGCCTCTACCGCCGCATACAATCCCGGTCCCAACAGAAACAAGCCACAAGCCATGACGAAGGCATGCAGTAGGGTCATTGCCGTGCGCCCGAGTCCCACAAAAAGCTTCCCCCGGTAGAGATGCCAGTAGGCTACCGCGAAGAAGATGAAGCCGAAAAAGGAGTCAAAGGCGGCACCCAGCAACGAGAGAAAGTCGCCCATGCTGGGGATGACCTCGGAGAAGATGAATCCCACCACCCAGATGCCAATCATGACCAGGGCCCAGACGCCCCAGCCCACGACGGTGTTGCTGTGCGCGTGTCTGGAGGTGCCCAACAGATGGGAATAGATGAATTTGGCGGTGACGTTGGCGTAGATGGCGCCGATGACCAGCGTGGGCACGATAACAAAACCGAATGAGGCCTTCCTGTACACGACGAGGCCCAGACTGCCAAAGGCGGGTGCAGTGGCGTATTGGCCCAGATAGTGAAAGCCGATGGCGGGCGGCATGATGAAGAGGATGGTGGAAATGGTAGCCAGGACCGCCAGTGACTTGGGGAAGTCCTCCGGATGCTCCATCTCGGCGATGAAGGTGGGGAAGAGAATCTGGGGCACCCAGAGGAAGGTGATGTTCAGGACGGCATTCATGCAATCCACCCAGCTGGTGCCAGGCAAAGGGAAGGCGTATGTTCGCACAGGTCCATCGGTCGGATAATCCAGGGGTGACTTCTCAATGCCCGCGAAAATAAGGAACAACAGGATGGCAATACCCATGCAGGCCGCTGACATTGTTAGCGAAATACAGGGTGTAGACATTGCGGTGGAGTGGATCATAACTTACCCGAAAACATCGACATGAAGGAGACATGATGCAGGGTTCGTGGAGCGGACAGAACGATGCCCATGACCATCACGATCGCGGAGAAGGTCACGGTACACAGAGAGTGATCAGACAAAGTATCCAGCACCTTGGCTCCAGTCAGGATATGGAAACCAATTAGCAGGATGTTGTTAGCCAGCAACATGAAGCCGGAAAAGATGTATGCCGTTTGGCTTTTGCCGAAGACATAGTAGCCAAAGTCACCTGTTCCGGGGAAGACAAACTCGAGTCAGCCTTAATATTCCATCACAGGGGTCATAGGGGAGATGGAGAGAGGAGTTACTGACAAATGTTTTTGATTTGCGGGTGCTTCATGATGTACTTGTGCATGGTGAGGGAAGTGACCCAGAAGAGAGCGCCGGACACAACCATGGTAATGATGCCGGGTACCCATCCAAGTACGCTGAGGGGACCCAATGATGATGGTCAGTTCGCGGGCCAATAGACGAAAATCTCTGTTGACTTACGAGAGTGACCAGGATTGAGCCATGATAGCCAGACAGACTTGGTCTCCGGCAAGCAACCAGGCGGCCTTTTGCCAGGACATGGTTCGGAGTTGAATCTCATGTTGATGGTCTACATCCCGCCATCCCAGCAAGTTAGTCTCGGTCTTCCCAAAGATGTCGAATTGAGTTGCAGCTTACCTTCGGTCACCAACGCATTCCAGATCTCGGTGGAAGTGGACTCATCGGATGTCAGCTCGGCCACATCAGTGGGCGCCTGTTCCAGCTTCTCCTGGCGATACATCGGAGGAGCTGTCATGGGTGCAGGGGGAGAACTGCTGGAAACCAACTAGCAGATTCTAGTGGGAAGTTGACTCGATCGGAATGCAAGGATCGACGAGCCCTGCAGCAGAAGAAGTATTTAATTTATCAAATGAAACAAAGGGTCAAGAGAGAGGAAGAGAGACAAGAGAGAAGAATCTGGTAGGGATAGTTTGAGGATATCGAAGGTTTGATTGGCAGGCGAGGCGGAAGTGGATATGGCGTGATAAGCCCCAAAATGGCGAGGGAGAACATTTTCATTGCTTTGATTGCTGGCTGGATCGTATAGCTATCGCGTTAGTTTATCTAGTTTATCTACAATGTATTCTGTCTGGCTTATCGTCTCCCCGCGTGTGGGTCGCGTGTCAGCCCGTCTTGACCTATCCTGCTCGCTACTAAACTATTTCGATCGTCCCGGTCGCATGTCATCACCATGGCTGCTGCGGGCTGGGAATGGCGTGAATTGCATCCATCGGGTTCTTTAGAGAACTTCCCACTCCCAGCACAACATTTTATTGGATCTTCTGGAATGAACTTGTTTTGTCATAATGTTCTCTCGATTGCACTCACCATTTTCGGAAAGGCTCGGAGTGACTGAGATGGCAGTGACCAATAAGTGTCGGCAGTCTCCTTGGTCACATCTCACCATGACCAATACTTCTCACTCTGCTCATTCGTGAAGAAAGTAACCGACGGTCCGACCGGTGAATTATCGCCGGAAACTCAATCGAAGAAATGCGACACGTGGTTAGATAAATATGGTACTGCACGCAGTCGCTGAATAGTGCACCCAATCCCATCTTCGGCTTGTAGCTTAGCTGAATATCTGATTGCTTCTTAGCTGCACAGTGGTGATCAGGCACCCTCGAGGTTATATCGAATCATAAATGACAGGGTCTCATCGTGTCGCATGCGAAACGTGTTACCAGTACTACATCACAAATCCCTCTCACAATGCGTTGTACCGGTAGCGCAAAGTTGAAGGAGGAGGAGAAGAGCTGGTGAGATCGCACAGGGACCAGCTTTATCCTGGCCAATTCCCTCAGTCATGTTGCGCGGCCATCTTCTGCTGCTGACTATCAACTGGGCTGGGGTGCTACATGCCCTACCTAGCCTGCAAATCCGTAAGGACCATCAACAAGCGCCGTCAGTTGACCTCCGATGATACCTTTCACCCTACCGAAAACGGGCTGAACGTGTAGTGGCTACGATGGATATGGGCATGGAAAGGAGGCGCCCAGCAGACCTACCTGAACGAGCGGACTCTTGAGAACACAGCTATCCACCTGGGTCTGGCTGAAAGAAAGATTGGCATGGAATCACTTCTAAAGGAACATAGGAGGTTAAAACATCCAAGCTAGGATAGGTGAAGTCCATAGCGCTGTCATGATCGTTGTCATTTCACATTTCAGATATAAACGCTGTCTATACAGACATATATACCTGTAAGTATAGATTAGTATTTCTTCTCCATCACGAACCCATGCCCAGCCAGATACTCTTCCAGCTCGCGATCCTCCTTCTCCAGATCCAACTTCCCGCTTTCCGGCAGAAACCAGTACACAATCATGCCCAGAATCGCCACGCCACCGAGAAGGTAAAATGTGGCGCTATCTCCCGCGGCATCCTGCAAGGGTGTAAAACACTGCGTGCCCACCGCCGCTCCCGTGCGACCGAAAGCCGTAGCTACACTGTATCCCATGCCGCGCATGGCGGTGGGGAAGGATTCGGTGGAGATGAGGCCGATCGTAGCGCCCGGCCCCATGTGTCCAAAAGCTTGCAGCAGTCCGTAGAGCACCACAAAGGCCGCAATATGCTGAGAGAGCTTGGCGTAGGTGCCACCGATGATGAAGCCCAGGACCACGTAGCCCGCGAATCCGGCCATTCCGGTGTACCGGCGTCCGATCGAGTTGGTCAGCCAGGCGCCGACGATGACGCCGGGGACGGGCAGCGCAGCCAGAATGACTTGCCAGATGGCGGTAGTCTGGATGTTGCCATCCTTGACGAGCGAGGAGATGATGGTGCTCGACATGATGCTGTTTGGGAAGTTAATGAAGTCGTAGAGGAAGAAGGCCAGCGAGGTGGTGAAGAGGCGCTTCCAGTAGCGGCGCACCAGTACCCAATAGAATCGGGCGGGCTTCCGCTGGCGCTTGAAGTTGGAATGGTGATACAAGGTCGAGTCGGTCATGAAAAACCGCAAGACCATGATGATGGCGGGCAAGATGGTGGCAATGCTGTAGATGGCATGAAAGGTGACGGGCAGGTTGTTGTCGGTGGCCTTGAGGCAGATCAGGTAGATGATCATCAAAATGGGAGAGGCAGTGGTGGCCATTAGCGTGGTGAAGGAGACGAAGACGGGGCCTCGGTAGCGGCGCTTGAACTGCATACAGATATTCTGCTTAGCTGCACATTCTTGAAGTTCTTCATCATGGTCTGCTTCCTAGTGCGCTGGCAGGGGAGAAAGGAATGGGAAACATACATCGTCGGATTCTTCCAGACCGGCCGCAGCACTGGGAGGGTATTCTCCGCCCACGCCAAACCCACAGATGCCACGGACGATGACAAAGTACCAGAGCATGTTGTAAGAGGGATGCACCTGCAGGGCCAGTGTGGCCATCAGCGTGGAAATGGTGACCAGGCCCGAGGTGAAGAGGAGACCGGCGCGTCGGGAGGCCATGTCGGAGACGTATCCCAGCACAACCACTCCCAAGATAGCACCGATGAGTAGGGAATTGCTGATGCGCGTCTGCATCTCCGATGGGTAGCCGGATTTGCCCAGCAGCTTCTTGAAGATGACATTGGTGGGGTTGGCCAATTGGTTTTGAAAGCCATCACTGAAATTGGCGATATACTGTCAGACAAATTGGTTAGCGACGCGTTCTCCGAAAAAAACTTAGTCGGGGAAGGGAAGAGAGGAAAATGGAAGTTCATCGGCTTTGACTCACGCAGCTCAGGATGGTCAAATTGCTCTGCCAACGCGTGGGACGGTAGGCTGCCGGCGAACCATTTTCCACCTCCTGGTCGGCCACCACCGTTTCTGCCGCCCTCTTGTCGGACGTGCTTTCGCGCATCGGGGGTGTTTTTGCAGACTGACTTTGCGGAGGGATCAAACTGGTGCCCCTGGAGGGTAGGGACAGGGCAGAAATTTAAGTTGAGGGGAAGCTTTGACGGGAGCCCTATAACAGGCCCCGGCACCGGCCGCGAAACGACTATCATCAGATAAAACAGATAGTAGAGCAGACCCAGTTCCGATAATGTCGGATGCTCTGGTTGGCCGATTAGATGGAATTAAGCATTCTTCTCTGCTCAGGCCATTCAATCTCCGCGGGGAGAGGAGAAGGAAAAGAATGGTTGACTACTGGCCAATGACTAACCATGGTCGATCCCCGAAGCCAGATGGAGGAGAGGAGAGGATGATCCATTCCCCCACTTACTTTCCTATTGCTCCTTTCCCCAAATTGCTGATATCATATCACCGGTATGTCCATCACCGCTTGCAATACCTAATTCCAACACTTACGATGAAGAAGAACCAACGTAGAGGCTGTAAAGAAGACGAGGGGGCCGTGAAAGAAGCAGAAATGAAAAAGTCTTGTTGGACCCTGTTGGATGACCCACTTGCCGTGGGTCGGTACGTAAGGTGCCCAACTAGTATCCAGTGAATATCTAGAGAGGGCTGAACTACTTTGTAGTGTGGAAGTTAGTGCGTGAAAGGATAGAAGAAAAAGAAAAGAAAGAGGGGGGCGTGCTGGGCCTCGCCGGTGAGCCATGATTCCAGACTCTTGTCACCTCAGGCTAGAAAATATAAAAATAAATAAAATTGACCGCAGTAGCCGAGATTGTGTGTGTCAGCGGAATTGCTTCGGAGATTCTGAGCTAGACAGGAACAACTCATTACTAACATCCATTATAACAATTTGGTAGTAGTAGTACTGCTCACTTAGTAGTCAGAGACTCGGATGTTTATTTACGACAATCATATCGCATATACTACTATGTACTATTTGATACAGTCAACGGCTACGGATGTGCACTTCAAGGACATCCTGAAGGAGCTACTACTTCAAGATATATATACAATCTGAATTAGAACTAACCGACTATAGATACAAGAAGAACTGACAAATTCGAGCATTAAGATAACCATGAATAATCATCAAACGGAATGAGGAGCATTCAGCATCATTATCACCTTACTGTGCTTTCTTCTCTTGGGTTCCATCCTGTCCTTCTGCCGACTGCTGATCCTGACCCTCCGGCGATGGCATGCGCGATAGCCAGAACCGAGAGATCAACCCGCCCAGGTATTTTTCATCGATCCACTTGACGAGGCCATACAGCAACCAACCCCAACCCCACAGCGACACACCCATCATGCTGGCCACCAGAAGCACCGGCCCCAGGATGAGAACCGACAGTATCGCCCAGAGAAGAATGGCGACCGCAGCGAAGACAAAGACCCCCGCGAGAAAGACGAGTAAGGGCACACCGCAGCAGATGGCCTGGCAGATGAGAAAGGTGGTGCTGGCGGGACGGCGCGCGGCCTCATCGTACAGCCAGGCCTGGCGTGGTGCTGGTAGGATCCAGGAAAGCAGTCCGGCGAGATGAGCCTCGAAGCGATCGAGTAGACGGGGGAGGGACTGGCGACACCACTGCTGGAGAGGCGCCAGCACGGGTCCGTTGTTGGTGTCGTCGCGCTGCGCATCATGGATATGATCCGAATCGCCAGGAAATTCACCAGGGAGGACCGAGTCGGACAAGTGAGTGGCTGTTTGCGTAGTGGTGTCTTGGGTTTGCTGGACGGTGGATTTGAGGTCATTGGTCAACTTGGGCGGACGGCCAGCCAGGTTGCCGGTCGCGGAACTGAGAGACATGGCGGAGATGTTGGAGATGGCAAAGCGAGAGCCAGCAGGTCAGGGAGAAGAGAAGTTTAGATGGAATTCAATTATCAAGAGAATCGAAAGAGGGAGAAAGATTACATAGGGAGCTTTGAGGACAGATAGTTAGTTCATCTGAAGGGGGAGCAGGAAGAGTAGCGAAGCAATGACGTATAGGGCGGGGGAATCCAGGGTTGCCCTGACGGATGGACTGACACAACCGACTGACAGTCGTCGCTGCAGAACTCTAAACTCTGTCCATCTGGTATCTGGTACCTCTTTTACCTCCTGCTTCTCATCGCATAGTTTCACCCTCCATTAGGACAAGGCTTCCCTTCGGCTGTGACGTCACTGCTCTCCTGCAGCACATCCTCGGGGATAGTTGGTACTTATCGGAAATCCTAGTAGGATGTTTACAAGAACCATGTGGCCCATTGATCTCAATTCTCGGTCTACACAATATACAAGGCACATGAGGTACCTCCTATCTTTTGCCTATACTGTAGAACCTATATGTTCATCCTCGATCGCTTCCTGCTTGGTCCTGCGTCGCCCACACCAACTGCTTCGCTTCCCCACCGCCGCCCGCGCCTTGTCATTCCCGCCATGTCCCTGTCTTCCGATACGTAAAAAGGCACACAAGGGAATACTGATGGCCGATATTCCAGCACAGTAGAGCAAGGTGGCACTGTACGGGGCGATCGCATCCCCGGCAAAGTACCCATGGCTGGTGGGCCCGCCCGCCTCGACGGCATCGAAGATGGCCGTGCTGATGCCCATCCCGATCGTCACGCACAGCTTGGTCACGGTCTGCAAGATGCCGCCGGCAATGCTCTGCTGGTCGTCTGGCAGCGCGCTCATCACATACATGTTTGCGACGCAGAACTGAAAATCCGCCCCCACCACCGCCAGCAGCAATCCGGGGAAGATAAATGCCCAGTAGCTGCTGCTCGAATGCTGCAGACCCATGAGCAGAAAGGCCCCCGTGTACGCCGTGGCCCCGACCGTCATGAGCAACGTGTTGGACACCCGATGCATGATGAGCCCCGCCACAATGTTGACCAGGATGCCGCCAATCGCCATGGGGAGCAGGTGCACGGCCACCATGAGGGCGGAGTAGTGCCGGAGTTCCTGCAGAAACAACGAGATCCAGAAGGTCATGATGGGGAAGGCGAGAAAGCCCAGCAGCAGAATCGTGATGACCAAGGAGAAGTCCCGGTCGCGCCAAATGAACATGGGCACCAAGGGGTATTCATACCATCGCTCCCAAAACACGAAGCCAATGATGAACAGCGCCCCCAGGATGAGCAGTACGAGCACGTATGGTGTCTTCCAACCAGAAGGGGCATCCGAGCCAAGACTAAAACCGGTTTCACTGTCAGTCGTGAAAGATGAGGCGAGGGAATGATGAGGACAGTCAGGCAACGCACCTCAAGGCGCCCGAGAACATGCCAATCCCGGCGATGGTCAGAATGGTCCCGACAACGTCGAATTTCTTCAGAGCGAGGAGAGACAGAGGCTCCTTGGCCCCATGGTCCGTCGGCACCACCCAGAGTGCAACCGCCACCACCACGACGTAAATGATCGCCAACAAGAAGAAGCTCGCTCGCCAGTTGAACAGCTGGGTCGCAATACCCGAGAATATGGTGCCAAACACGAAGCCCAACGGATTACCGGCGCTGAAACAGGCAAACACCCGATTCTTGCGCTTGGACGGGCGCGGGTAGAGGCTGGCCAGCATCCCCTGCGCCGGCGGGATCGAGGCAGCTGACATCAGGCCCATCACGCCGTTCAACACGTCCAGTTGCAGGGGCTTCTGGGAAAATCCGGCACCCAGAGCGAACACAGCATAGAAGATGAGGCTGCCGAGAAAGAGGGTCTTGCGACCAAACAGGTCTGCCAGGCGGCCGAAGCAGAGGAGAAAGGAGCCACAGGCGAGCCTAGAGATTGCTCATCATTAGATACACGGATAGGCGAAGGGAGATAGGGGGAGGAAATGAGGGATGGCGCACGAGGAGGAACCAGCCAGCCAGGTGAGTTCAGCGGTGGTCATGCCCAGATCCGTCTGCACTTGCGAGGTGAGGACGGTGACACTGCCGGTCAGGAGCGAGGACATGGCAATGGCCATGGTGGCCACGGCGACAAAGAGGATCTCCTGAACGGTGGAAGAAAAGACCGCGGGGCGAGCCTCATCGTTGGGTGGTAATTCGTGGAGTGCCGTGGTAAAGGATGGGTCCTTCTCCTGCGCGCTGGACATGTTGGACTCCATTTCCCCCATGTTCGCCGTTGGGGGCGATTGCGCGAAGCGTAGAGGGAAGACCGTCGCAGAAGTAGTAGTGCGAGGATAGCTGACGAAGGGAGGGGAATATTGAAGAAGGAAGGCGTAATTGGTGCCACCTTTGGTGCCACCCGAAGAACCAGTGAAGGGAAAGACAGGTATAGCCAACAAAATTAATTATTCACTAACAGAAACCCCAGTAAACTAGTTAACTCGACTAGTTCGTCGCTACTCACGCGGCTTACGAAAGACGCGGAGAATTTCCGCAGAGATCGGCAAACCCGCCAACTGGTTCAAAAGTTGCACAGCAGATCTCTGCTTGGTTGACACCGCCAGTTGAGAATGACTGAGGTCAAGGGTGATTGACTGTCCAAAGTGGTGAGAACTTGGTACATTTGAAGAGATTGAAATGGCATCAATGTATGATTGTAATAATATTGGTCTGCTAATCCTCGAGAGATGCAACAGCAGCAAGTCGGGGTGTCGGTCAGATCATCATGTATCGGGGCCAGACAAGCCAAGGAGGGCCGGAAACCGAGACCCGTAAGCTCCAGTCAAGACGCAGGTCTTGTCCGGGGATACTATCAGCAAGCACAATACGAGAAAACGCTTGCAACTGACTGGTCTCCCACTGGGGATACCCAGGTGTCGCAGAGGTAAATCGAGTGGTTATTGTGTTCCGATTCTTGCCACCCTCAGTCGACTACAGTGATGGTTGGTAGTAATCTACCACTCACTGGCTGTCCTTTCCCGACCGGAGTCCAACTTTTTCAACTATAGGATAAATCGCTGGGATCTCCTGCAGGAGAGAAGGATGGTCGACTGAACTCAACAAATGAGTCACCAAGCAACATGAAGAAACCGTGCTTACAACCTTTGTCCTCACATGCTAGACATGTCGGGTGGGGGGTTCCGGTCCAGCCAGCATCAAGCGGATATTAGCAGTGGTTTCCTGCGTCTTGTGGGGCGTGGGGACCATATATGTCTGTCGAAATTAACAAGCCTGAGAGAGAATCAAAGTTATTTAAAGTTCCATCCACAGGTGGATCCGGGCTTCCTTGTCCAGACGTCCCTTGGATCGGGGTTTAGCCCACTGCGGGGAGCATACCCTTCCCCTCCCCTGTTACCTAGTATGCACGGACAATCCATGGCAATCGTACCCAGACAAGAAGTGAATTTAGCCCCGCTCTCCCAACATGTAAACCGGGACGAATTATGGTGGGTTATGACAGACAGCATCTTGTCTGCCACTGCCTGCAGTGAGTCTCTCGAATGGGGTTCTAGATTACGTTATCAGCCCACGAGGAGAGGAGAGAGAAAATTAAATTGAAGAGAGAACCTAATATGTCATCCACCTCTTCACCACCGTGTACGAATGCACATATTTCCCCATCTTAAACCGATCTAAAGCTTAGTATCCATTGATATAGTGGCCGAAGGAGTCTGTATTGAAGTCTATTGGGTATCGAGTTGGCACAAACATCTCTCCTACAAGGCATCATGTCGTCGTCGCAAAAAAATAACCACAATCAAGCACTAGAAGGGACCAAAACCTCCCCCAAAGTCGCCAAAGTCCGGTGGCGGTGGTGGGCCCTCAAAATCATCCTCCAACGCCTCGATGCCTTCTCCGAGCAGAAATCCTCCTAGCAATCCTCCGCCCACTCCTAGGGCAGCGGCCCCCATCTTGCCCATGCCTTTCTTCTGCTTCTGATTGCGCGGGGGTTGGGCTTGATCTGGGCCGTTCTGGTAGGCATTGGGATACTGATTGGGGTAGGCAGGTTGCGGGGGATACGCAGGGTTATAGCCGTAGCCATTGTACCCGTACTGGGGCTGCGGGTAGCCATAGGGCCCTTCCCCTCGATTCGGCACATAGTTGGACTGCGACGCAGGTCGCGGGGAGGAGTAGTAGGCATCCGGACGATCCCGAGCTCGTGGATCTGGATTTTGTCGATCACGCGTGGTGGCCTCGTAACTGGGCGGGGGACCATTGGGAGGGGGAGCCGCGCCATCCGGCTGGGCTGGTCGATCTGGTCGTTCCCATTGCGAGCGTCCGGTGTGAAGATTGACATAGTACCTAAACAGTAACAGAGCCATTAGTACGGGAGGAGTTGAGAGAGGAAGAAGCGAAAACATCACGGTAGGTGCTTACCATTCCTGATATCGGTCATCAAATTCGGCTTTCCAGCCCTCGGGAACGATAGGGGCAGGTGGGGGCATTCTTGACACCTTATGAGTTGGGATAACTTCGGGAAAATTTGATGAAATGAACGTAAGTATTAAAGTAAAGTCCTGGTCTATGTTATGATTGAGAATAAAAGATGACAGACTGGACATACCGAGTGGATCTATATCTCCCTTTAAATAAGGGCATCGGATATGGCGGGCCGAGTTGGCCGGCAAAGTATTTAGGCGACTGCGCCACTTGACGTCATCCCGAACACCGCAGAGGCTTGTCTATACCATGCCGAACAACTGGGGAACCACACTCTTGATGGTGCGGCCTTCAAACGCATCCTAGATCATATTCAACCGGCCGAAAGTCTTGGAGAAGGCGGTGCAGCTGGCTAACGTGGCAACGAACCCCAGGGAGTCTTCCAGTGAATATTCGAGCCACAAGGAACCACTCCCATCACGATAGTATTAAGCTGATCCGATTGTTCCTGAGCACTTCCTTCCAGCCTTCGAATATTTCCTCCAAAGAGAAATAATATCATAGATAGTATGTCGCTGTCGGTGTGTTGGCGGCGCATTTTACATTATTTCCAGTAAGGTCCTCGACTGTGGCGGACTATCATCATCTTTATGCATCCGCTGGACTGTTTCCCTCTTACATTCTCCGAATAGATGCCAGTATCTGGCTTTGCATAGGTGATAATAGCTCGACCATGGTCTATACCGAGGAACAGGTTTATCTCGTGGCCATTGGTAGGTTATTGAGGCCTGACGAACGGGAGTATCCACCGGGTTCCGGCTTCTCCGTGCAAACAGGCAGTTATATTCTTCCGGCGGCGATGTTTACGGCGTACATTAATGGGTCATGTTTCCTATAAACTGACACCTTAATTTTTTTTCTCCACACTATTGTTCTCCCTCCAGTGCAAATTAGCAGCTATACACGTTGTCCGGAGCTTGGAAGCCCCTCGGAGTCTAGTATAGGTTGTCATAGAAACATGGCAGAAAATGAACGTCGATACCAGCCTCCGGTAAGATTTGAAAGCTTATGTGAGGTAAAACAGTCGACTAACACCCTCTAGCCTGGTCCTCCGCCAAATTTCCACGCAGGGCCTCCTCCCCAAGTGCCCCAGCCAGCTGCGACCTATGGATATCCTCAAGGGCCGGCTTATCCACCACAAGGCCCACCACCACAGTCGATGCAATATCCAGCCCCGATGGCGGCTCAACAAGTCCCCCCAGGGCGTATACAACAGAGCAACCAAGCGTCAGGAGAAGAGGAATGTTGCACAGGCCTTCTTTCGGCCTTTGCATGTTGTTGCTGTCTCGATCTGCTGTTATGATTAGTTGTCCTCCCCGGGAGGGGAGTATAGTGGAAATCAACATGAACCGTTCAACCCAGCTAATGGAAGGATACGGACAAAACTTTTTCCTTTGAGCAGAGCTGGCCCGTTTCTGCCAGGCGATGAATCATATATGTCAGTCAATCAATAATCTTCACGAGTATAGGTCTCAAGCCCGGTTTCTGGACCCATATATCCATCCACTTACTTTCTGTCGTGACCACAATATAGGAACTCACTACTCAAATCAAACTAAACTTACAAATACGTGCTATGGGCTATGTATGAGGTACGATGAGTGCGAGGCCGAGACCCTTGTTCAATGTTCCAATGTGCTAGTTATGAAAGTCAAAAGGCCCATCCTTCCGTACGCAATAAATCGAGTTGATCACTACCCCGCACTAAGAGTAACAAGCACACCTCTAACCCATATGTTGGAAAATGTTACGTCAAGTCACGCAAGCCCAGGATGGCCAGTATCAATATGTCAGCCTCGTCGTCAAGAATCCTATAGTATACTTTGGACGTCTATGGGAAAAGAGGAGCGCTTCGGTAGGTACTTGGCTCGTGCTTCTTGCCAAGGTTAGCGACTGAAGCAGTTTTTTCAGTTAATGCCGGTGCGTATAGCGATACTGTTAGACACTATCATGATGTGCTTCATTATGTCATTTCCGAAGAAGGATTCAATTGGTATTACTCTCAACATGATGGTTGAGTTCCTTGACCCTCAGTTCAAGCTACTCGACCGGCCATCGCTGGCCTCGCCGGAAACGCAAGCCGACGGAGTCCGGCTCTCAGACGTGGAGACTCATCTTGCTGAACTAGTAGTATGCAGGTAGACCCACAAGTAATATCCCTTTATCCTCAACAGTTCCTTTCAGCTCAAGCAGAGCTATTAGCCTCATGACGCAGCAATCATTGTCGATCAATGATGGGATAAACTCTGCGGCCATTTCTCCACTCCATGTGCAGTCACCCCCGCCAATGCTATGTGGTCACCGACGGACTCCACTTCCAAAAGACATGGGTCTCCCCAATTTCTCATCTGAAGTAGATGAGATACTACTCAGGGTCTAATTTCCATGCAGGGTTTGTCTAGCACTTGATTTGTACATGAGCGCGGAGCTGCCAACGTGTACCACATTAGGCAGGTGCCTTCCTATCGCTAGAGCCCTTTGACCCCTGCATAGCAGTGACCTGAGCGTCTTGTGGTAAGGTATTTTGACAGAGTGTCTCCAATTTGTGATGGGACAGGTTTCAGAGCAATGTATTCCAACTCATAGCCTGATGTGAGTAACCCAATATGCCCTTTGCCATTGGGTGCATTGCCCTTTGGGGCCAGGAAGCCCACAGGCCATCATGTACGAGCTATCTACACGACGTTGCCCATTCGCTTCTATCCAGGCCTTATCATGTTTCCTTAAGGGTATCCATAACTTGAGAGAAGTATTTGTTTCGGGTCCACTTGATCTAGTGCGCATGACATGTAATGGCCACAGTCTTCTCCTTCGGTAGCCACACTGTCTATTGCACCACTCTCCGTGTTGCATATATTTTGCGCTGAAATATTAACCCGCCGTGGGAACGTCGTGAATTATACTCCTTAGAAATTGCTTGTACTTGGGATCTTCGGTGACAGTGAGCAATAAAAGCTAGCCCATAAACTGCATGAAAGAGTAATAACCTGATATGATAGGATCCTTACAAGTCCATACTTGCAGATCTGCGCCATGGTCGAACGCTTCTCTGTAGAGCAGATTTCCGCCTCATCCAAGCAAAAGTCCAGGATGTCAAAGACGAAGACCCTACTTTTTACCATTTTCATCATCCTGCTGTCGCTCTGCGCTGTAGTAGCGCTCATAGTCGCCTCGATCGCAATGAAAAAGACACAAGAGCTTGAGAATTTCAAGTCCTCGCTCTTCATCAGTGACCTGGAGCGCATTTTCAATAGCACGGCCTATGCTATTGCAATTGATGGAACAGATGCACCGGCATGCAGTGACCTTACTGCTGAGACTATCACCGGCCAAACGACACTACCTGGTGATTGTGTGTCTGTCAAAGAAAGCTATAATATGTGGGTGACCAGGCTGGCAGATAACTGTGCTCCATATCTTTTCGCCGAGGAGAACTGTACCGGTGCTTTTAAAGACTTTGAGAAGTTGGCTACCCCTGCCTGTATCGTCGCAGCAGGAGGAGGCCGGTTGAACGGGAAAGAGGGGAACTTTTACAGGAGCTTTCAGATATCATGTACCTAGAGATCGGCCCCATGAAACTGCAAGATATAAGAAGGGAAGCGAGAAGTATTATCATTTGACATAGAACAATCCTCGCTATTACAAAGGCAAACTTGATGGGGCCGAGAAATTTGCTTTTTACTTGAATGACCGAGCCCGTTGCAGCTAGCACCTTGTTGTAATGCTTTTTCCTTTGCGGGGATGCTGTCAAGGTATCTTGATGAGATAATGCTGATGGCCTACTGTTTGAGTTCTCATGTCACATGGTGTAGCCCTTCAATCATCGACTGTTGTTCTCCTACCAGCCTGTTTAGTTATACATCCAGACATCCTGTCACACGCAAAATCATTACATGAGTCATAGAGAAGAAATCGCCTTCATGTAGTATAAAGTAGACCTACAATAGTCCATTGCCAAACAACAGCAGGACTAGACAAAATCTAGTCGCCACACATCATCCAACCGCTCATTTGTCTCAGCAAGTCCACCGTGAATTAGGATGCTTCCAGGATTGGCATCTGCTTCAGGGCCGATGACGTCCGCATCAAACCAGCCACGCGCCGGAGGTCTGTTTGGCTCCGCAATATCCACCTGTGCCCACCGCTGAGATTGGAGATCAAACGCCCATATATCCGCCAGCATCTTTCCAGCACCCTGGTGTCCCAGGCTACTGGGATCATGCTCGCCAAACATTGTTACCAGAGACTGCCTCCCACCGATCATCGTGGCGAGCAAGCAGCCCACGCTTCGCGGACTAGGCCCGGCGATTCCATCCGACGCATACGTGAGACTGGTCCAATCGTTCGTCTGTACATCGTACACGTCCAGGGATCCACCTTGCTCCCTGGTCCCATCAAATCCGTTCATCCGGTAAATTCGCTGATCACCGTACGCGATCGACGCGCCGCCTCGTTCCGGGCCGGGTGCTGGGGGCAACTCCAGCCATTGCCGGGAATGGATGTTGAAGGCCCAAAGGTCGCGTAGACGACCACTGGATGGGCAGCCACCGTGCAGATAGATAGTGTCCGTGCCGTTATTGGTGAGTGTGTGGTAGCTGCGGCCCACTGGGTATTGCGAGTTCGAGTTTGCAGGGAACAATTGCGACCAGGTCTTCTGGTTCGGATCAAAGACCCAGAAAGAGCCAGATTCCTCGATTGGGGCCATGGCAACACCGCCCCGACCGGAGAAGATGTAGAGTCTCCCAGCGAGCGCGGTCGAGGCGGCACCTACGCGGGGTTGGGGGTGACTGGCAGACGGGGGAGTTTGTATGACATTGCGGTTGCTGGATGTTGCTAGTCTGTATTAACCTCGAGCATTGTTTGAATGACTCCTGACGAGGGGAGGGAGAATGGGGGACTTACAAGTATCCAATGCTAGATGGTATACAGCAGAATCAACTGGTTCTCTTGGCCGCAGCTCTCCGCCATAGATAAATGCATTGCTGCCGAGGATGGCGAGAGTTTGGGAGGATCGCTTGATGGCGACATCCGAGAGAATTTTGGTCCAGATAGCGCGCGGCATTGTGAACAGATGTCTGCAAACTAAGAAGGAGGTAGGTGATGAGTGAATGGGACTCGAACATTGGATGGTCAACCCGCTGCCTTTATAACCACGACCGTACCGAGTAGTAAAATGGAAACATGACCAGCAATACGACGAGTACGCAGGGTGGATCCACTCTCCCAGTGTAACCGTATTACCGCGTATAATTTGACCCGATCGGGTTTAGCTCCCTTGCTCAAGGGAGAAGAATCTTGTTCATCCACGCGGTGTGGTCCCGATCATATCCGCATATCACCATCTCGGTTGGATGGTTGAGGTCGAGGAGTCTCACTTTCGGGATATCCTCTGGAACGGCGGGCAATACGAGGGTCACAATTTGCCCCCGGGACCAATAGTCCGCCACCAGAGAGATGACTCGCTTCGCGAGGTGAGTGGGATAGTGCGAGTGCTCGAATCCTCGAGTCTTCCTCTCAATGTTCGGCCACGCAACGTCCAGGATGAAGTGAAACAAGCTATCGGACCGCCACAGAACGACCAATTGCAGGAGACTTTCGGCCAGACTAAAGGTGTAGACATCGGCCGTACCTACTGCAGCAAAATCTAAGGTGCTCACAATGTGGCAGAAGTTCTGTGCCAGACGAGAAAGTGCAGTCGCGGCAGAGTGCTGCTTCGACGCGAAGTCAGATGCATACACCGCGTAGGCTTCCTGGAAAATCATCTCGCAAAGTATCTGATACAGGGTATTCATTGCATCTCGATGAGTTGCAAGGCTCCATTCTCCTGGCGACATCTGATCGAGATGGTTGTCTGCATGGCGACTGACAGGCGATTGTTTCGTGTGCCGGAGAGATTTCCACACTGCTAACCGTTCCTTTTGCACATGCAACAGCCCCAGTAGGTGCGAGCCACGCACAAAGCCTTTGTGTGCCTCGGAAAGCTCCTCGAGGACAAAGGGTCTGCCTAGCATCTCAGTCAGGAGACCGTGCGCGAGACCGCCCACCTCTCTTGACGACTCAGGGATTTGGTAATGGTAGGCAACGCAGCGGAACACTACTAGTCGCGAGCGGATCTCCATAGTTTTGATAAGAATGTCGTAGATCAGGTCATCTGTGCTCATCCCCAAAACGGCACTAAGATATAATTGGTCCGTGGCGTCTGGAAAACAGTTTGGACCGAACGAGCTTCTGCCCTCTCCCTCCAGAAGCAATGATGGTGGCTTAGATAGACGATGAGAAACACATAAGCGATGCCACATTTGCAGGGCCTCCACGCCCCCCGCTGACCGCATGATGTATTCCCTATTCCGAGAGACAAATTCAACAGTATCCCACACAGCAGACCGAAAGCGTTGGTGGTTGGTCGACGCGTGATGGTAGTGTGCAAGAAGAATTTGCGCTACAAGAATGGCAGCGGCGTCATCCGACACCTCTCTCATATCCGCCACGCGGCAGAGTTGTAACGCGCGATCATGATAGCCCCGTGCTTTGGCGTGATGCAATTTATTGACCAGTGGACTGAACCAGGACTGACGATGGCCTCCCACGAGGATACGGCTCTGTACTTGTGCATCCAACATCGAGAGATTGGATGCGGAGATGCACAGGGCGGCAGCTCGGAGGTACGGTGAGTGGAAGGTTGCGTTTCCAAATGACAAAGGCGATGCTGGGAGGAGATGTCGTACATGCCTCTGGAAATGGCTTATGTAGCACGTCTCAAGATAATCTCCACAGTCCAGAGCTCTAGTTATTCTGGCTTGGGTGAGTTGATGAGCTATGCACGTTGGCAGATGGCGAAGCTCTTCGGCCACATTACTCGGCGCAGAACTTGGGGTAAGAGAAGCTGACTGGGATCCCACTGCCAGAGCGGTCGGCTGTCGCTGCAAGTTTGCCGATGTGATGTGACGGAAGCTGTAGTCAGTGCCATAGATACATTCTAAGGATAGCCGGGCGCAAGCTCGGCAACGCGGTCTTGATTCATCGCACTGTCGGGCTGGTGAGCAGGATGACTCCGATTACTTATACGCCTGGTGACAACTGACCTTTTTGCCTCGCCGTCGACAAGGCTTGCAGCCAGAATGCTTCCTCGTAATCCGCTGCCGATTGCTCGCGTCCTCCATACCCTGATCACGTAAAGGCATATGTGTTGCGATCGGAGGTTGTTTTGAGGGAAGAATTAAGTGTTTGCTCCGAGCCGGTTTCGGAGACAGAGTTGGTTACGCCCGTTACCATTTCCGTACGTTTATTACACCTATCAATTTTCCACGATTTCCACGGATACGCGTGACACGCAACAGCCAATGAGTTTCGTGCTGCATTTTACTCCTACTACTAGTACTATCCTCGACCAAACCGAAGCCGCTGTTCGCAAAACCTTCGAAGTCAATACCATTGCTGCAGGATTCGATAAGGGGCAGCAGCTTTCAGGGCGCAAAGAGACTCGGAGATAGCGGCAGCGCGTAAATCATCCACCCGGAGTTGAGAATGATCGGCGCCATGGTGTTCCCTGTTTGCTTCTAAATGAGAACGTGTGGATACATTAATTACGACCAATATACTACTCGTGATCGGAAATATTTGCTGTCAGTCAGCTGGATCTCGAGTTTCATTGCGAAAACTAGTGACATTCTGCGTAGTTAGGTTGCTTACACTGAGGATGAGATATCACTCTATCCGTCAGCCAACTTCTCAGCATGTGGCAGCTCTTCCAAACTTGATCACAGGAAGTCATAGTATGAAACACTGCATAGCCCTAGTGATGTATTCTCAGACTCTTAAGCGTTTGAGGCCTTATAAGGTCATGTGTGTTCAGACAACGATTGCTAACAAAAGTCCTGATCGGCGTAGGTGCTATAGTCGTCATGGCCAAAACAGAGAACATTCAACGATTTTTTCGAGAGAGGACCGTGATTGGGAAATGTACAAGAATTTTCATAATAAATTCGTCGTACGGTGCCTTTACAAAGGGGACGGGATCATAGTAAATCTCGCCGCAATATTTCCACACAGTCGGTTGGCGCTGACTCCAGCTAAACAGCACTAGCCTGGGGCTGAGGGGGCTGAGAGGCGGAGTTGGTCCGCGGAGAGTGTAATGTTCCTGCTCAAGTACGCAATGACCTATTAGTTAGTTAGACTCCAATTATCCCTTGTCTTCCCCCCAATTCTTACAGAGCGGGACAATACTGCTGGGAATACTCTGCAAGCCACGGGACGCAACCAACTCAAGAGCGAGTAACAGGATAGATTGGCTTGCCAGAGATATCTTTCACCTTCGGTATTCTGAGCCGTACCTATAGACACAGGCAGTTGGGTAATCTGTTCTATCGTACTGATTCTTTCCTTGATGGGCACCGTAAGATATAAGAGTCGCACTACCCCGACTTACAGATGCTCTCTCACAGCCCTTGCCTTTTCGTCCATTCCTTCCACTTCTAGCGCAAAGCGAATACATATTGCTTCATATCTAGTTACAAAGATGGCAATAATCAAGCACCTAATTCGCTTCGACACTTATGTGAAGCGGCATCCGTCCCTCACCGCGGAAGAGTTTCACCAGTAAGCTCGGCTCGAAGTCCAGCTACAAGCCATATTGGAAAGCTTGTGCTGACACCGTCGCTCTTTGTCGCTCCCCACAAGCACCTGGACTGCTAGTCACGCTCAGTTGTTGAAGAATTGGTTGGCACGCCATGGCGTATATCGCTAGAACTTGTATGTTCTCCAAAGGCTCACGTCAATTCTCCCACATTATTCCATTACTAATACCGTTTCTCGACCAGTTCCACACCCCACCAGTCATGGCCCAGCAGTACCTGGGCCAGACGCCCGCAGACAGCGATCAGGCAATGGCATTATTTGACGGACACGCGGAGATTGTGTTAGAGAATTGGGAAATTCTGAGCCGCCTGCGTGCAGATCCCTACTATCAAGAGGTGCTGGAGCCGAGCGAGGCTAAATTGATCGATAAGGCTTCTGTTGTAAGAAGAGTGGGATATGAGGAGGTTTGGATGTCGGACGGCAAGGATGCCGACTAAATCAAGCTCGCCATCTCCTCTTCCAGACCCTTGTCTCGGGTCAATCAACCAAGTGTCTTTCATGTTGCATGGTAGTTTAAAGGATACCATCCTATCATCCAGTATGTGATATTCCGGGATAGGTGTAGATTGTCTCACCCTAAGAAGCACACTTAAACTTAGCTGGCATAGTACTTCGTACGTAGTAGGCTGCCAGCCTTGAGTTCGGGCCACATTCCTCGCCTAAGCCTGGTCGGCCCTCTTTAGCGCTCAACGGAACGGGCAAACGATCGGCATGAGATGAGCAGTCTCCGTGAATTGCTTGGGAGGGCTCATTACTGCTAGTTCCATTGGTTCAAATGCAGGGAGCAGGGGTTCACGTAGCGTTGACCAATCTCAAGTGGGAGATCAGATACCATTGTTATGAGAGGGGCTGTGAACGCTGCCGGGTGGAGCCGAAAGGTTAACTCGTCGCCAACTGCCCTGGCAGCCAAGTACCAACATGACAAGTGTTGGCCTCCTTGACTGGCTCAGGACGGGGTTACTACTGTGCTACGGGTATTTCATAAGATGCTCTGGCTTCAAGGGGGCTTTTGAACCAACAGGTGCAGCTTGGGACTACTCAATCACAACCTCAATTATAAGCAACTAGAGCGTAACGCGAAGTTCACAGCCTCTACTTCTCCTGTTTAGTTATTCCTACCTCTTCGACAATATCGCGAGGCGAGTCAAGGGTTGGTTGTCGTGGCTCAGCTTGTCGACGAGGCAGTGGAGCGGGTGGAACAGACCGGGTGCAAAGGCCGCGTCCAGCCCCTTCCGCACCGTTGGATTTGGGATCGCCCGCTGTGCCTTTGCCTTCCTACTTCAGCAACTCGGCCAAAAGCCCTCATAAAGATCGGCACTCTCTTTGTTCGAATGCACCCGGTTGCTTCCTAGCTTATGGACTTCTTTCTGGTGCCCTCTCTTTACGGTCGGTTCTTTAACGGTGTGGATTCCTGCTGCCTGATAGACTAGAATTGGGCACGGGACAAACCAAGTGTACACCGTGATCTTCCATCAATCAGCCATCATTTGTAATATTACCGAGTAGTAGTATTGGGTGGATGGTAGAGCCTCTTAAACACACAGGGCTCTTCATTCAAGCTAATGGCCACACTAAGTTCTCATCCGCAGTCAAAGCTCCCCACGAAGGCTTGTCAATTGCTTGGGCCTCATTTGTTATGAAGCTTCAGTGGAGACACACGTCAATGCCTTCCAGATTCGATTTTATGACCTCTGCCCGGGCGGCAGCTTATATTAAACACGGCGATCCAGCGGTCCAGCTCTCCTGGGCCGTTTACCCTCGCCTCTTACTCTTTGCTTCTGTTACGTCCTGCGCACGATCATGGCAGCCCCTTCATCAGTCAATGCCATTCTAATCACCATCCTACTGGTAAGACCACTGGCACCCACTGCGGCCACAAGAACCAAAAATTTGTTCCAATCTCTGATCCATGCCTTCTAGCTTCCTATTCTCCTGGCCCTGAAGCGGCTTTACTTCCACCCGCTATCTCGGTACAATGGACCGCTTCTCTGGGCATTAACCCGTGTGCCGTATATGCTGGCATTCCGGAATGGCAAGTTGGCGCACAAAATAAAATCGTTTCACGAGGTGTATGGCGAGACCGTTCGCGTTGCCCCGAATGAGGTGTCCTTCATCAACCCCGACACTGTCAAAGACATCTATCAGCGCCGACCGAGCGGCGGCAGTTTCAAGTCACTTCCCAAAGATCCCATCCGCCAGGTACCTCCAAGGCCAGGGCAGCCCATTAGCATCCTCGATGCCGGCGATGCTGACCACACACGACTCCGCAAGGCCTATGCGGCCGCCTTCAGCAGCCAGGCCTTAAGCGCCCAGGAGCCGCTCGTTGCCAGCTACGTCGACAAGATGATCACCCGGATGCAGTCCCAGAGCGAACTAGCTACGCAGAAGGTTGATCTACAAGAGTGGATCAGCTTCTGCACCTTTGATATCGTCTGCAAATTAAGCTTCGGAGAAGATTTCGGCTGTTTGGACAATCAACGCTACCACGAATGGGTGGGCCAACTCGTCTACTCGCTCAAAGCCAAAGTCCAGCTAGCCTCCTGCCGCTTCTATCCCTGGCTGTTTAACTACCTTGTCAAGCGCCTCCCAAAATCTGCGGGTGTGCTCATGGCCCAGCACCAAGCTACAACCAAAGAGAAGGTGAAGCGCCGGTTACAGCAGCTGGAAAGCGATGCCAGTACGGGAGTCAATGATGCGGCAGGGGTTATTAAGCCGGATTTCCTAGCACACCTTGTGCAGCAGCAATCCCGCCGGGAAATCTCAGAAGGCGAGATGGTAGTGAACGCCGCAACTCTCATTGTTGCAGGGAGCCACACACTTCAAACTGCCATCACTGGCATTCTCTTTCACCTCCTTCGAAATCCAACAATAATGGATCGCGTGACAAGCGAGGTGCGCGTTGCATTTCCCTCTGCCGATCAGATAAACGTGTCAACCCTGCTCAGGCTGCCCGTACTAGAAGCAGCGATTAAGGAAGGCATCCGTCTCACCTCCCCGGTGCCCCTGGGGTTGACTCGACTGGTTCCCATTGGGGGCCATACCATCAACGGGGAATATTTTCCAGAGGGGGTAAGTCAATATTGTCACCACCTTTCTCATTACTTGCGTGTCTGCTCTAGCCCAAAGTGGGGAAATCAGACAATTTAGACTCATAGAAGCTAACGATGAGTTACAGACTGTTGTCTCCTACATGCAACGGGCTGCAAATGTCTCCTCACAGAACTATACCGACCCTCAGGCCTTCCACCTTGAGCGCTGGCTCAACTCGCGCCCGCAGGCTTTATCTCCGCCAGATGAACCTTTTGAAAAGGACCGGCGACATGCTACGCAGCCGTTTCTACAAGGCCCGCGGGACTGTATCGGTCAGAATTTGGCCCGCATGGAGATCGTCCTCATTCTTGGCAAAATTCTGTATCACTTTGACGTGCAACCAGAGGAGCCCCTCGGACGCTGGGAGGATCAAGAGACATATGCTGTCTGGGTCAAGACCCCACTGCCAGTGAATCTGAGAACAAGAGAGGACATGACCTGAGTGTATGTTTAGAATCGAATCCAATTGGACATCAATGTATGATGAGGCTGCGGCATTTCTTAAAGCAAAAAACTATTACCTATCTGGACAGATCAATGACGCTGATCATCTGTAGTCCCCACACTTAGGTAGACTTGTTGGTGTGATAGGGATATTCAAAGCGCACGTGAAATACTAGGTTGAGATGACTATGTTCTCATACGATTATGGGCAATGCTCATTACGGATTTGAGCACGTTGCATTTAAGGAACAACTACGATTGGTTCGTTGGCAGCCGATTTGCAGATTATGACCTTATCAATAAGAACGGGCACCGATACTGAGTAGCACAGGAGACGTCCATCACTCAGCTACATAACTGGCTACTGACCAGAGCATATGTGATATTGTCACACTTTATCCAATAAATCATTGGAGGGGCAATAGCAAACTGTGGGATGTGGTATATGGGTCTCAATATGTGTGTAACCAGGTCGGGCCGTTTTGTCTTCAGCCCCTTGCGCGAGAATCGAATCCATGCAACCCAATATTTCCTAATCGGGTAATATTACATCAGTAGTTACTAGAACAAGGGTCTTACGCGGCCAGCAGATTAGATGTAATTACTATCAATTTCCCAGTACTATCCGCGACAGTCACAGCGTTATCGGACAGAGGTCACTGTCTAGTGAGTGGCCTCGTGTTTCGCAACATGACCAGAGATGTGGTCAGTAAGTTGTACTGATTAGAGCGTTACATGAATCCTTTATCGGATTTCGCCGTATAGCTTACACTCTTATGCTATCTACTAAATGTACGAAAATCTTCAACATTAAATCGATAAACACATAAAGGCGAGGTATTTTGTACGTATTGTGGCGGTTTTCCTACCTATAATAATTGTAGTAGCTTGATAAGGGATGAGATGTTCTGTCTTGGGAAATGAATATATCGTGAGCTCCCCGACTCCCAAGACCAGCTCCGTGGACATTGGAACATAACGTTCAGCTTGACTTGCTACATCCTGATATATGTTCATGTTCCTCGAATTCGAATCAGGTCCATGCTCAGGACACTAGCGCATCCCAGACCTCATTGTTAGCCGTCCACTTGCATTACCTTTCGCATGGACGCCTGTTCACCAGTGAAAGATGACTCGTTAACAGTTAATACAGATTCTTTCTTCGGGGCGGAGTGTTGATATTCGATGCGTGATGGAGAAACATCCCTAACACATGGAATGTATCGGTGTTTCAATGCCTTCCGGCCACGGTCGGCGTGACCTGCAGGTTTCGCTTATGCATTAGGTATTGGGCGATAGCTAGCTAGTTTACCGCCATAGTTTCAACCAACAGCCGAGGAAGATCTTGGTAAACAGGCTTGCTTCTATCAGTGTGGCGTTTCAACTTCATCCATTTCAACATGCCAGTAGTCGTTGGCTCAATGCACATACATGATATTTCTGCATGGGACTTTAGTCACGGACTTCCGTTTCCCAAGTAGCTCGTTGACCCTGCAATTTGGCCAGGGCTCCAGTTTCGGCAGATAGTCCCACGTTCTCACCGAGGATCCCAACAACGCTCCCTCAGTAAGACAGGTCAGGAAAAGACAAAGAGTTTATTATGCATGTATCTGCATTCTCCGATGAGCAAGACTTGACTCTTTGGATGACGAATCCTTTAGGTTCCCGACGCTTGAAAAATAATGCCTGTGGCATAAATCTTGACAATCGCCGCTGACAAGTCACACAGTAGGCAAAGTATTTAGTTAGCCGGCGTGTGGGAAAGCCCGGAAAATGTTGTCTACGAAGGGACAGGGAAGTATGTAAGAGCCTACTGCTGGCAAGGACCTATTCTTGATTCTTGTCCATTGGGGCAATGATTGACCCAAGGTTCCTTATCAGTCGGATCCGACTGATACGAACCATCTCCGGCCAGATCATTCAAAAGGGGTTCGGTATTTTGGGATACACTGGAAAGGCCCACATTGACCAATGATGGGAGCAATATCAATGCCTGCTTTATTATGAGATAATAATCAATCTCTACCTTACGCCTATCCCGTTACCCAAAGGGGGGGCTATGTGTGTCTTTTGTCTTTAACCAAGGCCGACCGGAGTTCGCTCCGATCAAAGCGGCCATATCCGCGCCAGAAACCTTCAATTTCTGCGGTAGTCATTTCCTCGACACATAATGCATCGTGGTTTAATTGACACATCGCTTTCGTATCTAGGCCATCAAGTAGAAAAGAGTGGCTTAATGTTACAGGCTGTCATCTTTTAAGGAAGTCTTACATTGTTTCTCAAAGTCTGGGAAGTCAAGACACTCGATAAGCTCATTGTGAGACCCCTGTACATTATCCCCAGTATATACCTTTCGTTGGCTCCGTAACTCGATATTACTATCGAGAAGGAGGCCGTGTCTATGCTTTGTTTTATTAACCGAATCCGTCTATTCTATCGCCACATCTTGCCGTAATGATCCATCCATGTTTTAAGCCAATCGTTTGTCAAGCTGCTTCCGACTGTCCTGCTGTAGCTGTTCGAGAGATTTTAAGACTCGAAGGTGCTCTTTCTTAAGGGCCTCGAACCCGTCGTCGAGCTGCTTGTGCCATGGATACAGGACAAAAACTTGGAATGCGAGTGCCGACGATGCCACCACAAAGTTTGTCAATGATATTCCGCGCGTCACAATCATCTTGCTGTCTTCGTAAACCGTTAGAATAGGCCTTTTCTTAAATGTTTGCCTCGCAGATAGAGGACTTACATTAGACTGAAGACCTTGGACGTATGCAGCCCAATGGGGGTGGATGGGTTTGATCAAGAGGCAGAAGAGTTCAAATCATAGAACACAATTGTCCTTCGGAAGAGTGGTATCAAATGACTGAGGGAAAAGAAAAGAGATGCAAAATAGAATAAGAGGCGATTTTGAACCAAGGGTGTTCGGCCGCCCCTTTGAACTCCCTCGACAATATCGGAGAACTAGCCGATCCCTAGTCCCGATTAGTGGTTAGTCACTGGTGGCTGTATCTGCGCATTCCCGAAGATGATCCTCGGGCATTGAGCACACTGTGGGTACGCGATTTAGGTACTTTAGCTCTGTACTGGCTGCTGATTGACGTGTATATGATTGTTTCTGCCAATGAACATTCAAGGCACTCCGATCGAATTCTTCCAAGAGTGCCTTCCTATTTATCAGTCAAAGCTGAACTACGTTTGTAGTTAATAACTCGGTTGATGTGTTGTCAGACCAAGTTTTAGGTGTCCAGGTAGCAGTCGGTTGATTCAGGTCGAAAGACTGCACTGGGGTATATACTATAAATATATTCGTCTACAGTAATAAAGCCTGCTAGTTATCCATCAAAGAACAGAGCCAGCACTAAGTGATACTGGGTCAGTCTAATGTGAACATTATGCAATTGCAGAAAACCAACGGATATCTGCCGTCGATAGTATCAGAGCTTCAATAGTTCATATGGTTATGACAGTGGCTGGGTAACTAGATTTTGCGGTGCCTCATCTTTAGGGGCCATCGTAGATGACCATTGAAGCCCGCCCGGACAGATGACAGTATGTTACCACAATGACAGTATCTTCAATTAGACTGGCAAACTACCTGGTCAGATGTTTGTTTGCCACATATAAACCGTGTTCCTTTTCTTCCCGGAGTAAACCTTTTCGCTCTTAGGCTTGCAAACCATATCCCCGGAATCTCTACAGAAAATATTACGACTTTTTAGAATAAGAACTGTAAATAAGTATATAATAACTTATTATATCATAATTTAATTACTGAAAGATTCTTCCAGTTATAATATAATAAAACCCTAATAAACCCTGGGTATCAATAGTCATATACTCTCCCTAAATGCTACTAGATGTCTAGAACCCTAATAGAAACCCCACACATAAATTTTCCTACTGCTAGACTACCCCGAACGACTCGATCCAGCATGAACTTAGAAGTAGTCAAAGTCACAGTTTCTATATACTGACAGCATAGCTTAAATCTATTTCTTCCAAACTAATAATGTGACACGCAGTGGCTTCTCCCTAGCGTCAACCTAAGCATGCAGGAAGAGGATCATACTGAGCAATCTAGGTACCAATAATCTAAGTATCAGATCCCTCGCTGTAGACATATTCTTTATCTTGGGTAACGCCAATCAGAATTACATTGCCTCATCATGCATCATTATTTTGCGATCCCCGCATGCCTGAAAGGTTAATGGCTAGTTGTTCATTGTACTTCTGACGATGCATCTGGCCTTTGCTGATTGGCTTGGAGGTGTTATACTACGAAGGATCTGGAATTCCCTGGAAATCTTCAAGTAAACCAGCTACCTACAAATATTTGAATTGCAGCTCTAGGTATAAGTAGCAGGTAAAATATTCTTAGTTTCGTAAGATAGGGAGCGCGCGGGAGCATATTGATGGGTATAATACTTTGTCGGACGCAGTCACGGTTGAGGTGATGTTCATACTACTAAAATAGGTAGTAACGAAAAACATGTGCAGGCATGAAAGCCGACCTGTATGTGATTGAGATGCACAGACGCATGAAAGTCATCTATATACATTCAGTTTCCATTTGTGTGAACACCCAAACTCCCATTATACGGCCATGTTCGATTCTATATTGATAATCAAATGCCATTGTAGGAAGTTTGGTAGTACCGTTAGCATATACTCATGGTTACCGCTCACCTCGATAGCATGCAAGTTGGCAATACGTCAAGGAAATGCTGCATTTAGCGGCCACGGGATAGAATATCAGCTAACCCCATTGACCCTAGGCTTCGGAGTGACGAATGACGACAGCAGGAAGGTTGGATTGCTCATTTGTCCTCCCGCCGACTGGCTAGCGGGGATTGATAGACCCACAGCTTCCAACAGTGGCAACCATTTAGTATTGAATGCATCCTCACATCCGGTAAAATATATATGAAGCAACGCTCGTTGACCAGCAGTATATGAATTCCTAAGAGCACCGCTGCTTTCGCCCACCAAAATGTCATTTTTCGACGCCGAAAAGCTGCAATCCGGCAGTACGCCGAGACCAGTTCCTCCAGCTGGTCCTATGGATGGAGAGTTAGAGGATATTAGACCGAATCGACTCGCTCGAAAATTGTCCCCTAGACAAGTTCAGATGATTGCCATTGGGGGTACTATAGGAACAGGGCTATACTTGGGAACAGGCGAGGCGCTGGCAACTGGAGGACCCGCGTCGATACTGTTGGCATATACCATTTGCGGTGGCATTGTTTTCCTTACCATGCTCTCTTTGGGAGAGATGGTAGCATTCATGCCTGTTGCAGGCTCGTTTTGCACCTTTTCAGGGTATGCCAAGCATCAACTAAAGCGCCGTTCTCGGTTTTCTTGCTGATATTGACCAGGCGTTTCGTCGATGATGCACTTGGATTCGCTTTAACGTGGAATTACTGGGCAAATGACGCTGTCTCCACAGCTTCAGACATTATAGCATTGCAGGTCTTGCTGGCATATTGGACGAAGCATTTCCCTGGCTGGGGCTTAAGCCTCATTTGCCTTGTGCTTGTTCTGACCCTGAATATCTGCTCAGTCAGGGTCTTTGGAGAGGTATCTTGGTGATAACGAAGAGTGAGATGTGACATTATGTTAACCATCCCTCCAGATCGAATACTGGCTGTCATTACTGAAAGTCGTGACCATCATTGTATGTGCGCAAGCCCGTCATTTACATCCGTGCCTCCATCTTATGTCATTCAGGTCTTCATCATTGTCGGGATTGCTGTGAACTGTGGCGCTAATACTGATCATACATACCTGGGCGCTAAATACTTCTACACCGGGGACGCGCCCTTTGTCGGGGAAATTGGAGGCTTCGCTTCCGTTTTTGTGACAGCTTCCTTCGCTTAGTAACACTCACATGCATGGCCCAAGCAGATTTGAATTATGATCGCTGATATCAAGTATTAGTGGCGGAACCGAAAATGTGGCCGTTACAGCTGGCGAGACACGGGATCCATCTCAAACCTATCCTCGTGTCATCCGCAATGTCTTCTGGCGCATTCTTCTCTTCTACGTGGTATCTATCATCATCATCGGTCTCGATATTCCTTACAACTATCCTGGCTTATCGACAGAGAGTGCTTCCACCAGCCCTTTCACTATTGTCTTCGACAAAGCCGGCAGTACCGTGGCGGGCAGCTTTATAAATGCTGTAATCATGACCAGTGCAATATCTGCTGCCAATCACGCCCTCTTCGCTGGCGCACGCCTTCTCTACACCCTTGCCATTACCGGTCACACTCCCGGTTCTCGTTTCTTGGGCCACCTCAACCGATTCAATGTCCCATGGGTGTCAGTCCTTTCGACCGCAGCTATCAGTGCCCTCTGTTTCGGGGCAAGTAAGATTGGTGCCGGTCAGGTCTGGTCGTGGCTGCAGAACCTGGTGGGGGGGTCAAACCAGATATCATGGTTCTTCATCTGCCTGACTTCGCTGCGTTTCTGGTCCGCTGTGCGACATCAAAGCCTCGAACACCTGCTACCTTTCAAAAATGTCACGTATCCGTGGGGCCCGGCGCTCGCAGCCGGGTTGAATCTCTTTCTGGTACTCGTACAGGGCTGGAAATCCTTTAGTCCGAAATTCGATGCCGCTGGGTTTGTATCATACTATATTGAGATCCCAATCATGGGCTCCCTTTTCTTGATTTGGAAGCTTTACAAGAGAACCAAGCTTGTTCCTCTTGGTGAGATTGACTTGGAAACAGACCGATATCAGCGGGAAGATAACGTTGATGATCGCGGCTTGCATGTCTCCGAGGGATGTCCGAACACCGGTCGGCTAAGGTGTGTGTCATGGTCGTTAGCTTTCTTCAAAGCAGTCAGAAACTGGATGTTTTGAAAGATTTGATCAATGTTAGGCGAGTAATGATCAAATAGATACAATGGTTATAGCCTAATATATTACAACAAGGTATCGGAAGACTGAGAGATCGAATAGTAAAGCTCCGCTTCCCACACTGATCAAGACTTACATGCCAAGATACCCTAATGTGTAAATTAATAAACAGCAGCGAGCTGTGGTACCTGTGCAATAGAAAAAGGCCAGTAAACTAGTATCAAGGCCCCTAGTTAACCCTTGAGTGGCAGTAGAATCCGCCAATGCAATCTGCAGACAAGGAACCGATGTTGTACTCTTCGTTAAGATTCTACCATGTGTGACATCCACGTCATTTCGTTGGTAAATACAGCTCGCCACACATAAGCCCTACGAGCTGACGCGAAAGGAATGCATACCTGATCATAATCAATGTACTATCAGTATGGAAGTGCGTTTCATTGATTTAGCGACGGGTGGCCAGCAAGATTGTGCCAGAAACTGAGCTCAAATTCTTGGAGGTTGGTATTGTCCCATAACCACCAGGATCCATCATCTAGAGTTTCCCTTTGCTCGGAAGCAGTTGGATGTTCAATTTGATTATCTGAAGCGACCATCGTATTGTCCGAGGAAGGCGTCATCATCCGATCCAGGATAGCCTTTATAGTTTGGGTCGCGCGAGCTAGCAAGGCATAGTTGGGTGAGTCTATGTATACTAAGGTTCCGCGTTCAATTTCTGCGGCAAGGATGCTTAGTTCTTGGAATATCTTGGAAAAGCTTGTTGTGAAGCTCTGGATGGCAAATGAGCGTTTGACAAGAGTTAGACAAATCATTCCCGCAGCGGACAAGCCGTAGTATGCGACCTTTAAAGTCAATCTCGTTAGACAAGATATTACTAATTTGGATGTCAACGGAACACACCTTCCATACGAGCGATGTACCAGAGTTCACTATCTGGTCTTTGAGAAGAATGGTTTCTACAACAAGGCCCAGCATCTTCAAGGAAACATCGAGCAAGTCCGAGTCGGGCTCCGTAGACATAGGGCGGACTAATGCAAGTCTCAGAAGGAATTGAACATGTAGGTAGTTCAACTTCATATTAACCATGAAGTCTCGTTCTACTGGTCGTCGATCACAGGCTTTAAGGCTACATTCCAGCCGGCAGCTTCGAGGTACCGCAAGCCATTGGGCCTGGATATCCGCCTCTATCAGCCTTACGGGGGTCAGTACCACACTAAGGGTTATTAACACGGAACACTCAACCTACCATGCTCTTCGGGCCCTTTCATCATAATTGTCCTCGGTGAACAGGTCCAATATATCATCCTTCAGAATGGCACAGAGACCAGCCCATCTCGAATCAGTAGCAAAGTCCAGCTTTTGAGTATGAAGCCAAACTGCTGGGCTGCGGGATGCCTCGTGTGAATCCGCATCATGATCACCCGGTAGGTAAAAATGACAGAATTTACGTAGGATTCGAGGTGGGCGGCCAAGAAAAATGGAAACATTTTTGTCGGCAGAGTATGTTCGACAGAAGGCGGCCTGGCGCAGATCTCGTAGGAATGCGGGGGCTGCACGAAAAGATTCTGTTTGTTGTTGGTGGTAACCAAGGGCAAAAAGAGCCGCTGCGACATCCCCCAGTTTCCTCCAAGACAGGTAGCCTGGAATCATATCAAATCAGTATCTAGTATAAAATGTGTAGTTGAAGGTGTTTTTTTTTTTTTTTTTTGGGGGGGGTGGGGAATCGAAATCACATACTTTGGTCGCCATCAACCTGCGAATGAGATATGAAGTTTTCATATGTTAAGAAAAGTTGAATGTCATTCATACAGTCAAGGGGTAAACATAGATCCAAGAACCGATCCGAGAATGAGAGTGTCAACTTCTGAATTCTACGACGCTGTTGCTCCGAGCCATACATTGGTTCTGCATAAGTCAAGTCAATAGAGGCTCGACAGACAGCGGTACAAAAAAGACCCAAGGTCTCCCATCGCGCATGAGGCCCACAAAAGTTAGCACAGTATTCGTCCAATGTCGTGTCATGGTTGAGATGGAGAGGGCAGCGGGAATTGTAGAAGAGGCGCTTGGAAATAGTCGTTGCCGATGCATGTGTTCCATCAAAGTTTGAGATTAGGTGAGAAGTTGTAGATGCGCAGGGTGTAGTCAACGGGCCAGCTAAAGCAAGATTGGTCCCCGTGGCTATCCATCTTCTGAAAAGCTGAGTAAACTGCGGAATCAATGAGTCTCGGTGCAGTTCGAGAATTAGTTCGGCACCTTTGGCGATACAGGTATCGTCGAAGATATAGTCATCGGCCGGATTTGGGTGTGAGTTGCATTCAGTCGTGGGGCCCGTTTCTGCGGTCTTCTGGATTTGCAATTGATCGAAGAACGTTGTATGACTCGACGAGCCTAGATAGCCTGGGTTGGGGTATTGGAAAGCTGCTGGAGGGTTGACAGTTTCATCGGCCGTGACTCCAGAATGATGAGCCTGATTATTCTCTTGACTTCGCCAGTTTGCAGCCCGAGTAGATGGTCTTTTGAAAGGTCGTGAACGATAGGTACAATCAGCACCTCGGCCACGCTCCCTGCACCGTGAGCAAACCGGTTTGTCATGATCGCAGCGCAGCTTTATCGCTCGGCATGGATCACAGGCAGGGAGTTTGCCAGATTTCACTGTTAGTCGATTTGATGATGTCGGAGTCGGCATCCTGGGGCATTGGTGACTGCAAGTTTCTGCACCGAATGCCACACCGCCCGCTGTGCGATGTTTTCCTCTCCGGTGGAAGCGGGTGTGATTTGTGAGACTCCGAATTTTACTCCGACTCCGAAACTAGCGTCTTGCGAGCATTCAATGGAGCTGTGGGATAGAAGGCCTACTTAACATCATCGGTATAAAGTAATCACATAATTTTTCTCCATAATCACGAAATCATTGCGCTCTGATACTAAAATGTTCAAGCCTAACGGCCAATTGCAACGCACCTGTTTGTTATGACTCAAAAAGGTTCATATAAGTAGGTCTTGGCTATGGGCAGGGAGTCAACGAAAGACTCGACGGGATCATGACTAATTAATCAAGGACCAACAAATTAGCATCTGAGTGGGCAACGTCTTCATCAACCTTTTTGACATTATGGCGACTCACACGAGACGGTGGTAATTGATAGGGTTTAAACTGGACTGATATTCTATTATCAAATTTCAAGGAGTCAACTCATCAGATGAGCGGGTCCTCTACACGTACGCCAGCGCAAAGATCTTGGAACGCCGACAGTGACGCCGACACTCCGATACTGACCCCGACATGCCGCAGTTGTCATTCCTTACAGAGAACTGCTTTCTAAGTCCAACCATTCGACAGTTCTCTTAGATAGCCCTACATGATCGCAAATGAGGTAGCCCGGCTTCACAATGTACTATCACGCCATACATCTCCCTGAGTAATATAAAACTCAGTGTCCTTAGATGCAACACCTGTCACGTCTCTATCCACATCGGTTTTCTGCACTCCTGCGTGCCTTGAACACCTAGTCTTATGTCGCCCACCATGGTTGCCTCTACTATTTCCCAGCAGGCTGATATTGACTACATGCCTGATCATGACAAATATCTGGCGCGTAGTAAGCGCAGACAAGAAACCGAAGAGCTGGCTATGCATCTTCCTGAGGGTTTCCCTACACAGCTGTCAGGTGACCTAGTGTGGGATGCAAGAACCATTGCTGATAGATATGATTGGAACTATCAACTCAGCACTGGGGATATTTCTGAAATAGATGGGGCTCTCCGATACTTCCAGTGTATGTGATTATTTCCCATGCTTCCTGGACCATGGGCTCCAAGTCATTCTAATCTCTATCAGCCTTAGGAAAGCCAATGGGCGAAATCTGTCCGAACACCTTCCCACTGCCAAAGTTGCATACTACATTGCGCGATATCTCGAAGCAGGTTCACGAAGGCCATGGCTTCAAAGTCATCCGGGGTCTGCCAGTCGATAAGTACACACGCGAAGAGAACGTTATAATTTACACTGGTCTTTCATCACACGTCGCCCCTATCCGCGGTCGCCAGGATAGTAAGTGGCAAGGGAGGCCAGCTGACGTTATGATAGCTCATGTCAAGGATCTGAGTCAATCATGCAACTCCCAGGACATCCCTGGTCCGGTGGTGACGGCTGACAAGCAAGTGTTCCACACGGATGCTGGTGATGTCATCGCCCTCTTCTGTCTCAGTGAGGGTGCTTGGGGTGGTGAGAGTTACCTTGCCAGTACCTGCCATGTGTACAATGTCCTAGCTGCTACACGACCAGACCTGATCAAGACGCTGTCTGAGCCTTGGCCGTTCGATGAGTGAGTCCACTGCTACAGAAGGCCATAGATTTTCCGGTGAAAGGAACTAATAAGGTTTGTCTGCATTTAGCTTCGCGCCGACGGGCGATGTATACAAGCTACGGCCGCTTCTCTACTACCAGTCTGCCACCGGGAAAGATCCAGAGCGATTGATGATTCAGTATTCGCGGCGAAACCTGACAGGGTACATGGACTGCAAGCGATCGGCCCACATACCGCCACTCACCGAGGCCCAGGCAGAAGCCCTTGACGCGATCCATTTCACTGCTGAGGCTCATTCCATTTCTTTGGATTTTCGCAAGGGCGACATTCAGTTTGCCAATAACTTGAGCATTTTACACGCCAGGGGTGCCTTCACCGACTCCAACGAGAAACAGTAAGTATCTTGTCCTCGAGATGCTTGGTAGAAAAGAAGAGCTGACTATTCTTTCTCGACAGACGACACCTCCTGCGCCTTTGGCTACGTGACCCAGAATATGAGTGGAAGAAGCCCTCTGGGTTGAAAGAGCGATTTGATCGGGTTTATGACGGCGTAACCGTTGAGAACTCTGTCTACCCGCTGGAAGCTACCATACGTAGTAGCAACGTAGCTACATAGAGAACACAAACTTACAATAGTGTCGTGGAAAATAGTATCTCACATGAGCTTGTGATGCGCTCACAGACGCGATACTGCCGATAAGAAAATACCAAAATATACTCCATATAGCGAAATATTGTCTACTCGAATTTATGTATTAGACGATCATTGACCTGTCAATTCAAGGCATCGTATAATGCATACAAAATAGTAACTTCAATATTGGAGCTATGTCTGGATGCTTTGGATATCCTACTTCATCTTGGTGCTCAATTCGTTCGCACTGATCCCATGGGAGCAGTTCCTGTCAAAGCTCTATAGCGATAGCCATGTAGGCATCGGGATACCTTGGCTCAGAAAGAGGATATCAGACTTCTGTTGGTCACTCTACAGAGCCAGTCAGTCTCCTAGGACTGTGCGGACTGTGCTCCGATTAGACACACTAGACTTCGAATTCTTGCTGCAATCTCTGCCAGTTTCTATAGGGGTTGGGCTTCCTCCACCTTCACGAACACTGTAATAAAGATTTACCGGCACGAAGTCCTTATCGTCCACACACAACGATTCTTTTTCCAGACAATATTATTTACTTGGGTAGAAGAGCAATCGTTACCCTCACATCGGTATTGCGTTGTATGCTTCTTATAAAAGGTCCCGTACGTCACCTAGATAGAGAAATTATGTATGTAAGAGAGGGGACTGAAATGAGTCATTTAGATCAATAGCGACTTACATCTCATCTTAAGAAGCAGGGAATGAAGGAAGAGGAATGATCGAGTCAGAGCTAATCCTTCTGCCCATATAACGACCTAATTGTCCATTATCGCCCATCATGCAAATTACGTTCCCACCGAAGACTGATTACGCAATCTGGAAACACGATGGATTAATGGGTACAGTGAAACATGTTCAGAATCGATCAGCGTTTGCTTAGCGGGTTCAATTCTTATCAGAATAGATATTGTCAAAGCATGACGTGAGACTAATGATGAGGTGCAGACTATCTCAACTCGGCTTTCCAGGGTCATTATTACTTCAATCGTCGAGAAGCAAGACCCCCGGGCGTCTGCTTTGACTTCCAACTATATAAATGAAGAGTAACATTCGGCATCTTCAACCCATCATATGCTGATGAGTTAGTTGCGTCTCCTCATCAAAATATTCCGGCATCTCAACACAGTAGTACTTCTCCCCGGACACTAGGATTGCTTGCGAATGAAGCTGATCGCGCGAGACAGACTTCCCCTTTGAATCTGTTACGTCGTCTTGCGAGATCAACTTTAGGATGACGTTGGTCACATCACTCATAGTGATTAGGACCTTCTCGGAGAAGTAAGCCTTCAGCTCTGGTGTTATCATAGGCGTTATGACTACTCCTGGGCAAATCGCGTTCACTTTCACGCCTTCGTTCCACAGTTGCTTACCCACCGAGCGCGTAAACCCAACCAAAGCATCTGGCGTTATCAGCTCTGATCCGCCATGGCGGCATTGTGTACTTACGTTTTGTCGCTGAGTATACCGGAGTATGCATGCATGGATATAACCCACCGATGCTCGACGTGATAATCAGGTTTCTCTTCCCCATCGTCACCTCCGGCGATCGGCGAAAATAGTGCATGGCGAGGTAACTTGTATAGATGGCGCCGGTCAAGTTAATATCCGTTAGTCCAGCAATATCAGGCCGTGGCGGAATTCCTGTTTCATGCTTGGAGAAGAATACCGTGTCTTCGGCGACGCCGGCATTCGCAAAGACAAAGTCTAATCTCTTCTCCTCGTTGAAAATCTGCTGAAACGTATTGCCCTGCTGCTCGTACTTTGTCACATCAGCCTGGTGAAATGTGGTATTTTTAAGCGACGCAGCGGCCGCTTTGCCGCGTTCCAAGTTGCTACCAATGATGTGAACTTTCCAGAGGCCGGTGAGGTCGAGTTGTTGAGCGACATCGAGGCCGATGCCACTGGCTATGAATGGTTATTCACGGTCGGCCATTATCATGGGCATATGGGGATGGTAACTTACTCCCTCCTGTGATAAGTGCTACCAAAACCATGCTGTATTACTCGGTAAGAAATGCTGATGACATCAGTCGTAAGGTGAAGTATTAAAAAGAATACATCATGAATTTATATATCGTATGGCGATCATGATGGAAAAGAATTTGTGCGATTTACCGAGATATGCTAAACAAAGATGGAATAGAATGTGGGTATAGCTGAAGAAGAATGTTACCAGTGCTGTTCAGCTTCGTTGCTGGTTGTTGCCGATCAGCTCAACAGTAAACAGTGACCCAACTTCAGTTATTCCGACCCTTTCTAGTCACTCATTACACTCGGCTCACTATTTCCTATAATTTTACCTTGCAGATTATAAATGAGAAGGTCGTTTGACCAGTGGACACTGTGATCGGATTGTGTCATTCAATTCCCTGATACTTTCTTGACTAATGTAATCCACGGTCACATTGCCCACCCCCTCCTTCATGATGGCCCAATAAGGTGTGAATGAGGCATCTCCTCCCATAAATAATATAAGAGGTTGGAAAGAATGTAATAAGTTACTAGTCCATTACTACTAGTTAGCCGAGGTCACATGACTACAGCATGGCAGCAATTTGAACCCCTCATCGTGAGTCAGCCCGCAAATTAGTTGAGCCCGGGACCTTCCAGCTTATTGTGTTCAATTAGGTCACAGAATCTCTAGTATCACGCTCTCCATTAGAATTTGAGATTAGAAAATTTACCATCAACGCTTATCATCTATATGATATCAAACCATTGTTGTATCGAGTCCGATTGAAATTATTAGAGAGAATCACGTTAAGCCAGCCCACCAGAGATCTTAGCTTTACAAGTAGGATCCTGCTCTTATAAGGGAATGGATGAAAATACACGTTTCATGGAAGTTGCTTGTCAGATCAAGCATCTAATACAAAGTGATTTTCCTTACTATGATTCACTGATACTTGGGCATAATTTTCTTGGCTTTGAATCCCCGGTTCTCTCTTACTGTTGGTCGGATCTGGGGAAGTATGTGTGGTTCTGTAATATTATTAGTATTCAACTGCTTGTAAGCCGGACTAACTGTTATTTAAGACACTTGCCGTCCCTTTTCCTCCCACCAGAAACTAGGGCTTGCGTAGTCACCGAGTGGTTGGTTGGAAATTAGACCGGCCACAATGCTCTTAAGGCTTGGTTGATAGGAGCTGTCAATTTTTCTGCGAACGGCTGTGGCTTGTGAAATGTCGGCAACCATGGACAGCCGTCGTGACCGACTATCTCGGGAGTCTACTTGATCTTTAATGGTAAGGACAGATTAGCATTTCTAGCAATGCCCGAGGGTCTTCACAATAGCCGACCAGGGGAAGGCTATTATTCTCGTTGGTATAGCTGGATGTTGGGGCCTCGGCTTCAGAAGGCAGTAAGAATGCACCACCACGTGGAAGTAGGTAGGCCAAACACGGCCCTGATGATGTTGACGATGCCCCAGAATAAATCTGCTCGGTTTAATTCCCGTCTCAATTTAGACTACACGATTTGTTAAATCTAGCCCAACACATCTGGGTCAATAGAGCAACACAGAGGAAGATGCTACTTCGGTGGTAGCGCCCGAATTTCCTCGGATGACGAACAGTCGAAACATAGAGAACATAAACTTGAGTGTAGAAAGGTCTATTGCTACCTCGTCACTTAGTTGTCCTCATAACTGGCAGAGCCACATTCAAAGCTGGAGAAATATAAACCACTAGAATGACACCAAGAAACAATGCGAACATTTTATTGATTTCAAGAGCTCCGCTTTTGGGAAAACCCAATGCTACCTTCCTTATAAATGCAACTACCGTTCACGGCGTTTAATGAATCATGACTACCACACCTTGCCCTTAGAAGTATGCAAAAGATACCACATCAATGTGATATAAGTAGCACCAACGACTACTACCTTTTGACCCTCACTGCCAAAGTAGTCCTGTGTTCTACATCCTCAGTCATCTACATTACCTCAGTCACTTGCCTGGAAACATGCCCGACCATACCATCCACGTCGTGAACAACTCCGGCCGCAAACAGAAATATGTCATTATTCCCGGTCCACCCATGATGACCCTCGGAAGCAACAACGATAAGCATGAAGGGGGATGTCTTGTCTGGCACGCGAAGGAACTCGACACTGAACAGACGTGGGATACATCAACCACGTATCAACTATACGGATGTGCGTGACATACTCTACCCACCCTTACACTTTCCATTAGATACACCAGATTAATACTAGCAAAGGGGTTGGGACTACCGCTGAGAAACCCGGGTTTGGCGTGAAGGTAACATCGATAGATGTGAAAGACGCAGATCCCGCGACTCCCACGACGTCTGCAAGTATGCATACCCCATTGTCATCGCTTTATAGGAGTTGTCAATAAGGCTGGAAGGAACAAGCAGTGTGACTAGAGTCTAAATGAGGGTATCACAGGTACTTATGGCCTCACGAAAAACGAAACAGGCGACCCAGTCATGACGGTGAAAGAGAAAACAGCACCAATGGACATGGTCCGGTTTGATTTCGGTGGTGACCTTTCTCCATCGGATGGGAAATACATCGTGTATGGAATGGCCAAGGGCAACAGGTTGCCCGATGGAAATGTGGGCACGAGGCCTTTTGCTTATGTATGTTCCTCAGTTCCCTTGTCCTATATGGTAAAAAGCAGCTAATCTAGTTGTAGTATCCGGCTCCCACCGATACCGATGCAGTTCAATTTGCTGTCGTGGCGCCCGTAATCCAACTCTGGGTTTGTGCATATGACGCCGAGGAAGGTGAGATAGTGGATTTTACCAACGCGATTCAGCATGCGGGCATGCTTCGATTTTTGAATACCGATGGCGCGCTGCTCGCCAATGTAGAACATAGGACGGATGGGACTTTTGAGATCACCTATTCATAACTGGACGGATTGGACTGGTCATGCTTCGAAGGCATTATACTTTTGTTACGTCTTGTGAGAAGTCAAACTAACCATCGATATATAATCTATAATGGGCGGTAACATATACATCGAAAGGCTTCTGGTTAATGGAGAAGAGATATAACTATGAGAGAAGCGAAACTTTGAATAGTTATATTCCTATGATCCTATTGGCCGTTTACTGAAGTAAGTCTATAAACATTGTTTACATGAGGATTCTAGAAACTACACTCTTTGGAACTTTACACGATTTCGGGCTGTTTCGTTCTTTTTTTTTTTCCCCTTTTCTGCCCCTTCCTTTTCCTTCTTTTTTTTTTTCTTTTCCTTTTGCTGTCTTTCTTTTATTTTTCTTTATTAGGAAACGATTTTATCAAGAAGTAAATTTCCATCTGATCTGCGGAACATTCACTCGACCCGCACACTCGGATGCAGCAGAAATGTCATTTTCTCATACACCGAAAAGACAATCCCGCCACTCAAAAGCAGCCTGCCCAGCCGCATTGAACTGCCCTTCCAGAATCCCCGAATTCCATAGTCACTCTGTATGTTCCGGACGGCTTCGAGAAGCCCTGCCCCCTGGACCCCTTGCGCCCGCGTCTTGATCGTGTCAAAAGGCTGCGTCGCGTACACAGTGACGACTCCCGCCACGGCTCCCATGCAAAAGGTAGTGAGAACAGTCGGCGCAATGTCGTGTGCCTTGACGATTTCTCTGAGGATATTGTACGTGCCCATTCTCACGGCCGATGTTGCTGACTGTTTTAGCGTGGTGGACACAAGTCCCCGGTAGAGCTCGCGCAAACCGTGGGTTCGAACTAAGACTTGCGTGGCGTGGAGACTCGATCGGAACTGCCTGGCGTTTTTCGCATCGTCGATCCTTCGTCAATCAGTGAGAATGGCTTTTTGGATTTGTGTGGAAAGCAGGACACAAACAGTGCTGTCTTGATTCTTTCCGTAGGCGTTACGGCCAGGACGCTTTCTGTGGCCCCTGCGACAACGCCGGCCAGAATGCCCCGTGCTGGGGAGAGCGATCCACGCTCATCGGAAAGGGAGTTCTTAATGGTGTCGTATGAAACAAATCGCACAGCGGCCTTGGCCGTCGTGCCCTGCGAACTATTAGATCTTCATCCTTAGCGAAAGATGATTAGATCAGAACGCACGATGATCAGTGTAGAACATCCGGTATATAAAGCCCCGATGCCTTCCCGTTGCGCAACGGTATATATGAGTTGAAATGGGTTGGAGGGGGTCGATTTGCTGCTCCTCAAGAGTTGCACACGGGTCTTTGCGTATTCGAAGGGGTACTATTCATCATCTTCTCAGTCCTGCATCTAACATGCTGCAAGCCCGAAGAAAATAGTTACTTACCGTGCATGCAGCTTCCACCCCGCCAGCCACCCCGCCGGCAACCAGAGAGACCCACTGTGGAGTGTATTGCTGCGAACAAATTACATTAATTAATGTCCTTCCCGGTCGCTGGAGGGAGATGAGCCGACCTTTTGCGGCTTTGTTGAGGCAGGAGCAGCCATAATAATACCAAGTACCAGTAATAGAGCGACAATGGTTAGCTGCTGAGTAGTCCAATCGTGTGCACCAACTTATAACTACTTAGTAAACTGTGATTCCAAATCTCCACGACAATCGCGGGATTTGCCGACGGAGGATGAATTGCCGCGGAACCTGTCCTTCCGTGCAAACCCGGTACGTATATCTTCCATCTGCCATCTTCCATCTTCTTTTCCCCTGTCCATGTCTCGTGTTCTCCACGGAGACCCTGTCAAGCCATGGAAAGAATGGTTCCGTCGTCCCGTTCTCGCAGAGCAACCAAGGCATGCAGCTTCTGTCGCCGGAGGAAGGTGAGTTGAGATCCACTTATTCGCCTCTCCGACCGTGCCCTACCGCTCACGGCTGCTATAGTTGCGCTGCGACGAAAAGCCAACGTGCTCCAATTGTCAAGGTTACGGCAAGGAATGCGTGTACATGACTAGCCCTGCAAGGCCCAGGTGCGCGGAATTGAATCCTTCTGCAAAAGATGCTGATTACCTGACCCACCTAGGCCATCCAAAGCCTGGATCGCTCACTTGGTGACTGAAAATGAGCAACTTCGGCAGCGACTTGGCGACGGAGGTGCCGCGCCGGCGCAGGGAGAACAGGCAATTCCTGATGCAGATCTCCACCAACAGTCGGAGTCCACCAAGATGGATCATCCGCAGTCTGTTGTGTCCGGCATCTTTATCTCCGCCAACGGAGACTCCAGCTACCATGGCCTCACTAGTACCCTTTTTGACGGCGCCCCCGTCAGCCGCCATGCCTCGGCCCAACTGGCCAATCGCCCCGGTCCTGTGGAGCCCATTCAGCAACAACTGATGGGAGAGGCCGCTTATCAAAGTGAGTCGCGATCCATGATGTTCTTGCCCATTACCGAAATTGGTCGCGGACCCTAATATTCTCATGTCAAAGGGCAGCTAGAAACGTTGAACTTCCAACAAGGAAAGTTGGACTTTGATGGCGTAGATCCCGAGTTGGGGATGCACCTGCTGTCCCTGCATTGGAATCGCCAGCACCACTCCTTCCTGATAACGCATCGCCCGAGCTTTATGCGTGATATGGCCACCAACGGGCCTTACTTTTCCAAACTGCTCCTGAATGCGATATACTTTGGGGCGGCCAAGTTCAGTAATCGTCCCGAGGTGCGTAGAGACCCGGATGATGCTCGCACGGCTGGGTGGACCTTTCGCATGAGGGTGAAGGAGCTGCTCGGGAGTGCCTTGGATCGAAGCGAGATCACCACCATCCAGGCACTGCTAGTCATGACGAGCTCTCTCTTCGCGCTGGGAGATGAACGTAGCGCCGCATGGCTCTATTCTGGTACGGCATTTCGAATGATCATTGACCTCGGCATGCACGTCGACGCCACGATGCTCCCCAACATGCGCCGTCTTTCGCCAGAAGACCTCGAAATCCGAAGACGTGTATTCTGGGGTGCCTTTGTTGTGGACAAGATCCAGTCCCTATATCAGGGGCGCCCCGCTAGTCTTCAGAGTTTTGATACCAAAGTCCTTTTGTCCTTCCTGGACCGTTATGAGGAGCTGGAGCCCTGGCAACCCTTTGCCTATTCTGATGTGCAGTCATACCCTGGATCCCCGGCATATAGCGTGTCGACATTCACGTGGCTGTGTAGATTGTCGCTAGTTTTGAATGAGATTCTGAATAAGGTTTATTCGGAGAGAAGTTCCAATCGGTCGCCCCACGATCTCATCGCTACCCTTAACAGACTCGATGGGCAGTTGAGAACTTGGTACGAAAGCCTTCCAGATCACCTGCGCTACAACAGTCTTGTGGGAATAGTGCCGCCACCACACGTTCTCTCGTTACTCGCTCTCTACAATGTCTTGGTCATCCTGCTTCACCGACCGTTTGTTTCCGAGGGCCATCTTTACACTGCCGATCCATCAGTGGCCAAGAGCTCCTTTACCACCTGCACCACTGCCGCTTCCAGCATCATTCAATTACTGCAGGCCTACGATAACACATTTTCCATTCGACGAGCACCGTATTTGATATCATACGCCACATACGTAGCAGCGACAATCTTCGTCCGTGTCGCAGCCCAACGAGAGCGTGTCAGCAGGGCCCATACGAGCCTCCAGAGCTGCCTCGACATATTCAAGAAGAACCAGGAGACGAACTGGGCAGTGCGGCGAGCCCACAACGTGATTTTACACCTGATGGACCGCATGGGTGTTCGCTTAGATGATTGCACGACTGTAGTCGACGACAGTCCGAATCGTATGGACGGCCGATCAGACGATTTGACAATCCCAACCGAAAGGCCGTTGGGACCGGCGCCTGCAATCAGCCACGATTCTCCACCAGAGATTGAACCGTCCGAGCTGGACATTGAAATGGTAATTCAAAGTTTTATCGGAACACAACCCAGGCCCGCAGACGGACTGATGCGCGAAGCTATGGATCTGTCTTTTGGTCCAATGGTATCTCATTCGAACTTTCCGGCTCCTATAGCTCCCGTTGTAGGGCCGTACGAGGACGCGTACTCTTATCCCAGATTTGATGATATGCTATTCGGGTTCAACGGTTCTCCGCAGGATAATGCATTCACGGACCACTAGAATGTATTTGCTCCTTGCCTACCTATGAGTGTCGGTCCAGTCGATTGGAACTCCTCACATCCTACAATGGGCCAGTGATGGCATGATCTATTTCCAGCGAACGCCGTCACCACTGTGTCTTAAGGCCTATAAAAAACACGGCCCTCAAATAGCCGCCGAGCCGTTCGATATACCGCTACCCGGTCCACGTCGATCGCGCCCTTCCTGTCTATTCCCAGGACCGTCTCCGCATGGATTACCCCAGCTGAATGGCGGATGCCGACCGGCACTGCGCCCGCAATCTGGTGGTCTCCTAGCGACATCCCATGCTTTGGAATCTCTTTCCCTTCTTTGATATGGGCCAGGTCCCAAGCGATGGTGCCATGTATGATTGTCGCCGCGCCGAGACATACCGCACCCGTCAGCTGCAAACTTGGATGGGGTTTTCCCATGCTGAACGCCTTCACCTCGATGTCCACGCCGTCTACATTGCCACTGGCGGGAGACAAAATCGCAATCTTCGGGGTTCCGCGGACTTGACTCGCAGCCTCCACATTCTCAGCAAGGCCAAACCGCACCGCACCATGTTGCCGGATATCCTCGATTAATGCCAGGAAGGCTGGATCCGCAGCATCCGTGATAGCGGACGAGGCGTCTCGCGGCAGGGACGCAGAATCAACAAACACAAACGGATTCGCGGCATCTACAAGGCTGACTCGCACGGATAGTGTTCCAAATCCCTGGGACTGCACCGTTAGCATCTCCTGGTGCTTCCCGCTCGGAAACATGTGGCCCGTCATACTACCGCACGGCCTGAGGAATGCAACTTTGACAGGACTGGCCGTGCCCCCAACGCCTGGAATCGCATATTCGCCATCTTCTCGGAATGAGCCGTCGGTCGCGACCTGGACTGTTTCGACGATATGTTGTCCGGTGTTGGTGTTGTAAATCTTGATATCAATCTGTGACCCAGTCAGTCTCTGCCTTCCCCATACAGTCCCACTGAAAACCACAAAGGAAACAAACCTCCTTCTCCCGCTCAGGGACGCTGACAAGACCCTCATCCAGTGCAAACGGCCCCACTCCAGATGCAATATTGCCACAATTTCCAGTCATATCGATCAGTGGCTGATCCGGCGCCACCTGCACAAACGTATACTCGACATCGACACCGGGTCGACTCGACCGTTCTACGATGGCGACCTTGGACGTTGTCGAGGAAGCACCGCCTACCCCGTCAATCTGGCGAGAACGACCCGTACTAGAGCCCATCGCGGATAGCAAAATCGGTTCCCACAGCGTTGTCGACGCGGGAAGATGGTGGCGATGGAGAAAAAGGCCTTTGGATGTGCCGGCACGCATCCATACCGCTGGAATCGATTTCCGAACCGATTCTATCGACCTGTACGTTATTTTCGGTAAGACGGGGATGGGTTCACTCCGGGTGACCGAGTATGTTTGTGTCATGATTGGCTCGGGTCGAATTGGACGGTCTTTCGCATGAAATCTCAAAATGCTTTGTACCCAGCGGGTGAGTTAGAACGTGGTAGTTTGCTTTCCCAGATGCCAATAACTTGTTGTTATACTATATACCTCGTTTATATATCTTATCTTACGTGATAGTAGTATTATAGAATTATAACTGACTTCAGGAATGCAAGATCGGATAGAAGATAGCTGCTTCCTGATGTATTTCCCATGGGTACTATTCCGCGGCATATCATGTTCCGTCCGTCAGCCATGATAACTATGTACCCACTCCACTGCCTAGCTGAAAGACTGTATGTTCATGGGGCTTCCGCGGAACGGATCACGCCACCCCAGCCCCATGTGGACATGAGGGCAACAGAAGGCAATAAGTCTGAGCATCGAACAAATTCGTTCCTGCTCGGTGTTGGGTACCTCAGTGACACCATGGCCCTACATCACTGCCTGTTTCGTTAGTACGTGCTGAAGTAGTTGACGGAAAGGTGGTGGTCCCTATAAATTCGCAAATTAAGTTATATAATAACTATGCTATATTGCGATACTATGAACGGTTCTCGGGGCTATTAAAATCAGGTTGTACGAAATAACATTGGTTCATTTAGGTACCTCTCCGCTTTACCTACTTATTATTAGCCATGGCTGGTTATATATAGTGGACAATAGGTTCGCATTATGTGATTGAACAGTCGCGATTGAGAGACCTTTAGCTTGGGTGCTTTGTGTTGTATCTGGCATTCCATTATTCTGCACAAATATGATAGGGATCTACCTGGATAGCCTATGCAGGGTGATCTTCAATTAAACAACTAAACATGCATTGTTGCGGCTCGGGAAAGAAAGAATATGAAATGGAAATAACAAAAAGTAGAAACACAGCCAATAATAGCAAGAAAGTCAAGCATGCTCCTTCTGCTCCACAGTACACTTCTCCTCCTCGATCTGCACATTCACGTCCGTCACATCTCCTTGTGGAAGCCTTCTAGCCATCGCCACAATATGCCATGCGGACGGAGCATCGTGGAACACCTCGTTTAAGGCTTCGAGATTGCGGCCCATGGTCTCTGGGTAGAAGAGATACACAGTGACTGGAATACAGGCAGAGATAACAGCATATACAATATAGTATCTCCACCCGATTGTATCCAGAGCCACAGGTGTAACCATCACGACAATAAAATTCCACAGCCACTTGTTTGCGGTTGATGCGGACGACATAGCCACACGCAGACGCATAGGAGCAACTTCGGTACAATAGAGAAAGTTTGCGCCAGAGAATCCAATGGGATAGAACATGTTGAAAAGCCAGATAAAGACCACAGAGACAATTGAGAGGCCCCGACTGGCGTCAGAGAACTTGGTCGTAATAGTTAATACTATCATGCAAATGCACATTCCAGCCCCACTAAGCATGAACACCTTGCGCCTGCCAAAGCGGTCGATTGCGAAGAACGGAATGAAGTTGCATACGAATTTCCATGTAAGTGCGCTGGCGCCTAGTATGCTAGACAAATCTTTATCAAGGTTCAGGTTCTCCTCGAAGATGGTGGAAATGTAGGTGGAGATCAAATTTCCTCCGCACATTTGCTGGAAGAATTGGATGACAAGACAAAGGGCGAACCGGTACAGTAGACGTTCTTTATCATCGCCCATAAATAGCTCTCGTAGTGTGAAGCTCTTAAATTGCGCTGTGAGCTCCAGTGATGACTCAATGCTCGCAATTTCCATTTGGACCACGTCATCGTTGACGGGGAGACCCCTGTACGCCGCTAAACTGTGAGCTGCTTGGTCCCTCTTGGATACCATAACTAGCCATCTTGGTGATTCCGGAATCATAAATAACGACCCGAGGATAATCAGGGGAAAGGCAAGAGCCAAGGCTAATGGGACACGCCACTGGGTTTCACCCGCCGTCTTCCCGAACCCGTAGGAAACCCAGTTCGTGATCACGAAGCCTAGGACCATACAGATCCCATCAACTACCACATGCTGACCACGATGCTTTGCAGAACTGCATTCAGCCTGCCATACCGGTACAGTCGCGCTCAGTTGCCCGACCCCGATGCCAAGGATGACTCGACCCAGGGTGAACTGAATGATGCTATAAGAAGATGCCTGAAGCAGCTCCCCAATGATCGTAAGAATAGTAGCCATAAATACAGTTCTTCGCCGGCCGAAGCGGTCACCGATATGCGCACACGCAAGCGCCCCAAGAAGGCCTCCCAGTTGATAAGAGGCAATGACTGCACCTTTCCTCGTTGAGTTTCTCTCCTTAATGGCACCATGGGTGTTGACCGTGTCAATCTCTGGAAAAGTGTTGACCCTACATAACTGATCAGCTAAACCAAATCTTTCAATAACCTCTTCAAGGGGTAAGTTACCATGACTGCAGATTGGCAAGGGGTGCTACTCCGGCTTGGTTGTACCCGTAGGTAATGAATGCGGGAGCTACCGTGAGAAGGACCTGTGCGAGGTGGAGCGACTTTCCACGAAGCATAGTGAATTGTGTCAGTATCAGCTGCCTGTAGAATATGACGCTGATCAGATTGAGCCAAGGATGTCAATGCATTTTATATCATGTCAAAATTCTTCTAGAAATCCGGGGACCCCGCAATATGCTTGAGCCATGCCAATCAGGGCTGAAAGACATGGACTTCGCTAATGGAGCCCCAGTGCAAGCATTCGCTTCACTGTGAGTCTTCTTACCCCAGTGTTCGTGTGCGGGGATTGAATAAACCGCCACTCAGAGATACACGTTTTTGTCCTCCCGCGGAATCTAAGATCCCGTGGCGTAAAATGGCTAACACCCTTGCCGGCTAAGATCATACAGAATTCTGCCTGTACTTTCGGAGCTGCCTGGCGGTCCCAGTTCCTTCTCGGAAGATTCCGCTTTTATGCACCGTACTTCGTTATTTTGAAAGACATAGCATTTTTCTGTTGATTATCATTAATGCTATTAGGGTACCGGACCCGAAAAAGCTTTGATAAATCAAATTATTGGAAAAAAACTTGTAGATATGATACTGATGCTATTTCCAGGTAAAATATAACAAATTCGGTCCACGAAATATTCCTAAGATGAAATATATATATTTATATAACTCCCGATAGATTAGTACTTGGAGGATGTCCCAGAAATCTAGAGATAGATCTTCTTAATGATAGAATGAAATTGATACTATATGATAAGTGGTATATTGGTATATAGTAGTCTAGTACCTAATATATATAATTGGAATATATAATAGTAATAGCAGGATGTTTACTTTTGGTAAGAGTATGACTACTATTAAGCCCTGGTGGACAGTGGCTATGTTGGAATAACAGCTGGTTTCGGAATTGATACACACAGTATGTAGTAAGGTCGTGATTTGTCTGTTCATGTTTTATGCCTCGATCTGTATAAATAAGATAGCTGGGTGCTGGGCAAGTGACAGTCAAGGAATCGAAAACTCTGACAAGAATGGTTTAGCTTAATATTAAGACATGCTATCTATTTTATTGATATAATACCTGTGAATGTTACCATACTCTGAGCTTCCTCTACAGTTCATGAACTAATGTAATCCAGAGCTATTATCTCTCTCCGTAACTATGAAGTGCATTCAACACATTATATCACATGTAAGACATCGGTCGTCCTAGTCATTATACAAGAATCATAAACTACATTCAGGCTATAGTATTGCTGATTTATTATTCCTTACTGAAGAAGGATGGTCCCTGCAAGGGCCTTACATATCGAGCAGATGACGTACTGACTCGACGGTATCTTGAAATAAATCATAGCAGGAGATGATTACTTCAGGCATCTTTGCTATTTGGGCTGCCGCAGGGATTGGCTGAGTTTAATGAGAGTCAAAAGTCTTTCTATCCTGCGTGAAAGTGCAGCATACTCCTTCCTGCCTACCTTCTTACTGCCCACCTTCTTACTGCCCACCTTCTTACTGCCCACCTTGTTGACCCGCTTGAATCAGTGCGTGTTGTTGACTACTAGCATGTTCCACCTAGTGCTTCAGCTTTGGCGCTGTTGCAGGAAGTTTAATATGTGGGATAGTATGTGCGTATATAGCCGCTTTACTAGCCGCTTTATCGAAGTGATAGATCTAGTTATTAACGGCCGCTAGCCACCTCCTTTAATACTATAGACCTTTTTGTAGGTAACACAGGTGAATACAACATGCCCCGGGCTCCTTATTCTTGACCCGTTTTGATCTACTCTCATTGGCTGAACATCGTCCGGACGTCTATAACACCTTCAAAGAGAGCTAGAGAACGATTTCAACAAGCTCAGGATGCCTAACCGACTCCCGTCTCGCGGCATGCCGCGTCGCTCACGAAAGTCCACATGTCAGTGAAGTATATTTTTGCTCGGACACCCGTAAATCCGTGAGAATGTTGGCAGTGTATGCCAAGCCTCCAGTGATCCGAGTAGGTCCCACATTGGGCAAAGCCGAGTACATGCGCCTCATCCCTGCCGTGGGGGTAGTCTCCCTAGTCAACCCGGGGAGGGAAGTGTGTTGGACGAGAGAGTTCGTCGTGGTGACTTATAGCCCTATGGATACTTTCAACAAGATGTTGGATCTATTAGTGGCCAAAGAGAGATTTCCACTGCGGAAATGGCCACCTGAAGGATCGACGAGCTGCTACTGCTCAAATAGTTATGTATATTCTCAACTACCGCATTATCCCAATTAGCAACTGTAGTAGGAGGATAAAAGTCTACTTGGAAAGGGCCAGCTCGATGATCTTCGAATGAACATGTTGTCGGCGCTATACGAAAGAGCGGACGTCCTCGTTTGTGGATGTGAACCGACGGGCGCAATGCTCTCTGGGTAGTTGAGTCCTTTTGAAATTAGAAATGTTGTCATCGAGTAAAGAACCTCAGATCACCACTGATCCACGAGGAATAGCACTAAGTGTAGGCCCCATCTTGGTGTCCTAACTATTGTGCCCACATAAACTGTCCCCATCGACTAAGGAGCATAGACCCCGCCAACCACCCCAGATCAGATTCATCCCGAATAAGTTCGCTTCCTCGGCGCGCAAATTACTCCTGTTGACTCTGCATAGGGGCCACTGGTTCTATCAGTGACCTAAGCACCTCTTCAGAACTCTCTCAGTGTCTTCCTTGCCCCAAGGTCCCTCCGTCTCATCACTCCGCCAAGCCACATGCATATCAAGGCGTACCAAAACAGCAGATCTCTCCCACAACTTCCGAGCCATGGTCTCCTGAGGCAAATGTATAACAGTCAGCCTTTTTATGACCTTGGGGGTTGCCTTGTTGAACCCCTTTTTGTAGGCCCCATCAATCGTAAAGTCGACCAGAGTAAAATCGGGTCCAAGGCGGTCGAGAATAGACACTCTGTCATTCAATATGATGTTCGGCACACGAGAGCCAGGCCATGTAGTCGCGACATAGTCCCGCTCACTACACTTCGGCTCGTTTATTGGGTACTCTTCCAAGACAATGATTGAGGAGCTGAGTCTGTACCCCATCTCAATACCCAAACTCTTATTCCCCCATCGTTGGCATAGACATGGCATCAGATGCGTTCACGGAGTGCCTGTCCTTCAGGACTATCACTGCGAACTTCCCCCTCGCTTGTCTGTCGAACCCATCCAGCATAATCCATGTGAACTTGGGCGTGTCGACCTGACATCGCAACGTTACGCACGGCGACTGGTCGCCGCTCAGCCTCATACGATTCGAGTAGCCGTTCGCCACCCTGACCATTCAAAAACATGCCCTGCTTCCATCCGATACATAGACATCTCCAAGTCCAGTGTTCATGCCATATCCACCGAATAAAATGTTTTGATGAGCTGTCGACGTGTCAGCAGTGCGAAAGCCACTAGACCCCAGTGCAGTGCCATAGATTATACACAGTCGTACCTGAGTCACCCGCTAGAAAGGCGCGCTTTTTTGGTGAGCGGAATTACTCTGCGACACTTAAGTTCGCCCTCAATATGCTACTTACCACTATCTTGTCAATTTTGATTGGCTGTGGTGGACCCGAGTCCCCAAGCGCAGCATAAACGGCTTGCTCAAGGTCAATATCGGCAATGTCCGTGTCAGGCGGAGTGGGAGTGTGGATCGTCCAGGTATCTTTCTCGTCTTGACTCCCTTTCGACAGGAAAAGGTGCCAAAATAGACCTTTGCGGTGAATAACTTCGAAGTCTCTGGACTTTAGGTGAAATAGAAGTGTGGGTCCGGAGCTGCCGACATTAGATATGCATCTCAGCACAGCGGTATCCTGATCGGATCACGATTAGCAAATTTTTACACCGGAGACGTGGTAAGCTTGATTCCGGTGGAAGTTCGCACGCGACTATTGGCGCCATCACAGCCAACGACGTATTGGCTCTCGATAACGTGTTTCGCTCCCGTAACTACGTTGGTCACAGTCGATAGAATCTTTTCCGTCGACTCGATCATTGCTTCAAGTTTCATCCCAAAATAGGAATCAATTAGCGGCTCCTCTTGGATAAGAGCCTTTAGCCAGGCTTCGAAGATGGATTGAGAACATCTCTGATACGGGTAGCGCGGCATCGTCCCGTCGCAGTTACTCCGTATCTTCTCTGCCTGCTGATCCGGAGACAGTATATCCTGAATCCAATAAGCATGTGAAAACGCTACATATAATATTCAGGCTGAAGACGAATAAAATGATCTCATACCCATTTCGCCAGAGCTTGTCCCCCAGGAGATAGTCCAGTGCTAAAAATGCAGTCAAACGAAAACTGCGATGGTACACCTTGAAAGACGGAAAATATTAGCTAGCTGCTCCATCTGTAAGCAAGACAAAATGCCAGAAACCTTCTTCCCGTAGCCCATCTGCAAGCTCTAGACGTTGGAGCAGCTCCATTGATCGTGGATTGGTAATATCCATCTTAGGCCATTTCGTAGTTTTCAGGTTGCGCTCCACAAGAAACGTTCGAATGCCCGGTATTGCGAGCTGGAAGGCCGTTATCATTCCGATGCGTCCAGCGCCAACTACCAGGACAGGAGTCTCCACCTGGTGTGGCAGATCTACGGTGGTCTTTGTCATGGTGAACCTGTGGGAACGGTGCCAGTGACTATGTTAGGATATTGCTTGACCCGACTGATTTTTCGATCGATATTTCAGCAGCTTTGGGGGAAAGCGTCAAAAATACAGCGATAAATAGAGTGTTTCGATAGGAGGTAGTTATATGAACAGGGAGTTCCCAATAAGTAGTGTCGGCTGGTCCGTCCTCCACACACTGGGGTGTCTCAATTAGGAAAATCACCGTTCCCACCACAGACGTTGGCTTTCTACCACATGCCCAGTAAAGAGGAAGTGGGGAAATCTTCAGCACCATTATAGACGTCAAATGAGGAGGATACACTCAAAGCTCGATGCCAACAAGCGGGGGCGGGGGATTGAGGGACAGTCATGGTCGACATCGAATGACAAAAATCATCGCCAAGTGAAGATCGACACAAGCTCGGCGGGATAGTAAATCGGACTAGCTACAATTAAGGCCCCGCGTAAAGACGAGTAGTGTGAGCTTCATTAATCTAGAAGACTTCAAATGGTAAGCAACCAGACGCTTCACAGGTAAGGCCCTATGGACCCCCGTCATGCTAATAGGCCCCAGAGCAGCCGCCTTGCCCAGTGCCGCTCTCATGCAAGAGCTAGCGGATGCCCCAGGTGCTGGCTCCTTGGTGGCGATCACCGACCCCGAAAAATTTCCCTTCAACATAAACTATAATCACTATCCCATCAATCCTTCCCACGAAGAGCCAGCACGGGAGAAGATCATTCTGAAGTTCCCGAGCGAGAAGCCGCGTGTATGAATGTTTAACTGGTTTGAGACCAGCTGCATTTTACAAAGTTAGAAACAATATCTCGAGATTCAGAGGGCCTAGAGAGCTAAATCTGCACTTCAGCTGGGTCACTTCGGCCTTTCAACGCAGGTTTTCGAGTCTCAACCCCAATTCCATACCTCAACATTCAACATCGTAACAACCGACTTTATCCACACCGACGAACATGGTCAGCGGATCCCCGTCACGGTATTCATGCATCTGTATCTAGGAAAGGAGCCCGTAGACCACGCATTCTTCCTCAGCGCCAACCCGAAGACATCGCACATCTACCATTGCTCATTCGAGTTCCATGACTACCACACACAGCAGCTAGGCCATCAGTGGCTGGTCAAGAAGAGATATCGGCCGGCCCGGGAGTGGGACATCATGTGCTGGGTTCTCAGAACTTCGATTACTGGTGGGATGTGTCGGGTAATATGGTCGAACTTTACGCCGATGGCGACTTAGTGGATGCGGAGACGCCGATTGGATATGTTCCTGCGGGGCCAGATTCGTTGGCAATTTGGGGCACTGGACTACTCGCTACGTTTGTGGAGTGATGTATAATGGTAAATGAGTTCTAAAGAGGATTTACTTTTCGGTGATTGAGCACAAATGAGTTTGATTGTTTGGAATAGAACTGCAGCGTGAGCTAAAGCGGGCGAATAATGGCTTGTGACAAATCTCTATATCCAGTCCACCCTTTCTAAGGCAATCTGCAAAGGCATGGTCAATTATGCTGGATTGGACTTTGCTCAACTGAGTATCGGAGATTCACTTTCTCTACGGCATTTGCATTTCACCTTCATATTTGCCTGGGGTCACTTCCTATTGCGAATTCTGTTGGCAGATTAAACTTTAACACTCAAGTAGAACCAGTGTAGACGGTTCCGACAAGAGATATTCTTCTTGAGGACAGCCGGCTGATCTAAGTAACAGGGATTTCCGGGTGTTTACTTTCACCCTCAGGCCTCATACATTATAAGAACAGATATCACAGCACCTTCGCCCTCTTCTGCTATCTCATGTTCTGGCGAGATACTGTGGTTATGCAATTGGTATGTGGAGCTGGCTGACCTCTCTGTATTATGTTCTTGCCCAGTTGCTCTCAGCTATCAGGGTATTCGGGTAGCTCGAGATACATATCAAAGTGAAGAGAATGAATCGTATTTACTATTAGCTTCAATGAATTAGATATAAAGTATCATTTTAACTAATTTAGGAAAAGTAAGGACAATATTTAAATTGAGAGTAGGATAGCTGAAAATAGCTGAATTTATGTTTAATGAGATACGATATAGGGTACTAGGCTGAAATCCTATTCAAATATTCATTTTCATAATCAAAATCCATCATGCAAATATGATTAGCCTGAATACTATACAGTATATCTTAAAGGGGCGGTGCAAGAATTTTCGAAAAACCCAACCTAATAACCCGTCTTGACCCATCAACCCGCGGGTTCAACCCGGCCGACCAATCCGACACTACTGGATATTGATTCCTGCTTCGAAGATTCGTCATCCTACATCCCACTTTCCTTTCAGGTCAATACCTGAAACCTCCGATGATTGAATGGTAATCTAATAAGTCCTGGAACAGCTCTGTTTATGTATAAAATGCGCAAAATGGACAACTGAAGGTACCGATTAATAAACATGTAATCATTTCCGAAACGAAGTCGAAGTTATGGGTTTTTACACTAGAGTGAGGATACTGATCATGATGCGTACATCTGGAAGAAGGGCTTTTCATATAGTCCAGTGCTACAAATGTGGTGTTTAGCAGAGAATTCATATCTTTGTGTCTTGTTTTGGGTAGTTAATGGAGCCCATTAGGGCGCGAGAAATGGTTTCCAAATTTACGGAGTTCTTTAACTGGAAATAGTGGAAAAGGCAATTACCCAGTAATACACATCAGCCAGCTTTCTTCTCTCTCCCTCCTATTCCCTCCTACTCCCTCCTGTGGCACCGAAAAAAAAAGATAAGGCAAAGGGTGTAGACAGTCAGATTTGTCGACTACATTAAAATAGAAAGAAATGAGTCAATGTTATAAACTTCCATTTTAGACCTGCCGGGATAATCGGCTGTATTCATGCCTACGGCTGTTTGACGAGGGCCCGCTATCTGTTACTATATCTGTCATGCGGCGGAGGGGAAGAAGATCGAGGGCGCAACGAACAAAGTATGGTGCTTGATCGATTGCGGGTTGCCTGAGCATTGGCATAATCAATACAATACGATCGAGTACAGTGCGTGGATGGTTTGCTCAGATGGGAATCTAGTGACCCTTATCTTATTTCATGTGTTCTGTCCGCAATCATGCTTAGATTCCTTCTTCTCTTATATAAATAACCGCAGTGTGGAGGTTTCCTCTTTCAGAACGAGCAACGAGAACATGTATTGATATACCCACTCCTACCGCATGATGTCGTATTGGAGAAAAAAAAGATTTAAATGAGCAGCTATCTTTGTTAGCTATAACTATTCTCGCCACAACCTCAACCTGCACAGCTGTGACTCTGGACGTTGTGGATACACTCTTCACGGTTAGACTACTCTTCACCCCACGCAAGCGAGCGTATAGGAGGCCTATCAGCGATAGCTGTGGAGAACAAACTTTCGATGCATCGCTCCGCAAGCGACCGACCTAGTAAAGCCCATTATCGATCTTCTTCACTCATTGACAGCTGTCATACACTTATTGGCTTAGTTAATGAACTATGTGGATCTTTCTGGGTTCTTTTCTGCAGCAGTTCAGCTGGGTGGAGAGACTTGTGAAGAAACAGGGTGTGCAGGGAAATGATCTCCGCTCTTCATCGGAACATCACACATCATCGCACCCGAGTCAAATAGAAATTTAACCCCTGATGGTCTGGTGGCATCCACTGGGTATCTTCGGTCTCCATACCCCAATCTACCAAATCCACCAACGTGGCTTCAACCTTCCACTGTGTCCCCGACTCTGCCGACACAAGCGCCCAGAGTTTCTGAAAACTCTCTAGATTATGGTAAAACATCATCCCCCAAGGCCGGATGTATTCTCTCGCGGCACGACGCGACTGCTGATACCCGATAAGGATGGTACCTGGCCGAGACAGCTCAACAATCCGCTTTCCAGCGTCAATCTGCCCCTGCCAGGAAAAGAGATGGAGAAATTGCCCCGCGATCATGATGTCTATCTTTCCACGGAGGTTTTTCAGCTGCTCCGGTTCATCGGTGAGGAAGTGGGCGGGGATAAACGAGACAGCCTTCATTCGATCGTCATCGTTGAACAGTTCGTAACCTAACTGCCACAACTCGGGACTGAGATCGAGGGCCCACATCTGAGACGGAGAGACGCCATTCGCGGCGAGCAGACGCAGATTCTGACCTAGCCCTGTGCCGAGATCGATGATGGTTGTGCTTGGTTGGAGGGCGCGATCGACGACAGCAGGAAATTGGGGGAATTTGGCAATGCCGGGAAGTAAGAACATCCACTGGCCGACGCAGGGGTATTTGCCGTATTGCCACGCTTTGTCGCGCTGTGATTGTTAATAGGTGCAGTTTAGTGCTGACCGTCATGGGATTGTCCAGGCAGACATACCACAGTGTGAAGATGACCGTCAAGCTGACCCTCGCTTACACCGCTCCATTGACAGAAAATATCCCGCATGGGCTGGCTGAGGCGAGGGCCAATATCTGCTTTGTACCAGACTGATGTGTCAATCTCGGCCATACTGTTTGAATTCGTTTCAGGTCTAATAAGAGCGCTATCAATGCAAATGGTGCTATAAGTTAAATCGAAGATGGAGATGAGGTTGCTCCTCCTTGGAAAGAGGTCAAAGCCAGCTATGTATACCAAGAAGCACTTATCACGTGCCATGAGCACATTTGGAAAAGACACACAAGCCGTTCCAGCATTGTATATCTTGATTCATTGATCTAGCTAGCAGAGTAGAAGGATTCGTTATGCAGCAGACGCCATCCTAGAGCGACGATCTCTTCTGAGCCACACAGACCACCTTTGGCATAGACAAGTGGAACCCCCTTCGCGATTCTTCAGCGAGCCCAATAATCATGTCATAGATACGAGACGCCTCCTCCACCTTTCCCGCAGACTTCAGCCGAGCTGCAAATTCCTCTAGCACGAGTATATACTGGTCTCCATTCGCCTTGCAGAGTTCCGGCCGATCGATAAAATGAAACAGATCGGCATTAACGAATCCACCATGCCCATCCATCAACGATTGTGGTAGATCCAGCACCCAATCATTACGTCCGTTGGACTGGGCAAATTGCACGAATGCATCGCACGCTGGGCTGGCATGGTTGCTTAGCTGTGCAGTGGGGGGCTTGGCCACGATCGTGTCAGGATAGTTCAGGTCATCCCACTGGATGTATCCACCTGGCTTCAGGAGCTGAAAAACTTTATCGATGATGGGGAGAGGGTTGCTCTCCTGCACGACCAGGACGAGAAGGCGTAGATGAACGACGTCGTACTTTCCGCGCAGGTCCTCAGGGACTTCGTCAAAGATGTTCCATTGGCGAAGACTGATGGAGGGCGTCACCCATTCTGGTACAGGGGCATTCTTCAGGTCCACGTCCAGACCGTCCAGCTGCAGAGTGTATGGCGTCATGGCTGGGTCCCGCATAAGGTCACAAAGCCAAATAGCGGTGCCTGTGGCTAGATCGGCGATTCTGAGAGTCTCGCCGGCAGGGCCGAGGTTGATGGAGGGGTGGAGGTTGAATTGGAGTGATTCTTTCCATAGGTAAAATTGGAAATTGAGGCGTGAAGCTGCTGTGTAGTTTCGATCCAGCATGTAGTCGAGTTCGTTGCCCATGTTGAAGCCGGAATTGATAGTTTCAGGTTCCATTGTCAGCGGAGTGTAACTGGTCAGGCAGAGTGCGAAATGGGCTCAAGCGGTGGACCTGTGACTGCATGGGATCATCCGATTTATACCTTTCGTTTACAGGTCACTGGGAATCCACTCGAATACGTAGCAAACTCAACTACTTCAGCTCATGTCTCCGGCAGATCGGTATGTGTTGGCATCGATCCACCCAGCTGAAGATCTGTGGCGTAGCTGAGGACATATTCCCTCAAGATACACAGGTTTTTTGTCTATAAATACTCGTATCGCAAGGGTTCAATATGCCTCTATCATCAACAACCATTCTCTTCATTCCTCAACATGACTATCCAAACTGTTCGACTTGGCCTTGCCGTTGGCCATGGCACCGGCCGTGAATTAATCGCCGTCTTTGAACGGGTCATTCAGACACTCGCCAAACAATATTCGGTCAATTTTGAATTTGTTTGCTCTTCTTCTACATACCATTCCTATCACACCCTCACTGTCTCCGGCGAGGACAAAAACTTGATCACGCACATTGCAGATGAAACCACCAAGGATGCAATTGACTACCAGCATTTCTGTGAGAATGCTGCCGCCGCTGGCATTGCGGCGATCTTCCGCACCGCCATCCACGCCCAATCTCTCTACCTGGTTCGGCAACACCTCCAAGCGGCCAAGGTGGAGCACTTTAGCCTTGGAGAGGGCAACGCCCTTCTCATGGTTCGCGATGAAGCACAGGGCTTTTACGCTGGCGACAACGCATACAGCGCCGACCAACTGAGCATCACACGAACAACCAGCTTCAGTAAGCCCGTTTTCGACCGCATCATCCGCTTTGCACTGGACAGGGCCGCCGAAAACTGGGGCCCGGACAACGTCCCCAAGAAGGTCACCATGGCGTACAAGTTCCACCTCTTTGATGGCGTGTTCCAAGCCTGGGAACCCCAATGGAAAGCCCAGTTTGGCATCGACTTCAATTTTGTTCAGCCTGACACGCTCAATCGCAGCTTAATGGCAAATGGAGTCCAGGGCCGTTGCATCATCATTGCAGGAAACGAATACGCAGATGTCATCCAGCCCGTCTTCCTCAACTGGTTCGGTCAATCGACTCCCGAGACCATGTACGCTGAGAACGTCTACCTGCGCCCAGACGTGAACGGCCTCAGCGAGTACCAAACTGTCCATGGGTCCGCCGATGCCATCGCTGATAAGGGCCTCGTCAACCCATTTGCTACCATTCGTGCCGCAGCCGCGATCCTGGAGCGACACGCTGGGGGTAAAGGTATCCAGAAGATGACAGAGCAAGCTATTCAAAACCTCCTCCAGCGCAAACTCACTACCCCGGACCAAGGCGGTTCATTGAAGACAGAGGAAACAGTCGATTATTTCCTCCAAGCCATCGCAAATCCCACACAATCTATCGCATCTACCGCCACCGCCTCCGGTGACCTCCAAGCCTTCCTTGGTCTGAAAACTGCCCTGGTAGTCATCGACTTCCAGAACGATTTCATATCCGGAAACCCCAGCCCTGCTATGGCAGGCGTCGTCAACAACGTCCCTCGCGCGATCGACTTCGCCCGCGCAAAAAACCGCCCCGTCATTTTCGTTCGATTCCTCGGAAACACCACCTACCAAAGCCCCAGCTGGCAGCACCGGGACGCCGTTCTCCAGAAACCCGAAAAATGCGTCGAGGGGACGTGGGGTGCGGAGGTTGGTCCTGGGGTAACGGTTCAGCCTGGCGAACGCATCTTTGATAAGAAGGCATTGCTGGATCCGTTCTTGATTCCAGATTTCACGACATATTTGGAAGAACAGGGTTTTGAGCATCTCGTTCTCGCGGGCTTGTTCTCGGATGTTTGTATTGATTCAACTGCGAGAACCGCGTTCCAGAAGGGGTTGAGGGTTACGGTTCTGGAGGATTGCACGACTGCTCTTCATGCGAAACAGGCCGATCATTTGCAGTTTATGACCAAGCTCTACGGAGCGAGAGTGTCGAAGCTGACGGAGCTAGTTGGGATGGCTGTGTGATGATATTTTGTTTTCTTTACTTTGTGTGGAAGGAATATCTTTCATACACTTAGATAGCCAACGTTTACAACGTCTTAGATTATCAATATATAACGAAGAAAGTAGTTTCGTTTCAAGGAAGTGCATAACTAATTAACTATCATAAGGGCCCGGGGTCGCACGTAGAGAGGCTAGAGTAGCAAAGATCGAGGTTAGGCCAGATCAGGTTAATTGAAATTCTCATACCTGCTGCCAGGTTAACAGTCAGATTAAGAATGGTTTTATATTGAGAATAAAAAATTATGATTAGGAAGCTATTATATATACCCCCCCCAAATCCTACTTGTACCCTTGCTTTATCCTTGAATCTATGATATGTAGTCAAGATTCCGAGAGTCTTTTTAGCACCTGATCAATATATGTTGTACAGTATTCAATATTTCTAAATAAAAGTGAGAGTATCAATAAAAGATATTATATAAAGGTTATTGAAAAGCCGGTGGAGTGCTGTATATATGTAATCCTAGAATCTTGATAAACATATTAATCAGTTTATAAAATTGTAACTACTTATTCTAATCGAAATATTCATAATTTGCGAACTCAGAACATTGTCTTTTAGTACTCAATCTAGTAGTAATTAATAATAAGCCTGATACTACACAGTATTGTCCTACAACTCTAAAGAATCCAAAGATATGACTCAATAACATTTATGAAGATTATAAAGTATATATTGACTACTAGTAAGTCTAATTTGACATCTAGATATTCATTCAACATTCACACCTGCATATCTCAAAGGGATGAGTCTATTGTAATCATCATTAATGCTTTAACATATCCTTGCTTGTCCAACAAATCTAGGACTCTAATATCGCCAATCGTCTTCCAGGGTCCTCCACTGGCACAGGTCCAGGTGGGTACATGATAAGGGACCTTATCCCCTCCCGGTTGAAGCTCATACCGCTGGTGCCTGGGAGTCGGCAAGGTGCACGGCTCAAAGGATTGCACATCTCCATTTGAAGCTGCATGATCCATTGCTTGAGCGGTATACTCGCCTTCTCGGCATCAAAATAGAAAGCTATCAGTTGGCCACCCGTTGGATCAGAATAAATATCGTGCGGATCGATAGAAGGCTGTGCACATGAATCCGGTTGTGCATCCGGCTGCCCACGTTCCATATATAAGTCATCCTGCAACTTTATCTGTCTCCCACGGTAACCGAGTTTAGACAACTGGACAAATTGCAACTCTAGGTCATCTGCCAAAAACTGAAAGCTCTGCATCCAGAGAGTCTTTATCTCATTTACCACTTCAATGGAAAATGAAGAGCCCCAACTACTTCTCTCTTCAGTGATTGGGCCTGGATCTCGTGCTGCGATTATCGCATCCGTCAAGCTGATCATATCCATACTCAGCCGCTTCAACGTCGGTGCTGCTGTCTGAAGAAATTGCCTGAGCGTATCCACGGTCACCTCAATCGAGTGGAGATGGATTTCCTCCAGCTGCGAAAAGCGGATCTTCCCGGAGAGATCCTCAAAGTACAATGGGGATAATTCTTCCCAGGGGTTCCATTGGGCAAATGCCAGTATCTTCAATTTAGGTGCAACTGTGACCAGAATATTGAGGAGACGTTTGAAGGTCTCTTCTTCGAATTTATCTTGTTCGTGGTCCTTAATGCGGATACACATATGCAGAGCCGTCAGATCGCTCAATAGTGGCAATAGTAATCTATACCTTGACTCTGGCAATTCCAAGGACCCCAAATTCACCCCGCAAGCGTAATTGCCGCACGTATGGAGGGATCGGATCTTTCGATTGGATTTGATTATGGCTTGAAACAACTGTGAGATTGCCAAACCCAAAGGCGTGGACAACATATCCTTGCGAAAACTTGCGAATGTTAAATGACCAAGTACATCACCGCTGTTGAACTTCTTCAATTCCCGTAAGCCAAGGCAGCGAAATGAACGATAATTTGCTTTCAACAGGAGGTATTCAATGGGGTAAGAGCGTAATGCGATCATGGTGACGTTTTTGAGACGTGGGAGGCATTTCTCCAGTACCTCATGAAGTTCCGAGTCAAGGATAGCACGGTGCTCTGCTAATGTACCTTCGTAAGCAGCAAACAGAGCGTCAAGCTCGGCCTCAGCATTGGTGGATGTTGGATCCTCCTTTTCACCACGCATCATTCTAAGAACTTTTCTCTGTCTCCTCATTGACAAACCCAAACTTTTGAAATTCTCCTTATCCCTTCGTGGCCAACCCTCAAACAAATTGGGAATGATCCAAATTTCTTCAACCCAATCCCGAAGAGCTTCACTGGCTGCAACCTCCTCCAGATGGTCAAGGCTATCACGAGTGAGAAGAAGTGAGAGACTTTTGAAGTAGCGCGTCGCATAGGCTTCCAGTGTATTGGCATATATTTGGTGGCATGTAATCCTGAGCGCACCCCACTCTTGAGGTTCTAGATGCTCACAAATGCAAGTCAAGATTTCCAGAGGCAGGCTTAAGATAGACATCTTGCATAAGCTTATTGCCGACGCACGAAGAAGCGCGGTTATTGTAACCTGGGATGAATAATTTCGTGAACTGCGAGGTTTGGTGTGGAAAGGGGCTTGTAGAAAGGTCATCCGGCTGAGATTGTATATTCAGGGAGATCCTTAAGTACCCGAAATCACTCCAGTCCGTAAGGAATCCTGGCAACTTCAGCAACCCTTAGGTTCGATCGGGACTTCGGGCTCGTCGGAAGCAGACGGGCGCGCTACATACACTAAAGGTTTAGCCCAGGCTAGCCCCCCACTAAGAAGGGTCCAACTACACTGAACCAGCGAGAGAAATAAGATTGCTCTTGCAAGCGATGTCAATAAAAAGTGCTAGTTCGTTTTCATACCCAACAGTGTCGCTGATAACTATAGAATTATTTGCAATTGTGATTTAATTATACGCCGGCACCACAGCAAGAATGAAACATAGTAGGTACCACACTTCCTCAACTATTTGACAGTTGATTGGAAAGTCTGTTCTTGTTCGCAGTTGAAGTTATATCTGAATCATTTCCAGAACGTTGTACAGCGCCCCGTTTAGGTATGGTCCCACTTTTGAAGAAATCCAGCATAAAAGGTGGCCGGAATCGCGGTTCCCACAGTCTTCGAGTTATAGTACCACCAAGCCAAAGCAAAATGGACGTAATTTTCAGTATTCTGATAAGCAAACTTTGCCAAGGATGTAACGAGCGCATAGGGATCGAGTGCCAAGGCGAGACAGTCCATCATAAGATCTGCGTATGAGTGGATAATTAGCACCATCTATTATGTACAAGGCCGAAGGCAGAAGAAAAAGGGAATCAGGGAATCATGGAATGGTACTCACAGCTATGATCCACAATCATGTTTTGTCCGCTTACCACAGTGTTTCCGCTCTGATCCCATCTGGTCACCATATGCAAGATTTCATGAAGCATCACGGTGGACCTGGGCTTGATGAAACTTAGTTGTGCCCTGTCGATCAAGTCCGCCGTCACAGTAAGAACGCCAATATCACTTAGCAGGGTGTTACCAGCCGGTGTATCACTGGGTGTGTTGTCCTTCAGCATGTTTGGGCAAATCAAAACAAAGTCCGAAAGTAGTTTTCGAAAAACGGGATAATTCAACCCATTACGGTTCAAACTTTTTAAGGAGGCAGACTTGCCGAAGGAGTTGATCCCTTCCAACCCACTGGTATCGAAACACATCGCACCCGCCGTAAAAGTTGTGGGGGATATGAGATAGTACTCGTTCAGCGATGGAACCCAGTATGGTACTTGTTCGCCTCCAATGTAGCTCGCCCAGTCTCCATACACTTGTGCAACTGTGGTGGGGGGTGTTACATACTCGCCTGCGCTATCAAGCATATAAGTGTTCCATGAAAAGGGTTCTCCAAAATCACCACAAAATAGATTCGCTGGAGATGTCCAAGCCTGGTACACGCCATCATTGGTGATATTGACACGTCGGTATTGACTCATATCTATTATGCCTTTGGAAACATTTCTTCCGACTTTTCCATCAATGTGAATGGATATGAACAAGAGTTTTCAGAATTCATGGAGCTGAAAAATGTCAAGCGTGTTATGTCCTTTGGCGATTGGGATGTCTCGACGAGCCCAGATACCTATATAATCTTCCGCCAGGGAACTGCTGCAGCCGACCGATCTACATTGGTGGAAAATCTGGTCAACTATGTTTCTGAAACGGGCCTGGATGGTATCGACATTGATTGGGAGTATCCAGGCGAGCCAGATATCGCAGGTATTCCTGCCGGAAGCGACGACGAAGGAGAAAACTATCTTGCTTTTCTTAAAGCGCTCAGAGAAGCTCTTCCTGATGGCAAGATCTTATCAATTACAGCACCATCTTCTTACTGGTATCTCCAGGCCTTCCCCATTGATGTGATGGCAGATGTCGTGGACTTTATCAATTATATGACATATGATTTGCACGGAACTTGGGATGAGAAGTGTACTTGGGCCGATAACGAATGTACGGCCGGTGATTGCCTTTTCTCACATGTCAGCATGACCGAAACTGAATGGGCCCTGGCCATGTTGACCAAGGCTGGAATTGGCACTAGTCAGATTATGGTGGGGGTGGCTAGCTATGGTCGTTCTTTCGAGATGTCTGAGGAAGGCTGCTATAACTCTAGCTGTACCTGGACTGGTGCGGGAGAGGCTGGAGAGTGCACCAATACTGCTGGATACATTTCCAATGCAGAGATCAACCTGATCCTGCAAACAAACGACAATTCTCAGGCTTACTCGGGTGGAAATGTGACGGATTTCATCATTTACAATGACACCCAATGGGTTGGCTACATGATCAATGAGACCAAGACCAAGCGCGCATCCTGGTACGAGGGTTACAATTTCGGTGGTACCGCCGAGTGGGCCACTGACCTCGAAGCCATCGTGGATAATATTGAAAGCTCCTCGTCTGATGGCTCGGGCAGCACCGGAAACTCAACAGACACAGCAACAATCACGATTGATCCGGAAGTCTGGCAACTGCCAACTCCGGCTGTGACCTGCGCACCGCCCTGTTTGATGATCATGCCCCCTCTTCCTTTGAACACGACCATTACTTTCCCCCCATCGAGCGGACATCTTACTTGGAGCACCACTGGAACATCAACAATCACACTCAGGGATGGAAACATCACTATGATCCCGTATTTCGACAATTGTCTTGTCCCATGGGTGTTCAACATTGATCCTGGTGCGTTATCATACTCCCCTAAAAATCAGACCAATTTCACATACTCAACCAATGATACCCATAGTGACAACGGATTATATCAATGTGTGGAGCCAACATATTTCTGCGGGTCAAACGGCCGTTCAACAGACCAGCTCGGTGGCCCCAACGCCTTTTCCCATCGTTTATACCCCGTGCGTCCAAGATCTCACTTTCCGTGAACCTTTCTTAGAAGACGAAGTCAAGCTAACGGGAACAGAACGGTCGGTGGTTCTACTTCTGTCATTGGTGGCACCACAAGCGTCATTCCCGGATTTACCTATACCTCTGGAACCGTGACTTACAGCACGAGTAATTATACAGGTGTATGGGGAGGCACCACATCCGTTAGCGGCGGAACCACTCAGTCTCCGCAAACTTCAACTGTGACACCTTTGGCCTATCCGACAACCACCAACAGCACGCCAGATCCAACTTTGAACACCAAAACAACCACAGTTAAATCACGTTCCGACTCTTCAAGCTGGGGTTCTAAGGCAACTTCCGGCTCTGAGCATGTCGGTTTTCCCTGTAAGTCTCAGACTGCATACCGAACTACCCAACGAGACAATGTTGAATCTGGATTCCTTTAGCTAAAAAACTACTTAGGTGTGATCAATTGCAATGGGGGATGCTTGATCTGTCCTCCAAGTCTCGGTAGTGAAAGTGGTGGTGGCGGCGGCGGAGGTGGTGGTGACGATGACAATGACAACAACAACAACAATGATAAAACCACCGGGACAGAAAGTGCAACGACAAAGACCGAGACGAAGAGCGAAACTGTCACTAGCACTGAGACTACAAGTACGATCACCGTCGGAATTGCAGTCGGTACATACACCGCTTTTGCCGAGACAATTGGTGCATTGGGTGCTACAACGAATCCCATGGCAAGCCTCGAGTCAATCGCCACCATTCTGTCTAAGGAATTTTCATCCCTCTATTCCGCTGAGCAATACTCGTTAACGGCCGGCCTGTACACGACAACCACATCAAAGACCCCGACATCAACAACCCGCACATCGGACGCTGAAACGGCCACGCCATCGGAAAGATTTATCATCGCTCTTGCCGAGGATGACAATGAGCTTGGCTACCCTTACAGCTGGGAATACTTCGATCCAACATATAGTGGGTCGTGGACTGCCTGTGATGGTGTGTGTAGTGGCGGAGAGGCACCCTCATCTGGCTCTGGCCTTCCAGATGGCACCTTCGATATTGCTGTGGACATTCACGGCATGAGTGACTGTGTTTACAAGGGTACCACTGATGCCGCGGGTACAATTACTTGCCCTGACCTGTCATCCACCGTGCAGTGCATCGAGATTACAAACACGACGATATATACATGCTATACATTTTCGGCCCCAATTGAGTACACTATGAAGATCCAGTGCTCTTGGTAGTTTGAGTTGGACCTCAGCTGGGGCTACCAAGTTGAACGAATGCCAGTTGCATCGTGTGAAATAAACAGTACATGTACTAGTATTATTCATTTTGTTTTATTATTTAAAGCAGAGCTACCTAATCTGCTTTTATTGAGAAAATATCAAATGTTGGAAAGGTCATGTATTATGTAAGATATCAAATTACCAGAAGCAATATAAATTTAGAATATCCTGAACAGAAAATTCTATTAGGGGTAATCATGTTAATAATAACTATAATAGCCATACTGAGTCCATGTGTTCTCAATATATGAAAAGAAAGCCACTTGCCCAGATTATAGATCCGTTTTCCTTATAATTCTATGTTATTTTTGATTTCATCTTTTCATTTGTATTTCTATATATATATATATATTGGAAATTGGATGAACTCTTGTCGAGAAACAGATATAGAATCCAACATAAGAAAATATAACAAATAATTTAATCCTTTATTGTCTTTTATAGGAACAAAGTTTATTTATCAGGTTTATTTATTATTCTACGTCTTGAATGTTTTGATTAATAATATAAAGATTTTATAAATATTATATTGGCGAGGGTAAATATATCATATAGGGAATTGGATCATTTCAAAGAGCGCAGAAAGCGAACCAGGACAAGCAGAGAGAAAAGTTGAACGGATGCAGAGCCTGTAGCAGCAGCGTCAAGTCTCCACTTCCGCATGGGAGCAGAGATGGAAACTGGAGACGGGCAACGGGATAGCCAAGTCCGATGAAGGAGGGATACGCGTACTGCCATTCAGCGCAACTGATCGTTCTCCCACGGTAGACGAGCATTTTGCGTTGGAGATGACGGACTGGACAGCTGAGAGTCAGAGTCGGAGTCTGAAACGGACTCCGCTGCTGCACATATCAGTTGCGGGAAATCATCTGGATACGGTCAAGGTGTTGCTGCAGGATGAACGGGTCCGGATTGATTAGGAGTACAGCGAGGGTTTCATGCCTTTGCAGCGGGCTGTTATGCACGGCCGGTCGGATATTGTTAAGCTGCTGCTTAAGAATTGGGCTAAGACAGATCCGGGCCCCGGGTCTGATAGGGGAGTCGATTTACCTCTGTAGACTGGTAGACCACAAGTTGAAGTTTCCAAGAGAAGCAGCATAGGTAAAAGAATTAGGCAAGTACAAGCACAACTACAGGTATAAATACGTCCGCATAATGCAACTCTTCCACTGGCACTTACACCCATCACCTTCGCTGTTTACGAGACGACAGTGAGCCCTACGTCAAAGAGAAAAGTAAGCAATTCCAAATGGAATGATTCCACCCCCATGAGTATCACAACGTCAACACCCATCAGCCTAAACCAAACCATGTCTCATACCCTCATCCTCCTAACCAGCGCAACAGGCCTAATCGGCTTCCGCATACTAGTCCTCTGCCTGCATCATGCCCACCGAGTCCGCGTCGCCTTGCGCACCCTCACGTCCTCCATAAAATCCCTCTCCACAACCAATTCCACCCTCACAACAACCCACCTCACTTTCACCGATATCGCCAATCTAACCCCCCCCCCCCTCCGCCTCAAATACCGCCCTACACGACGTAACACACATCATCAACGCCGCCGCCCCAATCGCCTCTGCAGACCCCGCATCCATCGGCCAGAACCTGGAAGCGCACTACATCCACCCCACAATCAAAACCTGTCTGGACCTTCTCTCCTCCGCACGCGCCCAATGCAGCGTCAAACGCATCATCCTGACATCCTCGCTCGCCGCCCTAATCGACCGCGCAGAAGACACAGAGGACACGGTTCACGCGGCCACCACGCGCGCAGTCAATGTCCAGGCCCCGGCGTACTCTTCCTAATCAGAGGCTAAAGACGGTCGAGGACTGGGCGAGACGGGAGAAACCGGTGTTTGATGTCGTGCATCTTGCGCTCGGGCATGTGTTCGGGGTGAAGGAGCTTGTTGATGACCCGCGGGAGTTGCTGGTTGCTGGGTCGAATCGGATTATACTTAGTACTAGTGGATCTAGATTTGAATCCTCCCTTCAGACTCAGACGCAGACAGCGCCAGCGCCAGCGCCAGAACCAGGGGTTACAGTGCACCTAGACGACGTGGCGGAGGCGCACGTGCGCGCGCTGAACCCATTCATCCCGGGGAACAGACTGTACATTCTGAGCTCAGGGGGGGAGTGGGAACGCAGTTGGACGAGTGTTTTGGGGTTGTGGCGCGGTGGTACCCCGAGGATGTTGAGAGGCGAGTCTTGCGGGGGAAGGGCAGTCTGCCGTCGTCGGTATTTAGGGTTGATGCGCAGGAGTCGGCGAAGACTCTGGGAATGGAGTTTAGGGGGATTGAGGAGCAGGTGAGGGATGTGGTTGCTTATTACCTTTCGTGTTTGGAGCGGAGGGGTGGGGATTGCACTGTGGGGATAGGTGGGTAGGTAGGTAGGGTACCAGGGGGTTGCTGAGATTATGGATACTTTGTGCGTTATGTTGGTGTGTTATAGTATACTAGTATACGGCTGCAGATATATAGAAGTAGGCTTTTTGATTTATTGGAGATTATGTACAGGGCTACCCTAGTTAAGATACATCTCAATTCAGAGAAGAGCCCTACCCACTCAGTTAAAACCAAAACCGAAACCAGATCAGTACAAGACCACTTCCAAGTCCTACGAACCCTCCGGCACCTCCCACCCCTGCCTCCCAACTTCTTCCTTCTCCAACGAATTCTGCCTCGTTATCAACGAAAGTAGCGCTGCCAATCCCGCAATCGCCGCCAAAACCACCCAGATAGTATGGAACGCATCCTCATAAGCATCTGTCACAACCCGCATCACCACTGCATCCACATCGTGAATTTCCCTCATCCGCGGAATGAACCTCACCGCCTGACTTGCATCGCGCAGCACGGAAATGGACTCGGGTAAATCGGTTCCGGTCCTGGTCAGTGGCGACATTCCGCGCTCGAACATGGAATTGAACACCGTCGAGCAGATCGCCAGGCCGAGAAGGGATCCCACGAACCGCGCTGTTACCAGCATTCCCGCTGCGAGGCCCTCGTCGTTGACGTTACGCACGCTCGCGAGGACAGTGATCATTGTCGCCACGAGAGTCGTGCCAAGTCCGGCGCCCAGGATTGCCTGGAAAGCATAGGCTTGTGCGCGGGTGGAATCTGCGTCAACCATGTAGTTTAGGCCTAGAAAGATAGCGGTGATGAACCAGCCTGTCCAGAGGGTGATGCGGTACTTGCGTCTCCAGTCGATGAGGAGGGAGACGATGATGCTCATTGCCACGACGAGGCAGCATAGCGGGAGTATGGATTTGGCCGCTTGGATCGGTGTTTCCAGGTAGGCAGCTTCGAAGAAGAGCGGGAGGTAGAGGAGGACCGGGTTTAGGAGGGCGCCGTAGAACGCACCGGATATGGTCCCCGTGATAATGGAGATGTTATCGAAGATCTGGTATGGAATCATGGGCGCTACGGCTCGGTTCTCGACGAACCCGAAGGGAACGATCAGCAGAAGGCCGATGAGCAGCGGGAGGAGCGTCTTCCATGAGCCCCAGGGGTAGAGGGTATCCGCCCAGCTGAGCGGTAGGGCAATGATTGTTCCAATGACGATGAACAGCGCGAAGCCGAGCCAGTCGAGTCTGCGGATCTTCTCATTGATGCTCCCTTCTAACGGAGTGAGATGGAGGAAGAAGAAGGCTAGAACGCCCGTAGCGCCCGCGGTGATGAGGTTAATCCAGCCCAGCCAGGGCCATCCAACCTGCGCGAACTGGCCGCCGATGAAGGGGCCCGTCACGGCGCCCACGGCATTTGCCATGGACATGACACCCAGCCACCACGGGCGCTCCTTCATGGTCGTGATGTCACAGAGAATGATACTTTGCAAGACATCTAGCCCGCCTGACCCCAGACCCTCGATCAGCCGGCCGACGACGATAATATCCATGTTTGTTGCGGTGGCGAAGACGATCGACCCGATCCCGAAGAGGATGATGGAAGTGTAGAGGACGTATTTGCGGCCCACTACATCCGAGATGCTGGAGTAGACGGGCTGGGAGACGGCTATGCCGAGAATGAAGGCGATGTTGGCCCAGAAGGCCTGGAGGTTGGTCCCATGCAGCTGGTCGGCTATGACCTGCGAGATGAATTGGTTAGCTTGACAGAAGCGCCGTGGCCATGTGAGGCAAAAGGGATACCGGCAAAGCCAACGAAAGGGCCGTGACATCCCAGGACACGATCAGTGCAATCACCGCCAGCATTAGGATCGACAGGTAGAAGGAGTAGTGCTTTTTTTGCGGCGCCGGCGCCGGCGACTGCGACCCGGACGCGGCCTCGTCTTGCCGGGTCACTCTGGCCTCCGGATCCTGGTCGTGGCCACGGCTCTGGCTCGTAGTTTTCTCCATGCTCCCTTCGTCTTTGTCCACTTGATACCTGTAGATGTCAGTCGAGGCTGAGAAGGAATCAGAGCTGACAGGGGAAGGTGGATACAGCAGTTAAAGACACACCGGGCCACATCCTCACTTACTTCGAGTAGACGCCTGAGCCAGGCAGACGTCGGACTTCCTATTGTCCTCCTTTGTTATGTTATTGGTCCTCGAGCCCCGACGGGCAGCTGAAAGGATGTGTGTGTGTGTGCTTAGCGTTGCATTGACGGATGACAGACAGACATACTACGCGAATACTCCGATATGAGACGATACCTAGTACTGTGTAATAAAATATCAGGGGAAAGCGGTAATGATGGGTGTATCATTGGAACCGTCGGTCTTACACTAGGCCGTCTTACTCTTGCTCTGGACAAAATATCATACTAAGGGACCAAGCTAATGGTGCCCAGAATCAGTTTGATAGCAGCTTGAGCATAATTATATGAATGCCGTCAGAAAATTGTAATTTCCCATTCGATGGGCGACCTTGAAGTACAGAGTAAATGAACATAGAGCACAACAGAGTAAGCACGCATAGTAACCTGGTGGATTGTAGAATATCCTCCTATTCGTACAGAAAGCCCATGCCTCGAAAGCTGGGTGGAGTATGATCTTGTAACTATAATCATTGCTCCAAGATAGCTGGAGCCATCCTTGCTTGCTCCATAGACACCACATGACATTGTCTGCATTATTACGATATCCAAAACGGACGACTTATGATCAAGGGAGATCAATAGAGCAGACGGCATCCTCCACTCTCATTCCGACACCCATTTCAATTTCGTTGGAAACAACGAGATCATCATGAGGGGCACTCCAACGGGACCAATGGGTCGACAAATCACCTCGTCCGAACAAATGGAAACACTTCCACGAACAGGGACAACGGCCTCCCAGTGCCATGGCACGTGGGCAAGAACTGGGGGATCTACTGAAGTGGCGGCCGTGTCTCCATGCCTCAGCAAATTAGGCGTGCACATTGGCTCGGTCAAGGTGAATCTCGGCCACGCAGAGGGTGCCGTGCGCCTTGTCAGCGTTATAAAGGCTGTTCCTTCCTTGGAAAACTGCATTATCTCCCTAACACCTCACATTCCTCTCGTGCAGCGCTGGGACAACCGACAGACACAAGCTCTTCGTGAATGAGATCCAAAGCATGGGCTGTGAGGTGCAACTCGTACCGTAAATGTCACTAATGCGGCAGACGTGGCGCGGGCAGTTGCAAAATACCCCTCGCCCCGAATAAGGAGTACTCCAAAGGGCCATGGTGCTTCATGACCAAGGCTGGCAGAAGGTATCCATTGACGTGTGGAACGAAACAACGGCGCCCAAGATTAAAGGAACATGGAACCTTAGTAACATGACGCAGTTTTAAAAACGCTAAAACCCCAATAAATCTAAATTCTCAGAGAACGGTGCGGCTCCCAACTGTCCCGTTCTGTTGTGGGATACTAGCCATTGCACTGCGGTATCCAGAAGGTCGGAGACTGCGGACACGCCATCCAATGTTCCCGGATGATGGTGATGTTTTCAACTTAACTGTTTATCTTAGTATCTGTGAATGGTAATGTGTTTTGTTTCTTCAGCATAGCACTACTTACTTTGGTTCCATTTTCTGAGCGATGAAATAGCCTCTATAAGCTCATCTACCTAAGTCGTCTTGCTGAAATCTTTGAAGGGATGCCGAAGTTGCAGGGGTGTTGGTACTTGACATTGTAAATAACACCTTGACAATGCCGGTACAAGTCCGATACGCCTGTCTCTATAGGTCCGAGATGTTAGTCCGATACATAGCTTGGTACCGGTCTTGTATCGGAATAAGAGTCAGCTGATAAACCTCTGATAGCGAGACCGCACTCTCACCTGCAGCTGGCAAGTGTTCCTCTTGACACAATCTTTCTAAGAAACCAGACGAAATGACTTGAACCGGGATACTGAGGCCGCATAATACCGATTCCTATACAGCGGAACTGCAAAGCGGACGAAGGAGCATTGAGTTCGATTCCAGACAGGTCATTGAGTATGTCAGCACCCACAACCAGGCGCAATCGAGCCCTCGCCTCATGTGAACCTTGCCGAGAGAGGAAAACTCGATGCGATCACGACAAACCAGTCTGTGCCTCCTGCCGGCGTCGTGGCATCGACTCTCGGTGCTACTACCATCCTGCCCCTCTGACTAAACATCGAAATGCAAGTGCACAAAGACTGGCCGTGCCTACGCCAACCCAACCAACCATTGCTGCACCATTACGGAGCAGGTCCAGTGCAAAATATCCCAGACGCTCTGCTGCTGGACCGGAAAAGTTCCACACATGGCCTTTTATGTCGACCGTCTCTGACAGTGAGACCCTACCAGACATTCCCTTGTCGGGCTTGCATGACAGCAAGGCCTATGAGGCCCATCTAGCCACCATGAAGGAGATTGTGTCTCAGTTGAGATACCTTCCTGTTATTGAAAATTGCCTCCATCAGTACTACTCTGCTAAACATAACTCACTTGTACCGAAACCAGTCGTTCTGCAGCTTCTCAAAGCGCTCCGTACATATCTAGTATCGTCGGGCTATATCTTTGGAGAAACGGGAGATCGAGTTGAGTTGGGCGATATTTCGCGGTTATCAGAATCTGTACTGCTCTCTTCCTCTACAGAGATTATCATCACCGCATCCTTGGACCTACATGGTTTCTTAGCCTTGTTCTGTGGCCCGAATCTTCGAGTCGAGACTCTCGGTCTTTTGTATACTATGGCTGCCCGTGCGTCGGCTTTTTTCGCTGACCGCGATGAGGGTAAGGATGCCGCATTTGTTCCAGACATGGTTTGGTATAGCACGGTGATCTTACGACTAGCTCGGGACCTTGCACCCCAGTCAAACGACGTCATTATATGGTTGGCGAACGAAAATGGACATCTCAGGTCATTCCTCGAAGGAGATACGAGTGAGGCACTTTATACATACGTAATGGGTGGATACTGATTGATTCCAGGCCTCGGTGTGTGGCGTCTGGTGGGCGACCTCTCGACCGATTTATTGGCTCTGAGTTTGAACAGGGAGGCGACATATTCCCCTGAGAGAACCCCATTTTTTCTTGCAGAGTGCCGGAGGAGGTGCTTTGTAACTATATATTACTTGGAGAAGATGTTTGGCTTGATATTCAATCTACCTCCTCGTATTACCTCTCGATATGTGGACGTCAAGCTCCCCCTTGATTTGTCAGATGACGAACTTTTTGCCCAAACTCCTAACGAACTAGAGGATGCAAAAAGTCGACTCACAGAAGATGGCTGGAACACAGATGGGAACCTTAGAGGAGCAACATGGGCTCGATTACGCTACATCCTGAGTCAGTTTCGGGAACGAATTGTGGAATATCGATTTCAAGCATCACAGACAGCTGACCCTGCCCAGCTCAGGTGTGTACAATCGTTGGGACAGAGGTTGAACAGCACTAATGTTCTTTTAGAGAATTGTCTTCTCGATGTCGTCAGACGTGGGATAACCTGCTTCCCCACTTAAGGTATACTAAGGACTGTTGGGAATCCGACATGCCCCTGAGCACTTGTTATATGCACGCGAAGGTTCATCTAGCCTATCTCCAAATCCATTTCCAGATATACCACCTTCTTGGGGAGAATAGCTCAACTCCGCTTCCCGAGCTGCTGGACGTGTCTGCAAACATTCTGGAGACAGTGGTTCTGGTGGGAAATACCCGCAGAAAGGGCGCCTTTACCTCGCATGATCTACCTGAAATCGTACGTGCTGCTCCACCCCTTTACCGATCATCTTCTTTGTCATAGCTGACAGGGTGAAGCTTCTGTCCTGCGGCTTGCCGTCTGCAGCAGTCCTCCTAACTACACTAGAGAACAATATGCAAGATCCTTCAAGCAATCTTCCGCCTGGCATGAGGACATCAGCCGTGATTCGCAATGTTTCCGTCCTTACGTCGCAACTCGAAAGGGTGACTAGTGCGCGGGAAAGAAATCAAGCCTTCTGCTTGCAGGCGGCAAAGGCCATCACGGAGAAATTGGACAAGATTTTGGAAAAGCTTGCGACGTCAAAGTCTCAAGCTCGGACAATGTCAGATGTTGCGACAAGAGTTGATGTAATGGACTCAATGCCGACTCCGACGACCGAACTTGACGCTTCTCTCACTGGTGGAGAGAGTTCCGGAGATGGGGATAGAGAGATTGGTGCTGTGAATCTGGATGACTACGAGAACCTCGATCTAATGTCTTGGGTAATCGATTTTGACCTTGGAAACACGGCCAGCGACTGGACAATGTGAAACTCGATATCATTGCCGAGTTCTACAACGCCCAGGTATTCAAACCCGTCGTTCGAAATATTCTATAGTATCATTATTCGTCTGATAGTCGGGATTTGACAGCCCGAGTACATCACTGGACATAAATGAATGAAGTATGTATTCTGCCGGATATATCAGTTTATTACGTATGGAGAGATCTCGCATCAGGGGGAGTCTTTAGCCCCCCATTTCAGCGTTCATAAAAAGCATTGTGGCGAATGTAATTCCTCCTGTTGAGACCTAGGCTTAAACATGCAACATTTGGGCTCTTAAGTGCAGAATTTTGCAATCTTAAACTTGTTCAGCGGACGTAAAGAATTGATTGAAACACTTGGTTATACTGAGAAGCCGAAAGACAAAACCCACCCACATCCCCCCACTTTCTATCTAGGCTGTTACATGAGATAAAACCCTTTAACTTCTTACTTTTATTATCGCAACTTGGTCCAAATTCTGGAGGTTCATCGTGTTATAAATGTAGCGGACGAACCTTACAACAACTTCATAGTTTATTCTTTGGGTGTGAACAGCGCTACTTTGACAGGCAGCCTGACGACAATTTCCCAGCTCTCCTGACGGTCTTGCGTGCTTTTCAGGGTTGAATAATATAACCATGATCAGAAACGATCACTTGTACGAGGATCTACAGTTTTGCGCAAGCACAATACCCGAGCCGTAGATAGGGCTATCCGAGGTATGATGGTTGTTGCGGTGGAGATCCGCCGACGTACCCACGTTTTCATCTTGCACCTCGGGGGAAATAGCCGTACCCAGAGCAGCAAGTTGCTTCTGTATACCCTTCATATTCCTGACATGTGCCCCATCAGTCGGATCATAAATAACACCAAAGGAAATCTCGTCGCCCTTCATCCGCATTCTTGTCGTTAAGGCAATCGTTGTGACAATATTCGCAACCTCTTTAACTTGAATGCCAAGACTGTCTTCTTGGGGCATATATGTATCCCAGTGGATCCATTGTTTGGATGTTTCAGTGGTGTTGTCATTGGGAGAATGTGGCGGTAACGTGAGATCGAATATGAGACGGGAAAAAGCTGGGATCCTTATGAGCTCTTTCCTCCAGGCTTTACCCAGTGGATGCAGATTGAGGAACGCGCTCCGGGATCTGTCACACGTGTAACGACACGGTTGATGTGTGGGGGCGTTGGTTGGGCAGCGGCATAATTCAAGTATATTTGCTTTTTTGAGAGGGTGTAATAAAGCTAGCTTTGCCTGACGGATATGAGGCTCGAACTCCTGATCAATGCTAAGCCGAGACAGATCCTCAGTAAGACAGAATTCCTGCAGCAAGCTGGGATCAGAAACAGGGTGAGGTATAGACATCTTGGATTTGAATGTCAAAAAATTTAGCCAGAAAATGATGTCGGATGTTGTAGATAGAGAAGCCCCAAGAAAAATTCGTACGACAGATGTCTTTGGAGCAGCTGATATATGCAGCAAGCCGGGAAAGGCTGACGTCACATCTTATATAAAGTGGGTAAGTAGGACGAGTAGAATGAGCTGCAGTCTTGTAGCAGGTTATTATATATATATATTCATTCTATGGTTTTTTTCTTTCTTTTTTTCATATTGTCTTACTTATTTTCTATTACCTTTTTCCTTCCGTCTTTTGCTTGCCATCTTCAAGATTGGGTGACGGCCAAGGCTGACTAGTTGCTGCCCGCGGGAACGCACGCTACTTCCTATACAATTTTTAGTAATCAAAATATCGAGTATGGCCAGACGGCTGTGAGTTACAGAAATTGAAAATACCTGTGTATGATCTGTCGGTCTTACGCGCTGATACCTGTGCGGCTATCACAAGCACGTTAAAGTTGCCGGGGTCATAGTTTGCTGCCCACTGATTAATCCCCACTGTAGCATCTCCCGGAACCCATCCGCCGTCGATCTCGGCACCCCCGCGGGGAACAATCCTGGGGAATGCGTTGGGGGGTGGGTACATGCGGAACGCCTCGTCCTCAACCGCCGCCAGGTATTGCATATCCTGCGTCGCGATGATAGTGATTTCATCCATTGTGCTAAAATTAGATCCAATCTCGGCCACTACGCGCTTGTAAGCGCGTGGGTGCTTCAGCAGGTAGTAGGTAAACCCACTCAGGAAGGTTGCAGCCGTCTCGCTGCCGGCAATGATGAGTATAATGGCCGTCTCCAGGATCTCCGGCAGCGACAGGCCACGCTCGTCATTGTGCCGGAGAATGTAGCTCTTGAAGTCCTTCCGATCCAGGTCTTTCCGCGACAGGCGGTGCGCAACCTTTTCATACGCGTTGGCGACATAAGATTTCAGACACGCAAATAGACCCTACGCATATGTTTATCTAGGATAGTAGATGGTAGTGAATGCCTGTATTGAAACACACACCTTACTAGATATGGTAGGCGGTAGGGCGTGGCATGGGCGAAGACTTCCCCTACATATAGGCATTGTTGATCAGCCACCACTTTCCCATTCCAATTGATACATAACATACCTGGCCGCTGAGACCCGCCGCGGTATACTAGAATAGGGATATGGCCACCTCAAGGAGATGCAGCTACAGATAAATTAATGTGCTCTCTTACTGTTGAGTTGCTAAGTAAATCACCACTGCAATTTCCAAAGAAGCCAGGTTGAATGACTTCAGGCCATGCCACGCCAAGAAATAAATCAGGCGAGAACAATCCCTGGCAATCCTGGTATGTGGATCGAAAGATCTAGGTTTTTGGCATTTGGTGGATCCCGATCTATTTTACCTAAGAATAGCCCCTACTAAACGGCTTTAGGAAGGAGTCATCGTTGATAGCTACTGCCTTGATTCCGGAGATATTAGGAACTCGTGTCCTGATTCGTGGGTCGATGTTCCTATTTACGGGTTTGTATGCTAATATTATTATATATCGCACTGATCGGCATCATATTCACGGCTTCGACAGAGTTTCTGAAAGCCACTCGTGTGAGCAATGTACTCATGATTGTCTTCTACTTTGACTCTAATAGGACAATTCTGGTGACTCTAAACTCATGTCCCTCGCAGTAATACAGATATTGTAGAAGCAAAAGGCATTTCGTGGCTTCACGGACTGACTGGAACGACTCAAAAGGAATTCGTTCCAAACAAGGTGTCCTGGATGTTGCCAATACAAACAGGATAGTAGTTGATCTGACTTCAGTTTGCAGCTTATCATTCATTCCACAGACTGGCCCAAGCAGAGACTACTAATGTGTATCCAAGCGTTGCATTCTTCACACTCTACGGGAGAAAGCTAAACTAAAATTCACAAGAGAGGCAGTAAATGAACCAGACTATAAATGGCTGGTCGGATAGTCGCAATTTTGTCGATTGACAGGACAATCGTGGCGCATCACAACATGAGGGTATCTTACGGGAAGCTGATTTTAGCAAGTTTATTCCTTTCTTTCCGGTGGGCACAATGCCGGGTAGTCGAATATAATCTTACTCTCACGTGGGAGGACCTCGAAGTTGCTGGGGTCACCCGAAAGACCATTCTCATTAACGAACAGTTCCCCGGCCCTCTACTGCGGATGAAGCAGGGAGATAATGTAGAGATCATGGTGACTAACAATATGCCTTTCTCAACGACCGTCCATTTTCATGGTCTGCTGCTCTTTGCCACCCTCCTCCGGTGTTCTGTTCTAACAGACTGGCTCATCTTCTAGGTATCCGACAGCAAGGTACTCCTTGGTCTGACGGAGTTCCCGGCCTTACCCAACTCCCTATCGAGCCAGGAGACCAATTTCTATATGCCTGGAACGCCGACGACTACGGTACCTATATCTACCACTCTCACGAAGCAGCACTTATAGATGATGGTTTCTATGGCGCCATCTACATCGAGCCCGCAGACAATATTGAGAAGCCATTCTCATTTATCACCACAGATGAGGCGGAGTTGGAGCTTCTGAGAAAGGCGGAACAGAATACCCAGCCAGTCATTCTTTCCGATTGGCGGCGTTTCACCTCTGACGAAATTTTGAGTATCGAGGAAATATCTGGGGTTGAAAGCTACTGTGCCAGTTCCATACTCGTGAACGGCAAGGGGTCTATGTACTGCCCACCTCAGCAGCAAATCAATGAGCTCACTCGACCGGAACTGAAGGTATTACTGAAAGGGAGAAATATGTCCGATATGGGGTAAGTCCATGGTGTGCCTGTGGTTTTCTCCGCTTCCTCAACCTGACCATATGTATTGACTCAATGATTCTTAGCTGTTTGCCGCCGATTCCTGCACGCCTTGGTTTCTTTCCCTTCGACACCAGTAACATTCCCCAAGGGTATTACCAAGGCTGTACACCAGCTGCTGGGGAGACTGAAGTGTTCTGGATTAATCCTGCCTGGCGATACGTTAGCTACGACCTGATAAACATTGCGGGAAGTTCATCGCTAGTATTTTCTGTTGATGAACACCCGCTGCATATTTACGCGGTTGATGGTCGATATGTCGAGCCGGTACTTGTCGATGCACTAACCGTCCATATTGGAACCCGGTATTCCGTCATGGCCAAACTCGACCAGCCTGCAGGCAACTACACCGTTCGTGTTGCAAATAGCTACGCGAATCAGATCATTAACGGGACCGCAATATTGTCATACCAAGCCCCAATCGAAAAGAACTCTGTTTCAAAGCCTTACATCACGGAAATAGGGACGGCTGTTTCGCAGGAAACATCGATTCTGAATGAAAATAATTTGGTCCCGTTTCCGCCAGTGCCACCGGCGTTGGATGTGGACCGCACATATATTCTGAACATTCATATGTATAACGCATCATATCGCTGGGTACTGGGAAATGACAGCTATCCCCTGTCAATCGAGGAGCTATCGACCCCTGTGCTGTATAATATCAGTTCAATACCTGTCCAATATACCCTCTCAACCTTGAACGATACATGGATTGATCTGATTTTCAACATCGAAACTGGCGAACCTCAACATCCGTTGCATAAGCATTCAAACAGGTTCTTCGTGATTGGAGAGGGCTCGGGCCCATGGACATACTCTTCAGTGGCTGAGGCAATGGAACAAATTCCGGAAAGTTTTAACTTCGTGAATCCCCAGATCAGAGACACATATGCCACGCCCAACTCCCGAGCTGGTGGGTCTTGGCTTGCTATTCGATATCATGTGGAAAACCCGGGACCTTTTCTATTACATTGCCACGTTATTATGCACCAGGCTGGTGGGCTTGATCTGGCTTTGTTGGACGGCATCGACGCATGGCCAACAGTGCCGGAGGATGTCAACCTACCATACCTCAGACCACCTGCAGTGCTCCCAAGCTGATGTACCTCAACGTGCGGTTCGGAGGATGGCAGAATGGGGTATAGAGTGGCCTTGGTCCATGTGGATATTCGATGACCTTCCAAGCTAGGACCGGATTAATATTGATTTGGGGACTGAAAAAGGACTGTCTGATCTTGCCAAATACCTGTTAGACATAGAGACTTAATACATGCTATACCTAACTACCTTATTTCATAGGTATTAATACACATATGATCAATAGGTTAGTAGCTCAGGATCAATCTTGGCTTTACTTGGTACCTATCGCTGCAAGTGGTTGCTTAGAGCATGAAGTAGCAGTATTTTACTGTCTCACCTCCTTCCTGTCCGCCATCGTATCTGGCTGAATCACGCCTCTTACATTTTTCAAGATCTAAATACTGTCCGTATTTATTCCTTTCTTGGCATGCCAAACTTGGCGCTTCCCCGGAATAGTCAACTTCCACGGAAGAGAGGAATCAACCTCTTCCACAGAACTTACGACTGGGTGTGAAAGCCAATCAAATAATCCTATTCGGAGCGTCTAAACTAGCATATTGAATATGAGAGGGGAAGGAAAGGAGTATGGAGAAACATGTATAAATAATAATAATAAGTAAATAAAGTAAAATAAATAACATAAATAAAACAAGATCATGTATAATAAATAAAGTAAGTAAAATCTATATTATATATCTTAATTATATCTTATTTTATATTATCCTCTTTTTTAAAACTGGCTACTCCCAGCTAGAGACATATTATCATTTTTATCATTTAGTATAAATTTATTAGTCTTAGTAGTAGCCAGTTACTGTAATATTTATTTTAAGAAACCATAATAGTTAGAATATTTAATATAATAATTTTATAAATAAAATAGAGCATTCTTGAAATTCCTAGTTAAATATTATATATAATTTACTTTATCTGAAGTAAGTTATTTAATTTTATATTATAAATAATTATAATATAGTCAGCTAGCTAATATCTCTTTAATTTTTTTTCTAATTAGTTATTAGATATTCCACCCGAAGAATAGGCCAGAAAGAAAGACATATACCAGTGGTTCCTTGGAACTTTCTCCATCCCAAAATAGAAATGTTACTCATGCAAAAGAATTGGCTGTACCAAAGATTTCAAGGGATAGATAGTATTAATCTGGCAACAAAATGGCAAGTTGTGTGACTATACACTGTCGAAGTCGCAATAACCAGGAGAAAGATAAAAACCATGCAGTCATACTTCAAACAGATACATTAAGAGGAAAACTATAGAAATGTCTACGACTCTTCCTCTAACAGAATATATCACTCTGGCTGGGCATCCTCGTCAGCTGGTGACCAGCCTACGGTCTACAAAGATACAGTTTCTCCAAGGGTTGATGACGTAAAGTTCTTTTTTACTGGTAATACTTTGTATTGATTCCAAACAAATTGGGTTGTTCTTTCAAGATAATATTAGCAGGTCACGCCGAGGAAGTCCGTCCAATCAAGCGAGATGATAAGCGAGAAGCGTTCCCATCGCCAAAATCCGGAGCCCTCTGACCGATAACTGCGTCGCGGAGGCCCTACTCTCAGGGGACGGGGTTGGGCAGCTGTGCCTGGTGCGGAGAGGATTGCGGCAAGGAGTTAAATTCAGAGCTGAGGAAATACTTGCAGCAGCTGTAGAATTGATCTTGACCTCGCCAGGATTGGGAGTCGGGTACAGACCCAGAGTCGGTGCACGGGATGGTGCTCCCCAAGTTCTCGTAGGCGGCATGTCCAACACATGTGGGACCTGCACCGCCGAGCTACAATTTGCTCACAACTTCCATCCTCAGTTGTGGCGGAAATGCCTGGCAACGAAGTACCATTCTTGATGGAAAAGACAAAAATTTAATAAATTAAGTAAATAATTAAAATAATAATTAATCTATTAGTTAATAAACAAGAAATCTATTATAATTATATAAGAAATTATAAAATCTCTTCTAAAGAATATTGAATAATTTTTATTAGCTAATTAATCTAGTAGGCAAATCTTCACGACGGGACAACAGTAAAATGATGTCTGACAAGTTCAAGATTAGTATTATTCAATAGTGCTAGAACCAAAGAATACAGTAATATAACTCTTAGTCTTCTAATTAATTATTCTGTTAAGTTATAAGTATTCGAAGATAGCAGTATTCACTTCTGAATATGATTAGTATATATAACAGAAATTTAATTGGGTTAGTGCATGTAATAGAAATTCAAATTACGTTAGTGCTCTTTTTTAAGAACACTAAGCCTAATTGAGTCTATTAAGCATTATAATAATAAATATTACAATAATAAGCATTACTCTAATAAGTGTTATAATAATAAGCATTATTCTAATAAATATTTTATAAAATAATATATTAATATTTTTAATATAGATTCTCAGAGTCCTATCTACTCTATATACTAGAAAACTTAAATTATATATATTTATTATTTAGTATTATTTATTGTGTTTAAATTATATCCCTTCAAAAAGTTTTATTTATTATAAGAATATTAATATATAATAGTCTGTATACTTGTCTACAGTCAGTTATAAGAAAAGAGAGATTACGTGATATTTTAATTAATAAATTATAAAGATAATAATACTGTAAAAATAAAATAAAAGATTTTAAATATAATATTATATTAATATTTTAAATCTCCGCGATCCCACCGTGCCAGCAGATAATGGAGGGGGATAATATTATAATTAATAATTTTATTACAGTTTTTATAATTAGATACTATTCTTTTTATAAAAAACAGATAATTAAATAAATAATAATATTTTTATAATATTAGAAATTCTTTATTTACTTAATATATTTTATTAGCTTATCTCTCCGCGGGGCTGCTAAGCTTATATTTTAATAATTATCTTTAAATCTCTGTGATTTCTGCAGGAAATAGATAATAAAATAAATAATAATATTTTTTTTATTTTTCTTAGTATGTTTTATTCTCTTGCCCCGCCGTGCGGCTGGTGAGGTAGAAAGAAAAAGAGATTATAAAAAAAAAAATAATTTTTTTATTATATTTTAATTTTTATAATTTCTACAGGAAATAGATAGTAGAACAGATAATAATATTTTTATAATATTAGAAACTCTCTATCTACTTAGTATACTTTATTAGTTTATCTCTCCATAGGGCTGCTGAGCTTGTATTTTAATAATTATTTTTAAATCTCTGTGATTTCTGCAGGAAATAAATAATAAAGCAGATAATAGTATTTTTATAATATTATAAGCTTTTCTATCTCTGTGATTCCTGCAGGAAATAGATAGTAAAGTAGATAATAATACTTTATTTATTTTTCTTAATATATCTTATTATCTTATTTTTCTGTGGGGCTGCCGAGCTTGCCTTCTAATAATTATATTTAAATCTCCGCGATTTCTGCAGGAAATAGATAATAAAGTAGATAATAATATTTCTGTAATACTGTAAGCTTTTTTATCTCTGCAATTCCTGCAGGAAATAAATAATAGAATAAATAATAGTATTTTATTTATTTTTCTGAATATATTTTATTATTTTATTTTTCTGTGGGACTGTTAAATTTATTTTTTAATGATTACTTTTAAATCTCTGTAATTTCTGCAGAAAATAGATAGTAAAGTAGGTAATAATATTCCTGTAGTATTATAAGCTTTTCTATCTCTGTAATTAGGGGTTTAGGGTTTTAGGGTTTTAGGGTTTTAGGGTTTTAGGGTTTTAGGTTTTAGGGTTTAGGGTTTTAGGGTTTTAGGGT